TTCGAAGAAATCTGTCAATTCCCCATATATACACACCCGTGCCGACGTGCGCTTATAAAATGCCTTTATGAGTTTAATGATTTTCTCCGTCACATTCCAACAAAGCGCCGCAAAGTCGATGAAACACATGACAGTGGATGGCAAATATTTAAAGCGATGTTCCAACACCCTTCTTAACGTGAATATCTGGTCAGCACAACCTCGCCCTGGTCTGAAACCAGCTTGATTAGAGCGCATCCTACCGTCTCGTACTTCAAATCTGTTGAGTAGCAGGGAAGCAAAAATTTTTGCTAGACGATAGGCTGATTCCTCGATAATTGTCGCATTATATCTTTCTTGAGAATTGGAAGCAGAATTGCTTTGCTCCAATCATCTGGTAATATTTTTTTTCCATACTAAAGAGTACATTTGTTCAAGGTGTTGAAAGTAAAGGACGATGGACAGCATTCGAAAAGCTTAGCCCGATGACCATCTTCTCCTGGAGTTTTGTTGGCCTTAAACCTGAAATTATTTCTTCTTCTGTTGGAGGCTCACAATTGCAAGCGTATGCTTCGGCAAACGTATCAGCTATATCAAGGATAACAGATGGCGCTTCATGGTTAAGTTTGACGGAGAATTTTTGCCATCTTATGAGGTCATCCTTAATATTTTTGATTAGTACGCCATTGCTGTCTCTTACCATTTCACAGATCCCCGAGTCATAGTTGTTTTATGAAGAAGGCAGAATATTTTCCTATTGTCGCCTAATCAAGCCGCCGCCTCCATTCTTGAGGCCATGTCACTCCAATAGAGATTTCTGTCCCGCCTTGCTGCTTTCGTTGCAAATCTTCGAAGCACCCGGTAGTCAGGGTCATCTGACATTCGTGCTTTGGCAATTGGCAATTTTTCAGACAATTGGACAGTTGCGTCCGATGCCCAACTATCCGATAGCGCTCTTCCTACTAGTATGCCCTAGTGTGGAAGTGGCTGATTTTTGACATTCCTTTAATTTGGACCAGTATTCATTTGCCGTTCTAGAAAAATCATTGATATTTGTATCATTGAGGTACTTTCTTCGATTTGAAATGCGCTCACTGTCCCCGAATTTTTTAGTTTGAAATAGTTGAAGAATCTTGGGAGATGCTGTTTTCTACGAGTTGTCAATTTTATGCGGATCTTGGCTCGAACCATAACATGGTCAGATCCATGAGGATTGCTCGTTTCAGCTCAGCGATAGGAACGACTATCTAGTATGGAACTCTTCCAACAGCGACTGACTAATCAATCAAAATATAATCAATCTGGTTGAAGCGTTGGTTGTCCGGAGAGTTCCACGTGACTAGATGTTTTCTATGATGCCGAAAGCAAGTATTGGTAACAAAAAGTTCATATTCTTTGGCATAACGAAGAAGATGTTCCCCATTGGCACACCGGTCTCCGATGCCATATTTGCCAATTGTTGAGGTCATCGCAGCTGCATTATGATCTACTCGAGCATTCCAGTCTCCCCCGATTATGATCATGTCATGTTTCAGTTAGAATCTTTGTTAGCAGTTGAAGTTCCGTACTTGTCTTTATCAAGGTCATCTGCCGACAGAATTGGACACTGATGACCGAGATATTGCAAAACTTACCCTTAAAACGGGCGGCATAGAACATACGGTTGTTTACTGGTTTGCACTCAATCAAAGCGGAATGGGCCTTGTCAGAAATGACAATCGCTACGCCATTTCGTCCCGAGTTATTCGAAGCACCACAGTGATATAGCCAGTATCTCTGCTCTGAGCCATTAATAATTTCTCGAGACCCAAAGTGAGAAAAACGGACTTCCGACAAGCAAGCGATATCCACACCATACTTAGACAAGGTGTGGACAGTGATCGCTTGGCTTGCAATTTCCATAAGCAGTTTGACGTTCCACGCTGATACGGCTAATACCTCGCCGCGCGTGCAGAGAGCAGTTCTCCTTGATAAGTTTCGAGCAATTACCCTGGCTTTAGAGCACATTTTATTTATCAGCCTTGGGATCACTTTAAGCCCGGTTTACTTATACGTATACTTATCGCGTGCACCATCGGACTCGAAGTATCATGCGCGTCGGGAGAAGCGGACGCCGTATCAAATGTATCTGACCCTTTCACCATAGAGTCACAGGTGTTCCCAGCAGCCACCCAGATTTTTGATATGATAGCAGATTTACTCCTGCCAAAGACAAAAAAAAATCAAATTTGAAGAAAATAATAAAATAGACATTGAAATTAAAAAATATATATATATTTATGAAATATATGTATATTATTTATACAATTTAATTGATTTGATATAATTGATTTAATTTTAATTTATTTTATGTTAATTTTAATCGTTGTTTGGTAAAAAAAATAAAAAAATTAAAAGTTTAAGAGGACTTAGCTGAACTGAAGCTGAACTGTGATCAGAAATTAAAAATAAATTCACATAAATAAATCGAAAGCATTTTTTGAAACGACCGCTCAACAAAATTTTTCAAAAATTTTTTTTTTTATTATTTATTTACTTTTATTATTTATTTAAAATTGTTCTAAAATAGTTCGATGTTTTATTAATTTCTTTTATTGTCTATTTAGCGGTTGAACAAGAGGAATTTTCTATTAGCGAAAAAAATTATAAATGGTGAAGGAATATTCAACAGAATATGGAGGAATCAGTTGCATCAAATACGGGAAGCGATTCATCGTCAACGTCGCAAAGTTCTTTCTTTTATTTTTCATTAAATAAAAGAAATAGAATAATGCAATGGTTTAATGGTTCATTTCAAGGCATCAATGCTGGGAAACTCTCGGCAATTTCCTCTCCCAAACAGTATGGTACTACCGACTCATCTGCATTCCTCAATGATTCTTCGCAAAATTTGCCAACCGAGGTTATGCGAGCCTAAAACAATACGAAAAGTGATGAATATTCTTAGAAAAAATACGGGTCATATAATATAAGTGAAATACATAGAAATAATAATTCATCAGTAGAACTTCAAATTTAATTGAAATTAAATTTCTTTAATCGTACGAATTTCTGGCTCAGCCATATTCATATCTTTTAACTTAGAAGGCAAAGGAAAATAGAATTGCTTAGTGGATTGTTGCTCAATTCGAAATCTGATACTGAAATTCTACTCCGGGGCAAAAGCATGTTCCAGTTCCAAATTCCAGGTGGCCTTGCTGGTTTACTTACACTTACACTTCTGTCACTTTACTTACACTTACACTTACACTTCTGTCACTAAGGGACTCTTTGATATATTTTTCCACTCTTACAAGTTAGCTAAGGGAGCAATGTCAACAGTGGTGAGTGCTTCAAAATAATTTGATATGTGATATTTTTCAGCGAAAGCAATAATTTCAGCAAAGATCTCACCTAAGGAATATGACAGAGACGATATTTTGCATGGATTTGATGAGCCTAATCACAAAAATGGAACTATGCAACTAATTCCTCCCAAATTAGCCAAGAATGATCCCATTTCAAGGTAATAATATATTTCTGGATTAATATGACTCTGCATGGCAATAAATTCGATATGGCACTCGCAGAAATTTGCAATAAAGCATTATAAAATGAAAACTGAAGCCACTGGAAGAATCTCCAATATTTATTATTTTAATCACTAGACCACATACAAACGCAGTTAAATAATAAAGCCCCCAATCTTCTGTTGGAGGTTCTCACCACACCATATATATGCGAGTTTACCGTTCGCCTATTAGCTAAAATACCACTCCCTTTTCCCACCTCCGTCTCCGTAGTTATAGGCTTATTAAATTCAAAAATTTTTCATCTTTATTGATCAATATAAATATCCATGAATTATTGTTAAATACAGCTATTAAAAATTTGTTTTACGAAAATTAATTTATTTTTGCATGTTGCGGCATAAAAATCGAGGTAAGTCTAATTAATGCCCTTTCCTTAAAAAGAATGTTGATAAGTCCATGGTTCATTTTAGCCAAATTTAATGAAATCTAAATTCTTTCTTTCTTCTTCTAAAAGTGCACCATTATTAGTTCGTTCGTTCCACTGGCTATAAAATTGAAACGATTCCAGGCTATACGACCCGATGCCTATAATTTAACTATGCATGGATTGTAATATTGCAATTTTATTATTTTATGATATTATCAAAATATGCATAAGTGTATGGGGATAGGATGGCTCAGTGAGTTGTTGCTGAATTTGGAGCAGCCGAAGCTGGTGTTTGATTCCCCGCAGGAGCAAACCTGTACAAAAATCCGGGTGATGCTGACGACTCACCCGTACTTCTATCGCCAAGGGACTCCCCTGCATATTGGTCAATGCGACAAGCCAGTGGAGCGAGTTTAACTCAGTAATGGTGAGGTCTCTCAAGAAGAAGAAGAAGAAGGACTGTAATATCTAAAATAAAAGCGATTTTAGAAAATTAAAGTCAAAAAAAATCCTAAATTCATCCACTTTTAAAGAAAATAAACTTGCACAATTAACGATTTAGATTGTTTTTATTTTTGCAAACATGAGAATTTCAGTTTACATGAAAAAAATATGAAAAATATGGGAATGTCGTTAGAATCAATAAGAGATACGAGAAAACCAATTTTGAATCAGGAACAATTCGATAAGAAGTATGGATTTAGAAGGGTATGCTTATATAACAAATACGATAAAATATTGGCTTCTCACGCATCACGGTGAAAATATAAATATAGGTGAATCCTGGTGCTATCGCATAAAATTGCAAACAAAAATTAACTTTCCTTTCTCTAACTTCACTATGAACATCAGATCAGATCTTTCGGAACATTGTGTACCGAATATTAAATAGACTGGATAGACTGGTAAAATAAATGGGGCCCGAATGAATCGAAAAAAATAAAATTTGATATAGAAACCACTTTGATAACCTATTTATATTGATTGGCAAAGAATCCATTTTGGATTTATTTTTGATCTAATCGAATTCATGAGAAAGAACCTCATAATTTATTTTGTTAAAAATTGTTTCAGTTAAATAATTTAAATTGCAGACGAATCTGTCGCTAGCACGACTCGTTGCGTATAATTTCCGAGTCATGCGATCATGGAATCGTCCTGAGTGGATACAATTCCTAAAAGTAACCTATTTCGATGTACATTTGTTCAAATGGGCAGTTTTTAAAGCCTTCTTTTCTTTTCACTCCACAAAATTCCTGGCTTATACAAAATTCTTGCGCGAATTTATGGCGAATAATCCATCCAAATGGGTTAATTAGTTCCACAAAATAACCGGAATTTTCTTGAGTAGAAAAAAAACGAGAAATCATATTCTTTCAAAAAGATTTAATGGGCATCGAAATTTTTCAGCGTCGAATACCAATACTAAACTGGTTACCCAAATATGATTGGAGACAAAATTTTCTGATTGACTTTATTAATGGAATCACTCTAGCTGTTATGTATATTCCACAAGGTAAAAAAGAATTTCTTACAATTTATAATATATAAGAATTAGTAAAAGTATGGGTACGATTTTAGAAATGTTCATCATCACCCACCTTTTTCAAATTCAATATGTATTTTTAGGCCTCGCATATAGTTTGATAATCGGCCTACCACCGATCTTCGGAATCTACACAGGAATTGTTGCACCATTGATTTACGCCATTTTAGGAACATCACGGCACGCCTCTACAGGTTTCTTTATGAGACGAAACATAAACTGTGATGTGAATTCATGCCAAAAGCAAATTTAAATGAGAATTGTTAAATTATAATTCATAATTTTATTTAAGTTTAAGTTTATTTAAAACTTAATAGAGGAAATTCTTTACATGAAAATGGGATAGAAGAAAAATGAAAAATATAATAAACAAAAAAGATAAATAGAGAAATTTATGAAAAATCTATCATTTTTCCAATATTTTTAGCATAAAATAGAATTTTCGAGAAATTCATGTAGATTTCTTGTATTCTTGTAATTTTAGGTGGATTTGCGATAATTGCTTTGATGGTCGGTTCGGCAATTCAAGAAGCAACATCAATGGCCAACAATTACTCACATGAAATAACGGAAAATTCATTATGCTGCAATAAGATCATCGTTAAACCAGACGTAGGGCGAGTAATACAAATTTCATCGCTTATCACCTTTCTCGTTGGCTTAATCCAAGTGAATTTCGATCAGAAGTTTTTTTCGCTTCATCAATTGTATTATAGAGCATAAAATTCCAATATTATTGCATTTATGTAAGCTATTTTCATGAGAAATTTTCCGAGAATTTTTGTACTTAGCAAAGTTTTTCGCTCACCACATTTTATCCCGTCGAAATTGAATTTTGCGAAATCAGTCATTCGTGTAGAGTAGAATCGTTCGATGGCTTTTCGATTACATTTCGGAGCGTCGACTCTATTTTGATAAATCCAGGTGATATTCGCGAATCGTTTCTGTCGCCAAGTGACTCCCTAGCAAAATTTGCCTCATCAAAGCAGGCGGAAGGAATTTGACTAGAAATGAAATGAACGACTAAGAAAGCGTTTTTAGATGATCGATCTTGGGTTAGCACAAGAAATAAGGAACAAAAAAGGAATAAAATAGAGATATAAAAGCTAATTGCTAGACTCCAAAACTCCGTTTTATACTCTTTACATGCTTTAAAATAGGTTATACTTGGTTTTCTGCATGCTGGTTTGTTGGCTGTCTGGCTTTCTGATCAACTCGTTGATGGTTTGACTTGTGGCGCCGCTGTCCATATCTTAGTCAGTCAGATAAAATATATGGTTGGAATTGAACACTTGCCAAATCCATCCAGCCATTTCGGTATCATTAAGGTGCGTTCATTTTAATCTTTACTTTAAGGTTACGATTTGCACACAGCTAAATTTCTCGTCAAAATTAATCTTCCAATTTTTTTCCTTTTTTGGTGCAAGTTGTTTGATAAAGGCTTTCTAAAAAATCTTTTTTAAGTTTTTATTTTGCTTTATTCGAAATATTCGCTCAATTAAATATAATGAAACAATATGCTCAATAATTTGTTGTATATGCCTTTTATTTTCGAAAGTATTCATCGACCCTATCTTAAGTTCCTGGTTAATAACAAAGTTCCCCATGGAACTGCTACTGGTTCGTTTTATTTAATATATTCATTCGAACTGAATATTTGCTGAGTAATTTAATCCCAAAGTACACGATTTTTAATGGAAAAATTTTATTACTCTTTAGATTGGTTGAGCTGGCCAAGCTAAGAATTAGATTCATTACCATACCTGAAAACGCGGAAGTTTTTCCTATTTCTATTGTCCATATTTTATATGTATATGTATATTCATAAATCCTTTTTTCACTCCCTGTGCGTAATAAAAGTCATCTTCAAGCTCGGGTCCTCTACCAGAGGCTTGGAAGATTGAAGGTTCTATGCAGCACCCTAGCAGTACACCTTCGCCTTTTTGGATAGGGACCTCTGATGTTATTCTTGTAATCATAGCCATACCCTTTTAAACAATTTCTGGCTTTCCAATAATTGATTTTCGATGATAAAAAAGATCTGGACTGATACAGTCATGAAAGATTTTGAACATATAGGGTGACCATCGATATATGGACTTAGACGATAGAAAAAAGAATGGCTACTAGCGATGTCATCGGACTGAGCAGCTTGGAGATGACTTACCCTTGTAGCCAGAGGAGCCAGCCTAACCAGTAATGGTGAAAGCTAGAAGTTAAAGGAAGTTCCAATTATTACGAGGACCATTTTATTCTTCAATTTATATATATATATATATATATAGAATCACACTATACCCATGTAATTCTTGACAATCAGCATTTGAAAATTTAAGGTGATATTTTCGATAATATTCTGCTACTTTACTGCAAATACAGTCAGTGACCTGAAATTGGATATGGTAGGACACATTGAATCGGGTATGAATGTACCATTTTTCCTTGAATTTAGTGGTGCAAATGATGTTTTATTTTCATCGTTTTCTATTGCAATTGTTTCATTTGTTGTCCATATTGCACTTGTCAAACTTATTGCAAAGCGGCTTGCATACAAAATTAACGCTGATCAGGTAGTGGCTTTCTTTTTATAGCACTGAAGAAATTTGCCTTTTCGAAATAGTCAAAATGAACATATTATCCTTATTATTCTTATCACTTATTATCCTCAATTTAGCATTTGATTAATTTTAGACGATTCTGGAAATTTTTAGGAGTGGATGGCGTTAGGAATAATCCACATCGTCTCTTCTTTCTTTGGTTGTTATGCTGGGGGTTCATCTTTGAGTAGAACGATAACTAATGAGAAACTCGGAACTAAATCTCAGGTCCTTTGCACAAAAATTATTATTGTGATTAAAGCAGTAAAGTTTTAGAATTAGCAATTAGATAACTCTAATAAGTGAAATAATTGGCGTTAACTATTAGGAAAATTTTATTTTACCAATAAATCGCTAAAATCAACTAATAATCCTGCAGACTTATCTGAAATTTTTCCCGGAGATGGATTTAGTTCTGCTGGAGGAAAAGTTATTAGAATAGGAAAAGTTATTAGGTGGATTTCATGGAATGAATTCGTCAAGAAATAACCAAATTCAATATAGACGAAATTTTTTCCAATTTGTTGATCGAGACATTGCTGTAAATCACTGAAATTCTAATAAGTACCGATCATTGTAATATTTCAGCTTTCATCGATAGTCGTTGCGATAACTCTAATAATAGTTATCTACATCGCCACACCAATATTCCAATTTTTGCCTAAAGTAATTAATTAAAGCATATTAATTAATTGCAATTTTCCACATCGTCATATTCTTCATATGCTAGTAGGTCGCATCATTATTATTGATTTGGCTTATCTTACTAACAATTAACATAAGGAGCTCTCTAATCCTGGAAATAACTAATTCTCTCTACTCCATTGAACAAAACGCGTAAATGGGATTTTTAAGCGTTCACTAGTGTTCATTAATATTTATATTTAGGCTATATTATCGTGCATATTAGTTATAGCAATGAAGGACTTTTATATTAAAATTTGCCAATCAAGTATACTATTTCGTCAATCTATGGCCGATTTTGTGAGTTGTTTGGTATTTCCAAAACCGAAAATATTTTACCAAACTTCCCGTACTTTTCAATTATTCTAATAAATACGAAATTCCATCAGTTTTGCTTTGTTAATAGTTACAACTCGGCTGAAACTGATAAGTTAACAGCGATTTTGCATGCGTATTCATACTCAAATATTTAATGTGAAAACTTAATTAAATCCTTTCAATCTTTCTGATCTTTTGGTTATTTTTTAAATAATTTCCTCATGAAAACCTAATTCTGAATTATTACCGCTTATCTAAAGATAATTTCAGAGTATATTTTTAATCTCGTTTCTGTCAGTAGTTTTAATTAACATGAACATAGGCCTTGTTGTTGGTATTGTTTTTGCATTGCTAACTGTGGTTTTACGATCACAATGGTAAAATTGCTATTTATCTATTTCTTTATTAAAAATTTATGAAATTTCTTTACCGATTCAACAATGAAATACAAAGGAGGAAAATATACGATATGGGCAATAACAAATAATTTAATTTGAATAAAGAAATTGATTTATCTTTCAGGGCTGAGAGTACATGCATGGGGAGAATACCTGGGACATCTGATTTTAAAGGCATTGGCCATTATAGAGCGGCTATGGAAATTCCTGGAATAAAAGTCTTTCGATTCGATGCAACCCTATATTTTGCTAATGCAGAACTTTTCTTGTCACGACTACATAGGTGAAATGAAATGATTTCGCACAGTTTGTTATCAACCACTTTAAATCATTCGTACCATATGCATAAATCTTTTTTCTGATAACAAGCTTATCAATTGAAAGTTTCTAAAAAGACTGGTCTCTCGTAGCTTATTCATAGAAATTTATCTATTTTCGCAATTATTCCTGAAATTCCATCCAAAGGTGAATTCACCAGATGAGCCTTTGAAATAAATAAATAAATCAACATTAATTAAAACAAAGAAATTAAAAATTTTTATATTGTCACGAAAGCTAGCATTTTCAGAGCGACTGGTTTGGATCCAGTAAGTATAGCTTCAGAATTAAGAGAAACTACACTGCAAGCGAATCAACGTGATAAATGTCGATCAGCTTCTGACGAAATATCACAGTTGAATCCAGAAGAAGAGATTCGTACGTCATTTTGGAGCTAAAAAACTGGTTATATTCGCTTATAATATCATGGAACCAATATCTTTTTCTTTAGAATTAACTATTCATCGAAATTGGATTCAAAAATCAGTGAATACAACAGAAGACGCGACCAGAAACGAAGGCTTTGTTCAATTAACACATATTATTATCGACTGTTCATCGTTTCCTTATATTGATATAATGGGAATTGAAGCTTTAGCTCGTGCACATGCAGAATATAATGCAATTAATATTACAGTATTTTTTGCGTGTTGCAAAGGTGAATTCCTGTTCGCATTGGCCTATTTCTCACTCATTCGATGCAAGTACCACAGTATCAAAGATGACCTTAATCCAATTTGCCATTCATTTCCCAACTCTTAATTAAACCTAAGATATTTTGCGATTCATTCTAATAATTTATATCATTTATTCTATTTATGATATTTAGTTATTTTGCTTGGTATAGAAAGTTTTCTTATAGTAGCAGTACGACAAATGTTCGAAAAAACGGATTTTTACAATCGGGTGGCCAAGAAATATATGTTTGTTTCAATATCAGATGCTGTATTGCAGGCTCAATATGAACAAAAATATGAGCTCGGTGTTTCCAAGACTTAAGTGGATTTTAAACGATATGCATAAATATATATTTTGATGCCTTTATATATATATAATATATATATATATATATTTTGATGCATATATATTTTGATGCCTTTTGGTGTTTTATTATTTCCCTCAGGAGTAAAACTTTATATGCTGATGACTCAGCGGCAAAATTTTTTCGGTTAGACAGCAAGCCAGTAAGGCGAGTCCAGAAATGGCAACTTCTTAGTAAAGAATACTTCGTTATGCATCGCCTTGATAATAAATTTTAATAGTTGAAAATGTCCAATTTAAGATCCAAATCATATGTTATTACTTTGTTCGATAACTGAAATTTCCAAACATTCGTTATGTAGGAAAATTTAATTTAAACAATATTTTAATGAGAACGAAAATATTTCGAATGCGAAGAATCGGCAAATTGTTTATAACTATTCTATAATTATAATTATTAATTAGTTTTTGAAGTATAAAATTAGTTCAATTATTTTATTTAAAAATAAAAAAGAAAATTGAATAATAAAATTTTTAAAAAAGAAAAACAAAAAAATCCAATTATGCGTCATCTTTGTAGAGGTCGCGTGCCACGTTTCTTTGGGGAGATTCATCATGAGTTCCAAAATTAAGTCGCAGTCCACAGGTAAGGAGGAAGGAGTGGACCTTCTAATATTGAATACTGTGGAATTCAATCGAATTTATAAACTCTTGAAAAAACAAAAGCAAGCAACGCTTGTAAATAGAAAAATCAGTGAAAGAACTTATAATCTCAAAATTTTTTCCACATCAATGATTCCACTTTTATTCGAAAGGTGGAACGAGAAAAAATTGTCGAAGCAAATAAAAATATTTATTTAAAAACGATTTTAATTGCTCACAACTTTCCAATAAAAATTATGCGAAAATACAATCAATCAAATTAATGATTTGAATTAAAATTTAAATTTTTAAATTTTAATTTAAATTACGCCTTAAATGGTTGTAATACGAGATTTACGATGCGATAATTATAAATATAGCTGGAATTATTCAAACAATATTAAGTAATGCAGTTTAGTCACACGTGTTTATCTATTTGCTCTGACTTTGCTGTGGAACGTTTTATCACACCAGCAGAAAGTGGAATTGGCCAATTTAGAAATGGTGCATACTGCTGGAAGAATGAGAAGACCCAATCAAAATTGAGTATTGCCAGCAACTCCAGTTTAGAATAAATAATCCTTTAGATTGTTGAGAACATTTTCTTACAAATGATCCTCTTTAAATAATTAGTTTCGTTTAGTTTAGTTTAGTAATTTAGTGTCATATCTTATACCAATCAGCAAGCAGATAAACAATATTTTATCACGGAAATACTCGCCCAAAACATTTGGCTAATTTCTGAATACAAAAAATTTTCGGCCTATTTGTCGCTCGTTGTGTCCTATAAATTGTACAATTGTTCTCAGCAATAAATCCAAGAGAATTTTAAAAAATTTTCGACTAATATAATAAATTAATCAATCATTTCACCGAATCCATGCAAAGTTTAGATCGCCTTAATAATGCCTTTGGAGCTCTTATTCTAATCCCAATATTGTAATTAACAATAAGTTAACTAAAGAAATAGCTTAAAAACAGAGATTAATAGAGATTATCAACCATAAGAAACAAAACTTGTTGAAAATTTTAATAAATTGATTGAATAATTAAGGATGATTGAATGATTATACCATAGAAAACATATACCTTACTGGTCCTTTCGGTAGGATAATTTTCGTCTCTACTTTCCCACTTTCCACTTTTTCGGAGCCATCTTCTTGCAGTGGCTTTCTGAAATGTAAAGTCTCATCAGCAAGTATTTAGGAAACAACGATTGCATAAACAGACTACTATGAATCAAGAAATTTAGTTTAATTTTTATTTAATTCGTTATTTTACTTAAGAATAAAAATAAGAATAAAATCATCTCTTCGTAAAATTTTTTTCTTCTGTTATTTTTACTTAAACGTGGCCTACTGAAGTTCAAAAACAAGAATTCTTTACATACCGATTCACTTTATTATCACTTTCGACCATATTTTGCAAGTGCGAGAAAGTTTGCCTATAAATTTGAATAAAGCTTTCATAACTGATTTTAATTTTCAAATTAAAATTTGCACATTTCACCTATCTTAGTTGCCTCGCGATCTAACGCGGTAATATATCAAAATCTGAATGCACAATGAAATCGGGCTGACGAATATATTGCTCAGTTATCAATTCCGTGCAAGAATCTGTATTCGCGAGATCAGATCGCAACGAGGATAATAATTATAGAATTACAGTAAGGAGAGATCACTATTCATGCTAAAAAATAATATATTCGGTGGTTCAACGCACTTCCAGCTGGTATTTATAAAAGCAGACATTGACTGAAATAAATCCATCGGTCTATTAAAGCGAAAGTACCAATATTTCTGGTACCACTATATTTTTTCGTTATTGCAATTAATACAGTTATAAATATGGTTACGCTTTTTCATTTGAATTTTCTTTTTTATCAACATTTTGCAATTGTATTTACATTGTATTTTGTTCTTAATTAATTTTTTTTACAAATTTCAATTTTTTTTTTTATTTGCTAACTTTACTTTTCTTCGAATCATTTTGGCAAACTTTTTTAAAATAAATTGCAAGTGAGAAAGCGCAAATTACCTCTCTTGAAGTCCTTGCAACAAAGATAATTTCATTGCATCAATAAGAAACTTCAGTACGACATCCCACAGTTCAATGGTGTAACTGATGTTCAAATTGCCAGCGACTATGGTGGAATGTTTTCGCTTTGGTCTAAAATGATTTGCAATTTTCTTCAACCAAAGAAACCAGCGTCTTTTCTCATGCATTTCTTATATTAATATTTTTCTTGATTATCGAAGCTTTAAAACGTCGAAATAACGTGTTACCGCATTGCTGACTGCATATGATCAAGGAAAATGAGCATTTTCGAGTCATTAAAATAAAATAATAAAATATTTTCAATTTGAGAAATAGCACTTGTCACAAGCATCTCCTCGCTATGTTGGAACATGAATTGTTAATAATAATATTAAATAAAAATTCGAGAAAATCTTTCTCTTGGAATAGCACTTCCAATTCAATTCCGTTTCACATAACAATACTGTTTACTTGCCTTCATAGGAGGAAATATGTTCGCAGAGATTTTCTTTGGAATGCATTGAGCTTTTATTGCCATTAGAATTTTATTTTGAACGATAGACTTATTCCCTTTATGTGGGAAAAATCAAACGAACTACTTTGCTCGAGCTGAACTTTTAAAGGATTTTTCCTTGAAAATGGAGATTCTAATTGTTTCGTAAATAACTCCTCTCTCAGCAAATTTAATTTTTATTTTTTTAAAGGCATTTTTTAAAATATATATAAAATATAAAATATAATTTTAAATTAATAAATTAATTAATATTTTTAATAATTTTAAAATATAAAAATTAAAATATGATTTAATTTTTTTAAATAATATTTTCCATAATGAAAGTTTATTAACCTTGATGCTGGAAAATGATTTAAGGCATTTTTGAAATGAATAAGCGTTGCTTCATGAAATATATCGAAATATTCTATCTTGAAATTACGACTCTGAAAATTTTTTACTTGCCATTCTGTGAATTTTTTTTCCAATGAATGCCGACAAATCTTTTTTTAATCGCTTTTTTCGATAAATGCATAAATTACAAGGTAGCATTGTTATAATTTATTAGAAGCTTAGTAAAATTAAAATTAAATAAAATTAAATTAAATGTAAAATTTTTAAAATATAATTATTAAAATTGTTATAATTATAAAGTGAAATTGTTACTTTGTGGCGAAATAAAATTTACTAAAAAATTCTCACATTTGAAAGACGATGTTACCAATCTAATATTAGTCATTTCATTTCATTTTCAATTTAAGTAAATTAAAGTAAATTTTTCATAAATTGCAAATAAATAATAACTGCACTGCTTGCAGTGAATTTCACAAACACCATTAAGCACCACTGCACCATTTTCAGCCTTGTAGAGTGCAAAAAATTTTTTTTTGAAAGGGCTCATGATTTCTGATTTGGCCCATTCCATGACTTTGCAAGAGAGAAATACTCGTTAGTATCATTAGTATCAACCGGATTTTTGAAAGACAGTTTTTTCTATTGCAGGATGCAATATCCGAACACTGGCGGCCGCATCGGATCATAACAATTAATTTCATAAGAAATTCATTGAATTTAGTGCAATTTCTATCTTTTTTAACTGAACTACTGAAATAACCAAAATATTTTGCTCTGATCGATTGGATGGAATGAATTTCTTAAGAAATATTATCATATAAAGTTTTTTTTGGAAAACCACTTTTTCACGGGTTTGGTTTTTAATTTTCTTCATAAAGTTAGGTGAGTGGGGATATTTTAGCGAAATTTGTCTAGCGTGAGCCAGCGGAGCGAACCAGAAATGGTGAATAGTTTTCGAAAAAAAAAATTTTAATATTTTCATTTTAATAATTTCGTTTGTGCTTTGTCATTTTAAGAAAGCACAGTTTTTTGTTTCCTTATCAGTTCTCATTAATAAGATATCACGAATTCCGTGGGCCATATGGTGATCACATATTTGAAGATTCCTTGGTAATATCAAATATCAAATTAAATATCAAATATAATTAATTTACAAGATTCATTTTAAGATTTTTTATGCGATTTAATAAATATTTTGGAAGCATAAGTTCAAGAAATTGACGATTTATGAAAGTGGTGCTCTTGAATAAAGCTTTGCAATATTAAAATTTTGTTTTTCTTTCCTTGAAATGAAATAAATTTATTCACTCACACTTTTGATAAAGTTTTAGGAAAGGAATAAATAATTAAAGAGATTTTATGAAAAAATTTAAATATAATTAGTAAAACAAATTAAATGATGAAAACTGAATACTTTTTGCAATCTTGCATGCAATTTTCCAAGATTTTGAAGTAAAGGATAAAGTTTCGTGGTGTCATCGATAGCATAAATCACACTCTGGAGTGCCTAAATAGACAATCATGAGATCTTCAATCGTAGCGCCGATGCTGAGGTTCTATTTCCCGCAGGAGTAAACCTGTCCGAAAATCCGAGTGATGCTGACGACTCACCTCTATTTCTATCGCCTGGCATATTGTCCAATGCGACAATCCAACCAATAATGGTGAGGGCTCTTGAAAAAGAAAACCCTGGATTACAGAGGGATAATTCAATTCGCACAAAAAATTTATATAGGCTAATAGGTAACTTCGATGGTCAAGATGGAGCTGATGATGAAATTGGAGGTTTTAGTGCAAAATTATGAGAAATCTACCTGCATAAATCGTAATGCATGAAAACGCATTCCGGCCGATCGTTTTTCATCACCAAAATCTTCGATTACCATGAAAGGAAACATCTAAATTATATTTTATCAGTTTATAGTGTTTCCCAAAGAATGATAAAAATGACATTATTTTTTGAAATGATTATTTAAATTCATCGAATTGTAAAATGACATCATTGAAGAATGGTTCGAATGAACCTAAAATTTCTATTACTTTTTCCATATAGAATTTATTTATTGTCCCATAAATGGCTCAGTGGGTGTCACTGTGGTCGTTTTGGAGCATCAGCAGTTGTGTTCCAAAAATTAGAAAAAAATTTGCCCATCAAAAATCTTTCAGTAAATCCAAGTGGTGTTGGTGACCTCTATTCCTATCGCCAAATGACTCTGGCAAAATTTGTCTAATCCGATAAGGCGGTGGAGCTTACCTGACACGGAATGGTAAGAATTTAGAGAATTAGTTGCAAATATAATATTCATTTTTCATTTGAACCCAAATATTAAGCATAATGCATGATTGAAAGTGCCAAAAATGTTCGATTTTGTTGAAATTCTTTCAATTTTTCAGAAAAAATTAACTTTTTTCCACTTCATTAAAAATCATTTACATTATAAATTCATTCTATTTTATTTTTTGTCACCATTATTAATAATTATAATAATAGCTTTGTTTCTAATTAATGATTTCTTATTTTTTGGCTATTCTATCAAAATGAATTTCAACTAAACTTTCATAATAATAAAGAGCGATAATTACGTTAAATTAGTAATTAGACGAAGATGATTTTTGAGACAAATATAATTGAGTTGAAATGAAGGTTAGCAAAGCTCTGGCTAGTATTCTCCACAGTACATTGAAAATTATGAAGATTATGTGATTTAATTAAAAAATACGCTAAAATTTTTTGTATGCCTCCCGTGAGACCGCTTACATAAACTAATCATTATGATGAATACACCCATCGAAATTCCAGTGAATTATTATCTATAAGTTCTCATAGGAAAAAGAAATGATGAGCTAACCTTCTTGGCTTCAGGACATTTTTGAAAAATTGACTCGAATATTCTTATAGAAATGCGCTCTATGTCTTGAGTGAGATATAACCAACTTTCACGCAGACTGTTTTTTCCGACTTCATCAATTTTCTCAACCATTTCTTGCTATAGTAATAAGTTTGTTTATATCGAATCGTAAAAATAATCCAAATTGATTTAAATTATGTGGTTATATTAAGAAGAGAATTGCGAATTTTAACAAAATGAAACAATCAACTATTGAAATTATCATTTTTAAATTTTTAAGGAAAAGGTATCATTTGCCGTACAATGCAGGTGCATAGGCCATTGTATAAATAGATATATAGGTTACTCTATAGTATGGGTATACAGGCCATTGCATGATATAGGCATATAGATCGTGGTATAATAAAGATATATAATATAATTATATGGGTATAGAGCTCATTGTAAAATATAAAATATAAGTGCATAGGCCGAAATTCCACTGGAACAAACCAGTCTTAAATTTTTTGTCCCCATATGACAATTTAATGAATTTATAATTTTTCTCGAATATAAAATTGTATTATTGAATATAAAATTATTCTTGCCAAGGAAAAACGATGCTAAATCAATGAAGAAAGCGAAATATTTATGAACGAATGTAAAAAAATTATATCGAATAAAGGAAAAATTCATTAAAAAAGTGTTCATGGATGATTTTTAAATGGATTAATAAAATAATTCTATGAAGATTTTTCGTAATCATTTAGATGAAAGAAGTACATTGATAAAATTAACAGGAATATATAACCATTAAAGTACTTTAATTCACATCTATTTTATTATATAAATAAAAATCTATTCTATTCTATAAATAAAAATTTCAAAGATCGAAAAAAAAAGATTCATAAAAAAGAAAAAGAATTTGATTGAATTATTCAAGTGACCGGACAAACTTTTAGAATTTTAAAAAAACAATCGCAGTCATTATGGTTTGATGGGCCGAGTTTGGCCAAAAGGCAGTTAGCATTGGCTTGATTGCCTGATCTCCCCAGGCAGTAATATCACATGAGTGTAATAAATTCATAACATGAAAGTGGGGTCCAAAGCTGAGGCTGTTGCAAAGTGAACCCACTTTTATCTCTATTTCGAAGCGGATTTTATTGAAAATTATCAATTATTCATTGATGAAAAAAATTTTACAATTAATAACGGATGATTTCGAGCCAGTTTTCTATTATTACAGAACAATTAATAAAAAAAACACGTAATTTAAAGCTATTTAGTTAATTAATAATCGTAAATACCCTTAAGTAAATAAGTAAGACTGCTTTTCGAATTGTATTGCTGATCTTCTAGAGATCAAATATAGGAAATTTATTATTCTCATGAGTAGTTTTAAAACATAATTAGGAATATATAGGATTTGAATGGTTCTTGATGTTATTTCGGAGAGCCGTTGCTACGATTCTCGTTTCGATAAAACTAAACCTCTCTTCTAAAAGTCGAAATGTATTTTACTTCCAACTCCAAGCGACTGACAAAATTTGCACAGATTCGGACGCTAACTTCAGTAAGAATAACTAAATATAAAAATATAAAAAAAGAGGATGGATTCTGTTCAACATTATGCCAGGTCAAAAAATTATAAAGCATATTCTCAGTGGAAAAATAGCGACAAAGGTCGATGGAAAAAAATTTTCTCGCATTTTTTCCACTGAAATTTAGAGGCTGAATGTTGCGGTGATATGAAACAATCACGAATCAACGATCTTAAACATTTTCATGGTCATGATTTGTGCGTATATTGTATTATAACCAGTCAAATAAAATTGGTACCAAATACTTGAAAATAAAAGGACAGTAAAATGTTATTTGCCTTTGATCACTCATATCTGAAACACAGGTTGGGCAGGTAAAATCTTTTATCATTTCAACCATCCACCTTCGCTCAAATACCATCTCCATTAATATAATACCATAGCGTCGCCTTCGCTGGTAAGAGCATTCTTCGTCAACCACCAGAGAAATTGATTTCGTAACTTGGTAAATCCTATGATGGATGCCCTCAAAAATGAGATGGTCCTGGACTGATACAACCATGAAAAATTTTGAACTTATAGGAAAACCAACGGTATATGGACGATGGAAAAAGGAATGGCTTTTATTAGTGTTAACGATAGATCGAATAACTTCGAGACGATTTATTCTTATAGCCAGCTGAACTGACCCAATCAGTAATGGAAAGAGCTGTTAAATGAATAAGGAGCAAGTTTATTGATAATATTAAGGTGTGGTAGATATATAGGAAAAATTATAATTAACAGATTAATTATTGCAGATGAATTTGGCAAATTAATTAAGCCAATAAAATATAAAATATTTTTATGATTTTAAGAAAATTTTTATTTATGAATTACGTCATTTATTGATAGAACTATTGATATTTTTTCTCTGAAGGAACCCACTAAATATAACTAAAATTATTTAAATAAATAGCAATGATTTATTAGAAGATATTTAGTGATTCGATTGTAATCCTTTTTTTTTTCTTATCATTTCTCACTGATTAGTCTGTTAGTCAGACCATACAAATTTTGCATGAATTACCTGATGGGAATACAAGTAGGTAAAATGTTATTTGGGTTACCAGTACCACTCAGATTTTTGAAAGAAAGGCTTACTTCTAGTAGTACTGAACTCAAGCATCGGAGTCCAAAATGAGAGGAAGAAGCTATTGAACCATTCTCATTTTTTTGGAACATTTTCTTCAGTTTCTCTTCTTGGGGTTCTTAATGTTGAGAAGGATTCTTAATGTTTTTATATTTTGGATACAAATAAATATACAAATAATTCTTTGCTTACATTACCAAAATTGGTTTTTTTTGTCGAAAAGAAAATAAAATTGCCCATAACATTTTTTTCTAATACGCGACTGATAATATATTTCTATGGTAATTTCTTATTTTCTTCTTTTTTTGAAAGATATACAAATTTAGATATATTGAGTGTTGCTCGTCTATCTCTAAGTGATTCTTTGGCTAATGTTAATCTAGCAAACTATGCGAGCCCTTATCAGAACTCTCTTAGAAAAAAACCACTATCTACAAAATCAAGAATTTCCAAGGTAACAATTTATAACTTCCATCACTTCATAAATTGTGCAACTTATTGCCCCAATTTTTATTTTTCTTCTTTTTGCAAGAATATACTCACAATATTTCTTTTTGACTTGCTGTCCATTAGAATGTTATTTTTGCCCAGAGATCAACATTCACCAGGATTTCAGCTTTTTGTTTTTTTTTCAATTTCTGGTTCAACCAAGTCTTTTGTTGCTCTGATTTTTTTATAATTTATTCCTTGTTTTCTTAAAATCGAATTCTTAAATTTGAATTCAAAAAATTATATAAATCGAAATCGACAAGAAAATGCTGAAAATTTTAAAATTTAATGATAAATAATTATTAAGGAGAATTTCTAATATAATAATCTAATATAATTTCTAATATAATAATAATAATATAATGAAAAGTAAATTGCTGAAGAAAATAAGTTGGGCTACATGGTTTAACATTTTTTTTTGGAAAAGTGGCAAAAAACTTCAAATTTCACTCATACCAAAATATTACATCATGAAGCACAATAGGTTAGCGCTAACTGGGTAGGCGTGATAGAACTTTGAGCCTGTGCTTTTTTGCAGCAGTTGCTCGAGAACTTCCTTCCAGTTCCTCACACGCAAGCCTTTATATCTACCATCCTATTGTTATTTATTTTTTTATAAATTTTTATTTTTTATCTTTAACCATTGGTAGTTCAACCATTTTCAAGCAATTGCACCGATCTAGTCAAATGGGATCAAAAGAACAAGTTAGATCAATACGTATCTTGTTCATTACATTGCGTCAAACTCAAATGGTCCTTGCACACGTCTACTAGAATAAGTTAAATAAGCAGCGTTCCTTCTCGCTTACTATTTAATACATTAGTAAAATCATAGTCCATACCAAGAGAAGCTTAACAAATCATTTAGGGGACTTTCTGGAGTGCAGTGGCTACAGTGATTTGCCAAGATAAGTCTTCGAATAATTCTCGTCGCTGGATGATAAATAATCAAATAGCCGATGGAATCAGTCGAGATGTGCATTGCTAACAGAAAAACAAAAATTTATCATTCCTCATTTTATTCAACCAATGAAATATTTTGCTAATTTATAGACGAGAATTTATTCGAAATTTTATATTATCACTCTAAAAATCTATTAAATTTGCAAACTTTTGCAAGTAAGTAAACAGGCAACTCATCTCTTCAAGAAAATGATTATTGTGATATATTTATCATATATTGTTGTTGTTGTTGTTTAAATCTTTCAGCGTTCTTAGTTCCAAAAAAATAAAAAAATATCTAGAAAATTAATTAAAAATATTTAAATAGCATAAATTTTCTTTGAATTTGAGAAATTTTTAGTAAAACAAAATGAAATTTTAATAAAAAAATAACATAATTTTTTCATTAATTCAATTATTATTGAAAGTGCAACCGAATAACTAACGAATGAAATCTGTGAAAAAAAATTTCTTTCAATCCTTCTTCGTATCATATGATTTTCACATTCATGTAACCATTATTTAAGTACAAAACAAAAAATAATATTTGCCATCCTACTGAATGAATATGAATTTGAAAAAATCAAAACACGATTTTTTAAGTGAATTTTTGTTTTTTATTTTAAATTTTCAACCATTTCTGGTCAGATTCGCCAATTGGGCTATGAAAATTTTAAATTTTACTAGGGAATCACAGATGAGTCGCTTGTATTACTCAGATTTTTTGAAAATCAGCCTCTGTCCCGACGAGAATAAAATCCTCATTAATATTGGTTGCCTCGGGTGAAATGAAAATCAGCAATTCAATAAGCAATTTAAATGAATCAATTTATTATTTTCGATTAAACTAATTTGTTTTTTTGTTTCATATCGATAAGAAATTAATTGAAAATTAATGAAAAATCATAAAAATCATTTAAATTCCTTAATTTATTTATTGTATTTGTAACGCGGAAAAGAATAAAAATTTGAAGTAATTTAATTTTAAATGAAATTTTTATTGAAGTGTAAAGTAAATTCACTTATTTACAAATCTATATTATTAGCAATATTTTCAGGAATTGAAAATATTTATAAAAATCGAGACACAATGGTGAACGCGGAGATTTTAAAAGAACACGCTGCAAAATATAAGATAAATAAAGATACTGCTGGCGAATATCACAAACAGTTAGCGCTTTCTTGCATTTTTTCCTCCGAAAAAAATTTAAACACTAAGTTAAAATTTTTTCGTTAGGCAATAGAAAGATTTATAGCATAAAACTAGCGATTAGATAGCGGTTTATATCAGAGATTCTCAACAGGGAATGCAAATCGCCTGGAGGTCAATAAGCCTCGAAACGCCGATTGATAGGTGGTCGATTGATAAGTCAAATATTTATTCTTTTTTAAAAAGACACACGAATTTCAATAGTGAAATAAATAATAGGGATTGACGAATGTGTTAAAAAATTTCGAATAATAATATTTTTAGCAATTTCCATTTCACATTTACCAGTTTGCAAGTCAGTTGCTGCCATATAAATTATTTGTTAAAGAAAACGTTTATATAAAAATTTAGATAAATATATTACAATGTGGTGATTTTAGAAAAGCGTTGAATAATTTTAAAAATAATTAAAAAATAAAAAAAATATTGCTACATATAGCCTTCGCATAAATGTTATAAATAAACAATAGTATTTGTTTTGACATATTTTATTTTCGATATTTCTATATTTTTTGCAAAAGCGAAAATTTTTTTATAAAAATTATTGTGCAAAAAAAAACATTTAGGCAAAATAAAATGACTTTCAAAGAAAATAATAAAAATTTTCATAAGAATTTTCCAACAGATACAAAATTCCCTTGAAAATCTCGAAAACATTTTTTATTGTTGTCATATTGCCAAAATTTGTCAAAATTTCATTAAATCACATGCACATGATATATCATGCAAATTCTAAGAAAATAAGATAAAAAATTTAAAGGCAATCAATGGAAAAGAATATTTCTTTTGTGAGTGGTTGATATAAACAAAAAGCTCGGAAACCCTAATGTCGCCAAATAGCCAATCCAAAAGCTAATTTTGAGGTTTCTACGATTTCACTCTTCTTCATTTCAGCCTGCAGCACTTTCTCCTTCACAGAACCGTCATTTTTATTTTATTCTTACTTCGTTGGTTGCCACTACGGAGATTTTCTTCATAATGCATTAGTTATGGCCACGAATGTTTACTTTTTTCTTCATTGGTTGTCGCCACAAAGGCTTTTGTTTTTATGAGTATCGCTGCTTTCTCAACTATTCATTAATTATCTTTGATTGCTCAATTATTTATTGCAAATAAGTTGCTGAAAACATTGAATCCATTTTCCATCATTACGTTCCAAATGTGGCTTTTGCTTTTGCTACCCGTTTGACGACATCTAATTTATATTAAAAGTTTCTTCTTTTTGAACATTCTTCTTTTCTGGCTCGATTTGCTGGCTTGTCAGGCAAATTTTTAGAGGGCATCATTTAGGGATAAAAATACCGATAGATAGGCAACTGAGTTTTTTTCGAAAGACAAACATATGCCAAGAGTGGAACCCCTGCATCGATAACTCGAAGCGGAAGTAATGCTGAACCATTCTATCCACTGGCAATGAAACTTTTTTCCTTATATTCCCAGGATATAATTTTCAAGAAATTTTAGAAGATTTTTAAATTTTTCCACATGAGTTTTGAATGAGTAAACTGCACAAAATATTCATTAAAAATATACCATTCAAATAAAATAAGAATACATAAAAAATAATTTCATTATTCACACGATAAAAATACAATATATAAAATCTAATCTAAATGCCCATAAATCTCCTTAGAATATCTGTGGACCTTCATAAAGGCCAGTTGAATCACTGCTGCTTTTAAAATTTCTTAATTTAGATATATACTCGAAATATATACTCGAAAGAATGAATTTTCTTGCAATTTAAAAAATTATACATTTGTATATATTAAATATGTAAATATATTAATATATATTAAATTAATAAATTATAATTAAAAAAATTCCTTTATAAATTTGTATAACTAATCTATTTAGTTTGAAACCTATGGAAGCATCTATTCTCACTCCATATGCGCTTCTCCTAATATCTGGTTCTTTGCCAGAAGCCTAGGATCTTAGGGGTATTGTACAATATCTTAGCTGTTCCTAGCAGTGATGAATGAATAAACTAAATAAATAAATAAATAACTAAATAAATGAATAAATAAACAGTGCTGACGGAAATCACAGATGTTCCGACAGCGTTCGATGCGTTTTGCCAACGCAAAAGTCATAGTATTTTATGATCACCACTTGAACTATTTTAGCCTTCACTTTCCACATCACCTCTAGTTCCTCTTTCAGCCCTTGGTATTTCTCTAGTCATTGGCGAGTATTTATTTGTCTATCTGGATGGAAAAGAGACATCTCGCTTTATTCTCTATGATTTTCTGACGAATCTTTCATCTGGTTTTGGAAGGATATGCTGGACAGATATTCTTGTAGACAAGCCCAGAGTTAATTCCTGTATTTCGCATGCTGCCACTATATGCTGGGCAGTTTCTAAGGCTTTTCTGTATGGTCGTAGATCCTATGCCCGATGCCATATATATAATCAATGCTTCGTTATCTTTTGCACCAGCTTCCTCCAACTACCGATGGGATTTTTCAGCTATTTCAGCTAGCTGTTGATGGCAAGTCCATTGGCGGAACCTGGTTTACCACGATATATCCTTTGTTTGGTCTTTCTCCAGTGTCTATTGTTTCTCCCAGCATTTTACGCTTTGCTGCCATCTTGCTGATCTAGTCCTGAATTCTCCTGGTTTCTTTCATGGCAGTAGTTTTGGCACTTGTCAAACCTCATCCGCCTTCTTTTCGTTGGTATATCGTCTTTGGATATTAGAATTGAGATGGGAAATTTCCGGTTTTCACATCAGAAATTTCGACTCCTTCTTCAATCATCTGATTATGCCAGTTGCAAGTGCCAGAGAATACATGTTTATGGCAGGGATTTTGTTCTTTTTAAATTCTCCGATGTAGGAATCCATAAAAATCCATTTACTTCTGTTCTTGACAACCATAGAACTCCTCATGATTAGCGGCATTATACAAGCTTATTTCAATCTTTCTCGATTACCCATATCATCTTTTTTGAAAAATGCACCGCATCTGCATAAATGACGATTGCTTTTTATTAAATTTTAAATTCGAGGACTCAATCCATTTTGATCAAATACTCTTTTACAAGGCTTTGCCTTAAGTTTGCTTAAGTTTGCTTACTTAACAAACTTTTTGTATGTGTCACCGGGCTAAATGTATAATTCGCGGAATAACTGGTTATCAAATAAAGATATATGAGCACCAGATATTTTCATCATAGAGTCAATTGGAAAGAAACGTAATATAGGCGAATAATTCCAATTCTAAATTTTATGACCGGTATATTCTTGCGAAATGCTAGAAAAAACATGATTAAATAAAGCACAAATTATTTTTGTATTAAAAATTGAAATTTCAAAGTCTACAATTAAAAATTTAGCTTTCGGCAAATCTACACGTAATTTGGAAAAATTCGAAAATTTTTATAAATTGAATTGTTGACCACATTTATAATTTCAAAAGTTTTCTTAAGTTAATAAAACTTGCCCAGTTTTCTAAAAAATCCATGATGAAGCTTATTCCGAATGGCCTTCGCCTATCAGCTAAATTGTCGAATCCCAATATCTTAATTGTAATTCATACGACCTCAAAAATTTAGGTAGATTGGAAAAGGAAAAAAGATGACTCTCCACAAATTCATACAAAATACTGCAGCAGCGGTCTAAATCAAACCAAATTTTACTTTTTCCTTTTATTTGTCGAATATGGTTATTATCAGGATTAAAAACCAAAATTTATTTAGATTATTCAAAAAGCATCCTGAAATCGCTGCATATTATGGGGCCGAGGATCTCGATCCTGACTCTATCCCGAAATCTCAAAAATTTGTGATGATGGGAATGTCAGAATTACAATACTTTTTCAAGCTCCCTGAGGTGTTCGGAGATGAAAGGAAATGGAGATCTGCTCTCTCCGTGATTAAGGATCACTACGAAGAAGTTGGAGTTCCTATGTCCGAATTTAATGTTAGTCGTTTTCACCTTGGTGTAAGCGATTTAAAAATATGTTGAATTGGCATTATATCACTGGAGTTTTGCCATCCGTGATTTAAAATGAACAAGCTGATAAATATTTCAAAAGAATTTTCTTTAAATGTTTACGTTAAAGCGTTAAGTTGGCCACAATAATAAGAGTGACATATAGGAAAGAAAATCGGCAATAATGTATAAACATCTCAGGGATATTTGAAAAAATATTGCAATTTTTATCACTAGGGAAACTGGTAATACTGATTTATCTTATCATCTCATTAATGATAGTGAGTAACTTTAATCATTTTATTTTTAAAATTTAGAATTAATTAAATTAAATAATTAAATAATATTCGAATGTGGTAATAATCGAATAAGGAATTAGGAATCAGATATAATGATTAAAATAAATAAATACTTCATATTTCATACTAATTAATTTTAATAGAAGAACTATTTGCTTGAAAAGTCGATTCTACACGGATTCTTTTTTTTAAGTGCTTATCTGTTCTAGTCAGGCTCATTCCACTGGTTCGGTGGGTCAAATTTTGCTGGAGAGTCATTTCGTAATAGAAGCACAGGTAAATCGTTAGTGTCTTGAAAGACAAGTTCCTCTCGTTGGAAATGGAATCTCCAGCATCGGCGCTGCGAAATGACAGCAACAATCTACTGAATTTTAATCCATTTATAAAAACATTATGAAAATAAAATTAAAAAATTATAAAATAAATTTTCCGTTTTATTTCTAAAATTTCAAGATTGCTAGTCTCACGTAACGTGCAATCACTTCAAACTGAAGTTAAAATTTCAGCCATCAGATTAAAAAAAAAAGAATTAATCACAACTATTTGACAAGAAAATTAAGTGAAAATCTATCAAATATTTTCTGTCATCTCTCAAAACTCTCTTTAAGATATCCATTGTGCGATAATTTTCAAAACAACAAATAATTATTGTTGAGGATTTCCATTATCTTTAATGCTGCCAACAGTTTGACTGGTTCCACTTAATAAATTACGTAGAATGGTGCATTTAACAACCACTCGGGTTTATATGTAGTTTTTTACGTATATATAACTACAACTTAACTATAACTATACGTATATATATATATAACTTTGATGCCGCTTAATAAAACACAGAGTATTCAGAAGTAATCGATAAGATGTGGAGTAATAAGAAAGAATGTGGTGAGCTAGGATAGTACCAGAGCTCGAAAGAAGAACCAGAAGAATGAAGAAAGTGAAGGTCAGAGTGCAGCGATAGGAGAGCTATATTGAGGGCTATGCCCCTAAATTGAGAAATTGTCTCCAACAGGCCACAGAAACATAAGAGCTCTCTGACCAGAAAAGTGCAATGCTAGGAAGCCAAAACACTCATTAATTAAACTCCCAATTCTTTGCTAGAAGAGTGAGGATCAGAGGTTAAGGAATATAGGGCAAATGAGAATGAATATTTTTTTTTATATTTAGAAAATTTAAAGCTTCACAACATTTGAAAGTAAATTATGAGATAAATTTCAGAAAGCCACCGAACCTTTATTAGCTGCACTGGAAAAGAATGCAGGAGGAATGACGAATGAGCAACGAAGTAATTGGCAGGAAATGCTTAAGAAGGCTTATGAAGACATGAAAAAATGGGGTTGGTACTGAAAATTCGATTCAAGGAAATGCGGCCAAAAAAAAATTTCTTTCAGGACCGATAAATTATTTATAAAAGAATTCTTGCAAATTACTTGTAATTATTTGCAATGCAATTGTATAAAAACTATCGATTACCATTAAATTTAAATTTAAATATCGAAAATTTTCAAAATTTTGCACTGATTTCAATTTTTGAATAATTTTGAAATTTCGAAAGGTCGAATAAAAATAAAAATACAAAATGGATTATCGACGGACGAAACTGATCGTTAAGAATGATGCTCAAATGCTTCAATTTTTTAAAAAATTTAATAATAAAAAAACAATGTAAAAAACAACGAAAATATTGCTATTAAATTAGGCTTAATGGCTTGTTATTAGCGCTGATACTGGAATTTTGTTCTATGCACGACTAAACCCACGACTAAAGAACCAGGGCCAGGGAACCTGTCAATACATTTAAGCTTCTATTGCTAAGTGAATTTTTCATGATCTATAAAATTTATCTGATTCGGCAAGCCAACGAATTTAGGCATAAATGATAAGGGTCGCTCATCAAAAATAAACACAGCAATGGACGAATTAAACAATTTATAAATTATAAAATTAATAAAAATTATTATTATCATTGTCAACAATGCTCAGTTTTACTAATGTATACTATAATTCTAACACAATATTTTTATTAATATTGTTAAATTAATAATTAATATTATTATATTATATTAATAGAAGGAAAATGAAAAGTCATAATGAATTTAAAAATCTATTGAAAACTTGCTGTACTATATTTTTAAAATGTCTTAGGCTGACATATATAATAACTATTTTCCTGACCAATAAACTGAATTACGCGCATTGCCATTCCGATTTTTTTGGCTCTAATCAAAATTTGGTCTGAGCCGCGGTTACCAGTTTTGGCTTTGCTACGCCACGATATTCGCGTTATCTAATGGAAGAATTCTTCTTAATCATCATACAAAACCCACATTAAATAAAATAAAATCAAGAAACTGTATCACTTTTCTTAACGAATAATTAGAACGGAAATTTTCAAATTTTAACTCAAAAAGTATTCCTTGAATAATTTTATCATTTATCAATTTTATCAATTTTCATAAAAGAAAATTTCGTCGGCAAAGCAAAATTGAAAAAAGAAGGTGTACTCATAAATATTTTAAATTAAATATCTCGAAATATACTACGTAAAATTCAGTAGCTTTTCAAAACACTTAAATATTTCGGTAATAATTATCTTTGATTCAAGAAAATTCATATTTACTCGATGAGCTTATTCACTCAAATTTATCAACGAGAGTTATTACTTGTTCGTTAAGAAAATTTTGCAGAAATATTAAATATTTAAACAAATTAAATAAATTTAAATAAATTGAAGTAATAGAAAATTTTTGTTATTTTTCTAAAATAAAACTAAAAAAAACTAAACAATCATATAAATAGCAGAAAAAAAGATTTAATCATATAAAAGATTAAAAATAAAGTAAATAGAATTTTTAAGATAAAAATGGAAACGTTGACGTTGACGAAAATAGAAATTAAATAGATTAGAAGTTAAAAATTAAATTAAATTGAAATAAATTAGCAGTAAATATTAATATATATTTTATTTTAAAATAGATTAAATAATTTGATTTTATAATTTCGCTATTTTTATCGAAAAAACTTTAATTGAAAGTTTAATTTTTGCCAAGTTTAAATTATACAAATTAAATAAAAAAATTATCGTTTCGTTTCGACGCTATTTTCATAAAGACCCCGAAAAAAAAAATTAAATATATTAATTATATTTTTTCAATATTTTCATTTTTTTGCAAAATTTTTTAAAAATCTTATCTCATCAAAAAAATGTTAAAAAAATATTTTTTCATATTTTAATGCATCTATGAAGAAAAAAAATAAAATGCTTTAGCTTTTAGCCTTTTTTTTAGCTTTTTTTTTATAAGAATTTCTTTATTTGCCAGTGTTCATTTCTTTTAATTTTCTTTTTTTCACAATTTTGAACTGCATCACTAGAGAGCCATTTGATGGATATACTTCAGAAGCTCGGATTTCACTCTAAGTTGTAGGTAGGTTCACGTCTGAAAACAGAAATCAAAAAAATGCTGCTTGTCTTACATCGAAACATGAATGAACGAAACATCATTACCTTTTACCTGTTTTTTTCTTTTCAGCTTTTACGATTACTGTTAGCCCCGCTGATTACAAAGGTAGGTCTGAACCATCTTGGTCTAATATCACGCCTGTCATTGAGGTGTCACTGAAATTAAAACAAGGCATTCCTTTTTCCATCGTCTAAGCCCATATAGCGCTGCTGCCTGTAGGTTCATATTCACGTTGAGGTTTCAACTAGCGAGATATTTATTTATTTAGAGAAACAGATCAATTCTTGCGATGAAGAACAGTGATTAACACTGAAGCTTTATGACGATAAACTCAGATAGTGCACATTTTTAATATTTGGTGAAAATAAGGTGAAAAATTGTGCCGAAACGAGGAAAACTTAAAAAAGTGTGTAATTGAGACGATTAGCAGCTACGAATGATTAATGTAAAAATGTGTATGGGGAGTGGGAAGGAATAATCAGTAGGGGAGACGTATCTCTTTTTTATTTAAGATTAAACGTTGAAATTTCTATTTCTCTTAAATATTATAATTTGCTTATACTAAACTATAAGAAATCACCCATTCTTTCAAGGCATCGAACTAAAATTTGCTAATTTTGCTTTTATAATTATAATTTTTGTTATCCTTTATTAAGCAGCGCCAATCACTATTTGGGGGTCTTATAATTTATAACTGCGCAAAAGTATAGTAAAAGATAAGTGGATGCAACAATATGAAGAATATTTAGTCCAAGTCATAGATATTTATCATCTAAATTATTATCATAATCCGATTGCTAAAAGAATGCATGCAATATACAGAAAAGTATGCCAGTAATATCATATTTCCGTATATTCATAAATATGAAAAAAAGGCAATGATAATCTCCAAATATATTTCCGCACAAAGACGGTAAAGATTAAGTAGTAAATTGGCCTGGATATGCATCAAGACGATTCTTTCGAACCAGGAATTTCGTCTTCCTTTGTGTATCTTCTTTCAATATGGCAATTGACATTTCCATCGATGTACGATTTCGTTGTTGAAAAGGTTTTTCATAGAATTGCGTTCGACGAATCAATGATATCAATCCTTCGGAACTCATCAATCTAGAACCAAAATTTCAGGTAAATGATAATGGTAATTTTTTCACCGACCGCACACCACAGCAAACGACATATCTTTCGTCATTTGTTAAGGTCTACGAAGGATGGCGTCAAGATGGCGAGAACGATGAATCAAAACCTGGACTGATATAATCAGAAAAGATTTAAAAGATATAGCCTGAATAGCGATATACGAATTAAGTCGATGGAAAAAGGAATGGCATTTATTGCCATAAAATTAAACAGCTCAGAAACCCTCGTAGCCAACGGGTCCGACCTAACGTAGTGGGGAAAACTATTAGAGAAAGCACTAATATTAAGTTAAATTTTGAAATAAAATATAAATCAAAACAAAAATAGATTAAACGTGTAAGTATAACCTGTTTAGTAACGTAAACGCTGACTCGACATCGTTATTCTTCACTAGAACTGTTCGATTTAAGAACCTTGGATGAGCCCCCCAGATTCCTTTGAACAATGGTACCGCAAAAGGTTGTTTTAATGTTCCACGCCAAAACCTCACCATCAATGCATGCTCTAAAATAATGAATAACAAAAAAAAATACCGTATGCACAAAATCGTTAGAAGACCAACGCGCAAGGCTTTCTTGCAACTAAAATCTCAAAAAAATTTGAGATGTTCAGAATGGCTCAACTGAGGTGGAAAACCACGTTCACGTGATTAAATCTATTTGATTCCGTTTATGGTACTCACCCATGGTACTTTGTGTGGAATGTTGGACCCCAATATTGCACGTAATAACATTATTACTAACAATCTTTTTTATCGGACTTTTAATGACAAAATGCGCTTAGATTTAAACTTTGACTGCACTGATAAATTTATTGATAAAATTTACGAAAAATTTTCCCTAAAAATGATCCAATTTTTAAATAAAAATGAATAAAGATAAAAAAGCAATAACAACGACAAGAATAACATCAGCACACGACTGTAATTATAATTATCGTTATCAAAATAATCATAATGATAAAAAATTTTTTTTTATTAAGATATCATTCTCTGCGATTAATAAACAGTGATCTTAATAAACAATGTTTTACGAGATTATCTCCAAGGAAATTTATTTAAAGAATTCTTGCATCGATTACAAATCTATTAAAATAGATAATTCTAATAATATTTAAATAGATAATTCTAATAATAATATTTTATACATTTTTAAATATTTATTCAAAAAATTTGCAGTAATGCTAATTTTAAAATTTTCTATAGAAAAAAAATACGACAATAATTTTATTATTTATTTTTTAAATGATTTAAACAATTTTTCAATATTTTAATCAATATTGCTATTTCGCAATTATTACTATGATTCGAGTGATGCTAGCTATTCACCTTTATTTCTATCGCTAAGGGCTACCTGAGGCATAATTGTGAAGTTCAACAAGTCAAGCGGAGCGAGTTCAACTAGCAGTGGTGAGTGCCCTCAAATAATCGATAGACGGTAGTCTGTAGGTGTATCACTCTTTTAATACCTGACCAAAACATATTTACCGTATCAATAACTGCTGCAGCACTAATGACATACCGTGCCAGCACCTGCTGCACCTGCTATAATATTAAGGATAATCGTGCCAACGCCCGCTATAATACTAAGGACATTATCCGAAAATTTATTAGTATGGTTAGATAATTTAGATAGATAATTTTTGTGTTGTGCCAGACTAAAAAAAATCGAGATTCTACACCTGCTTTTATAGTAAGTAACAATAATACTTGGTACAATACTTTAAATAACATAAAAAATGCATTTGTTGATGGTTGCTGGTATTTGAAAATTGGAAATGCACTCATAATGAAGCACTTGAAAATCTTTTTTTTCTGATTCCTGATGAACCGCTTGAATAAGGTTTGAAAAGTTTTCTAACTAAAAGCGCTCACGATTTCTAGCTAGTCCGCTGACCTATCGAACCAGGAAAATTTCAGCGGGCAATCATTTGGCGACACAAATATATAAAAAGGTTAGCATTATCAGTAAAACCTGCAATATATTTTTTTAAAAATGTGATGAAAAAAGTATATTTAAGGTGTATTTTAGAATGTTAAAATAGATAATTTTTCCAAAGAATAAGAAATCCATTCAAACAAAGCAATAAAAATATTGATGCTCAGAATTCACAATGAATTCTGTTCACTTTCATTTCCATAATTTTTTAACTGCTGGCACCATTCCTGTTTTTGCTACATCCGCTAATGAATTAAGAATTAAGAATTAAAAATAAGAATTTTTTATTAGAAAATTATTTCTGAGTGAAGAAAAAGGTAACGGTAGCTGGCAGCGGTCATCATTTCATCATCATTCTTAATTTCATCATTTTTAATGGTAGATTAAAGGAGGCGAATTCGAATCTATAATGTTTGGCCCTAGTCGAGGTAACCTAGTTCTTGAAACACTTTGTGAAGAATTTTCGGTGCATTTTCTGTTCCTTCATCTTCACTTTTAATAAAATTGTATTTATGAATGCTGTGAGGTTTAATCCTTTTCACATTCTTGAAATACAAAGAATTTTATTTCATAGTTAATTCATAGAAATTAAATCTATACATATTTTTTCTTCTTTATCTAACAGCTCGTACCATTACTAATTGGGCTGGCTCCGCTAGCTGCAAGGGTAAGGCGTCTCCAGGCTGCTCAGTCCGATGCCATTACTAGTAATAGCAGTCCTTTTTCCATCATCTAAATCTATATATCGCTGGTCCTTCAAAATCTTTCCTGACTATATCAGTCCAAGTCTTGACTAGCCCTCCTCGATTTTGAATTTATCAACTCCTATGGTAGACGACGAAGACCTAACCAGCGAAGGCAACGTTCTGTGATATGACTGAACATTATTAATAGAGGTGGTAGTTGAGCGAAGATGCATACAATCATGTGCGATTTTATCCGCTTGACGAATCCGTAAAATATATTTTAAATATTTAAATATGACTGGTCAAAGGCTGATAGTTCCTTGATATTTTCCACTTACATTGGCCATGTTTCGCAGCCATATAGTAATATCGAGCGAATAACAGCTATTGGACGTGAATTTTCTTATGGCGATTTCGCGACAGTTCGATAAAAGTTTTGTTAACCGGAAAACACATCTCTAGCTCTCGTTATCCGAGTTACATTTTCATCTTTTGCCTGGCCTATCACCTATATATATACAAATAAAATGCCTATTTACAATCATTTGGGATTAGAGTGGATCCAAAGTATTCAAAGTCAAGCAACCGATCCTCAACCGATAATGAATTGATAAAAAAGGTATTTTATAAGAATCTTGTATATAAGACGAAATCACTTTCGTTTTATTTGATTTTGAGTCCAAATTTCATTATAGTTGACATTACTTGCATTTCATTATAAATGTTTGCAAAAAGGACTACATCAGAATATTCGAGGTCTGCTATGCTCTTGACCAATTTCCACATCTCTTAAGTGCCGACAAACGATGCCCATTATCCAGTCTATCGCATAGTTGAATATTGTAGGGGAAAGGACGCAGTCCTGACGGACACCAGTTTTTATTTCGAAGGGGTCTATCAATTCACCATATAAAGACCCTGTGCCAGGGTATGCTGATAAATTCTTTATAAGTCAAATGGTCTTTTCTTGGTCACATTCCATCATTTCCAGAGTTCTATCAATCGAATCGATGGCAGCTGCAAAATCGTTAAAGCAAGTGACGATGCTTGCTGGTATTTGAAGCGATGTTCCACCACCTTTCTTAGTGTAAATATCTGGTCAACACAATGGCTTCCCGGTCTTAATCCATCTTGGTTAGGACGCATTCTGCTATCTCGTGTTGCCATGAATCTATTTAGCAAAAGGGAAGCGAAAATTTTTCTGGAGATTCCTAGTAGATTCCTTCTCGATAATTGATTCTAATTCCTCGATAATTGTGCGTCCTGTCACCTTTCTTAGGAGTTGGAAAGTTAGAATTGCTTTGCTCCAGTCTTCTAGTATTATTTCTTTTTCCCATACCAGACAATACATTTGTCGAAGGTGAACAATGGAGTTCTATTAGCCTTTAGGCTTATCGATTATAGTGTTGAAAACGTATGGCTTGACGAGCTAATCAGTTATATCCGGGACAATAGATGGCGAATCGTGGTTAAATTTAAGACTTCCTTCCATCTTATGAGGCGATCCTTAATAGCCCTAATAAGCGTCCCATTAATATCCCGTATCATTTCACTGACTCCTTATAATTGCTTTGTTAAGAAAACGAAACAATTTCCATCCACCGAAGCCGCCGTCTTCATTCTTAAGACCATATTGCTGCAATAGCGATTTCTGTTCAACCATGCTACTGTCGTTGTAATTTTTCGAAATATCCAGTAGTCAGGATCCTGACATTCGTGCTTTGGTAGCTTTTTTAAACAGCTGGACAATTGCTTTCAATAACCAAATAGTCTATTTCCTACTTTAGTATGGAACTGGCTGACTTTCGTAAGCATGTTGGGACCAGTATTCATTCGCCGTTCCAGAGATATCATTGAAATTCATTTCACTGAGGTGTGAGGAGTTTGAATAATACGGTTTGAAATGCGCTTATTATTCCCGAATTTGGGGACAATTGAAAGATACTGAGATACGTTGTTCATTACAATTTTCATATGAACCTTGACTCTACTCATAGAATGGTCTGATCCATGGCCGTTACCAGTTTCAACCGCTCCGATACTCTTCCAGCTGCAATTGACTAATATATAGTCAATCTGATTGGAATATTGGTTATCATGAGAGTTCTAGGTGACTAGATATCTTCTCTGATGGCAATGTATTAGTAACAAAGGGCTCATGTTATTCGGCAAAATGAAGAAGACATTGAAGCATATACACTGATGACCGAAATATTGCAGAACTTTCTTTGAAACGCGTAAGCCATGCGGTCATATACTGGTTTCCTTTGAATCAGAGCGGATCGAGCCTTTTCAGACATGACAATTGCTACGTTATTTCGTTATCATCCGAGGCACCACAGTGATGTAGCCTTTGCTCAGAACTAGGCATAATGATTTGAGGAAGACGGATCTCTCACAAGCAAGCCACCATTCACACGGAAAGGTGCGGGCAGTGATCGTTTGGCTTGCAACATCCATAAGAGTTCTTCCAAGCAATTAATAACAAGCACCTTATCGCCCTTGCAAATATTAGCGGATAGATTCTCATCTCCATTGATAGATGTTAAGTAATTATCTCGGTTCGCGAGCATATTCCACACGTACAACAAATATGTCCAGAAATATATGAAGGTCAATCTCAGGCACCTATTGTCATGAAAGTTGTCTTGACTCGAAAGGGAAATTTCACCGTTGAAATAGTAAACATTATAATACAATAATAATCGGGTTGAGAAGACGATTAAATTTACGTTAAGGACGAAGAATAACGTTTTGAGGTGCTGAAGTGGAGAGAAATTGTTGTTTCTGCTGTTCTTCCGAGCGGATTCTAAGAGCTTATATATTGCCCATATGTGGGTTGTCTCATAGCTGCATCTAAAATTTGGTAGTTTTTTTTTCAGCAGATGTACAATTGCTTATACAAAGAAAGAAAAAGATAAATTTCGTATGATTTGAATATTGAATAGTTAATTTATTCTTATGAAGAATCCTTCGTTGAGGAGTTTTTTTTGCAAAAAATTCTTTTGGTTTTTCCGACACTTATCTCAAGACAACTCAAGATTGCAACGTGAGTATTGCCTGCTGAACAAAGAACTTCAGTTGAATGAAAGTTTATTCGAAATATAAGGTAGGTTGGAGCCTGAAGCTCTTGCAAAATATTTCCTCGAATGAACTGAAAAACCATTAAAACATAATTCCAAAGTTATGTGTTTTCAAAAAATATAATAGTTGCGAAGTTGGACATGAAATAGGTTTTCGAAAGCTGAACCATGGCACATTTCGAAAAAAATTGGAAATTTTGATGACAGATTTTAAAATTACGAATCAAAAACAAGCTTCATTTCAATCATTTGCTGGAGCCAAGTTTAACCATTCTCTTGGGAATTTCAACTTTGTATATTTTCCGATTTATTCCTTTTGTTGCAATTTTGCGAAATTCGCACTGTATTTGATCAAATGTTCTGAAAAAACAGCATTGTCACATTTCTTTTCACTAATTCTCTAATTCTCTAATGATGGCTGAAGCAAATCGCTTTACCAGCCTTTGATGGCCGAATTAGGCAAAAAATAAGCAAATAAAAGGCAAAAGCTTGGTTCTCATTTATGGGAAATCATATAGCTTATTGCGCGTCATAGCTAAATTTATTAAATGATTATAATTATTAAATAAAATAAATAAAATTTATTAAATAATTTATTATTTGTTCGTTCAATATAATATTTTGTAATTAAGATGGACTCATTTTATTAGGTTTAAAAGCATTTTCAGTTCTTCGATTTCTTTAATTTTTTTAAACAAATTATCGATAATTCGTGGAATTGCCGATAACTGTGAATTATTTCAAGTTTTTCTTTTAATATTTGGCCGAATAATTCATAACAATGATTGAAATAATTACCGTATTTTGGCAAATTATCCTTCACAGACCAGCTGCCATGACATTCCTGCTATAACATCTTATCGACGCCACGCTTGGCCTGGACGCTCGGTCATCGTAATCCCACGCCTACCAGTTCTCCTTCTCTCACTCCATCGCTCCACAGGCTTGTCGCATTGGGCAATATGCCAGGGAGTCCCTCGGCGATAGAAATACAGGTGAGCCGTCAGGATTTTTGAGTAGGTTTATTCCTGAGGGGAATCGAACATCAGCATTGGCGCTCCCAATCGAACAATAGCCCAAGATGGCTTAGTGCGTTGTTATTCTCCTTTCGGAGCGTCAATTTGAGGTTCTACGTACACGAGGAGTGGTACCAGCGACTCGTTTGTCTATCAACAAATGATTTCCAGGCAAAATTTGTATAGTCTAGCATGCCCTGAGTCGAACCAGAATTGATGAGCGCTCTAAGAAAAAACAAAAAATTTGTTGTGCTCATCGGTTATCTTCCACTTTTGCAACATAAATGCATATATATATATATATATTTTTAAAAATAATTCCATACTATAGTTCTACTGCAACTTTGATATGCCTCTCTGTATTTCTTATTCCTTATTCCTTCTCCTTATATTCACTTAGTAACCCTTTATACTCGTTTTCACATTCATCAAAAACCTAAAATCTTCCACTGTATTCCAATTTTCTAAGCTTCTCTTTTATCCAATTCGTGGTACTATCTTGTATGCTCTTATAAAATGTAATAAGATGGTAGGAAGAAATTAAGATGATATCGCCAAAAATTAGTTAAGTGAATATTGACGCATTTGGGCAAAGACTGGATTTCTAAAAGAAGTAATTGGATTAATAGGATAGAGAATTGAAAATTGGAAATGGGTTTAAAGAAAACTGAAAAAGGAAAAAATTTTGAAAAAATTTCTCTAATTTTGAAGGAATAACTGAGTATTCTTCTGGACATTATTTTTTTTTTTAAGAGCTATCTACATTTGCTGGCTTGTCAGATTGGAAAAGTTTTGCCAGGAAACCACAGAAGTATTAATAGATTACCCGGATTTTTAAAAGAGAGGTTTATTTTTACAGCAGCTGAGCAACTGAGCTGATTTATTCACTGAGTCATTCTTATCAGTTTGCTTTTGCCATTCTACGACATTGCAGCTCAAGCTGCAAGAGTAAAAGTTTAGCTATCGAATCAGATGTCATCGCTAGTAGTAATAGAAGCAATTCCTTTCTACATCGTTTAAATCCATATATCGCTGGTTCAAAAAATTTCCTGATTGTATTATTTCCTGATTGTCCAACTTTTGATCGCTTTTGACACCATTCATCAGAGTATTTATCAAGTAACAAAATATGTGTCAACTCCGGTGGGCAATGAAGAAGGTAATCTAACGGCCAAGACGAGCCTCTGTGATGCAATTTATGGTCTAATCGATGATTTTTTCCATTATTAATATAAATTGTGGAATTAAATAAGTAAGATTACTTAGTATCCAGTTTTTTGCCATTTTCAATATTTCCATCTTATTTTAATTATTGCATTTATCGATCTTAAAATAATGAAATTATTTACGCAAATAAACCTTTTAATAATTTTTTGGAAACTTTAATTAATTCATTCATTCACTGAATAATTCGAAATCAGTCGAAAAAATTTAAAAAAAAACGAAATAACTGAATTTATTTGTTCAAAAATTTATCTCTGGAAAAAAGAAATAAATAAAATAAAATTAATTTTTTTGCCATTTTTAGTTTTTCATAAATATAATGATAATTTATTGATATTCGCCTTGCCTCGGGAAGGATTAATTTTTTGATAGTATCTCCTTATTATTGATGCTCCCTGACCCAACGCCTATGAAAGATTATTTTTTTAATACCCTTAAAAAGAAGAAAGGCTTAGGAGCGATATTTTTCAGTTTTTTTATCTTTACGAGAGGTTTTCTTCGATATAATTGAGATTGTTTCAAGCGGAATTAGTATTTGGAAAATTTCCTTTGGCCTGGTTCTAAGCATATTTAAAGTAATAAGACGCATCATGCGATTTTATTTTGCTTAAAAAAATATTTATATAAGAAATATTTTTAAATTTTTATAATTATAATTTAAATTTTTATAAATATTTATTTTTTATAAGAAATATTTTTTAAATTAAATTTCTTATTTTAATTTTTATTTCAATCTAATTAGTTATATATAAAATAATGATAAGTTTAAAAAAAAAAACTTTTCTCTTTAAAAATGATGAATTTGTTGAAATGAAAGGATCGAAATCCCTGCAGCTTCAGTGGATTTTTCGACATACTCATGGGATCACTGCGATCGTAATTAAAGTTTCCGAGAAGGATGAAATAAAAAATCAAATTAGAATCATACTAAGCAACTAATCGACGAACGATGCTCTTTTGTTGTTTCGTGTTGATGTTAAATTGGAGATTGGAGAAATGTTCGATCCAGATTCGATTAACTTTTATTTATTTTAATGTTATATTAGCATTGCGCAAATTTTTTTGCGATTTATGGATTAATCCCGTAAGTGCTATTCAAAGTGCAGATTGCGATAATGCATAATTGTTTCGGATTTCTCGGTAGTTCGCCATTTTTATGAAATTATACAAATTTCCCGAAAACCGATGATTCAATCAGGAAATCTGGAAAAATCTGGTGGGAAAAGCTCATTTAAGACGAGTTTATTCTTCTTTCGCTAACAAATCAAATAAACATAGATAAATAATAAGTAGATTGAGTTCCAGAAATTATTCGCATTCCAGAATTCACTAATAAATTTTAAAAATTTCTTCCATCATTATTGCGAAATTATGTTTTACAACAAACTGCGTCCGTAACGATTCTTTTATGTTTTTCTATTGTTTCTTACGAATTTGAATAGCGTTTGCAAATTATTCAACGTATTTTGAAACGATTTGGAACTTCACCATAGGTTGATTTGTTAATTTTCATTTATTTGCTTTGTTTTTTAAACGTCTGAATTCCTTCGATGAATAATTACTTAAATTATACTCAATATAAAATATGCTATATTATTCCGAATTTTGTACTATACTTCCATTATTTCTGCAAAGTCAATTTGTGTTTTTGTAAAAATAATTTCGATATCGACACAATATGTATATAAACATAAAAATGGTATTTAAACGAGCTCGAATTAATTCACTTGTGTCACCAATGATTTAAGAGTCACCAAGTTTTTGTGGTACTAAATTGTGCAATCGAGTCTTACAATAGGAGTCTTCTCTTTTTATCCGTTATAAAAAAGTGGTAACGATAGAAGCAAATAAGGAAATGCACACATGTCATTAATGTTTCGGCACATTTTTGCCAGCGATTTTTGATGCTTTTTTTTCTTTGGTTGTCAATTTTAATGCACAATTAATTCTTTTGAAAAATTATTATTCGTGAATATTGGAGAATTAAATGATTTCCTTTTTAACTTCCAGGCTATCAAAAAATCTTTCCTAAATCTTCAATTTTCGTTCGATATTGAAATTTTTTTTGATTGAAATTCTGAGCGATAAAATCAGAAAATCGAATCCTTTAAAATGAATTTGAAGAAATTTTTCGAGATATTACAGTAATAAATAAAACTTACTTAAGTCAAATTGATTTTGGCCAAAGGTTTCGAACCAAGCTGAATTGGTGTTTTGCTAAAATATTTAAGTAAGTGACAGCGAAATGGCTTATGAAAATGAAAAAGCACTAATAATTGCTAATTTTACTGAGAATCAATTATTTGAAGTTAAATAATATTAGCTGCTTCTCCTTAACACTTTAACTCATTTTTTCTCCACTGAATGAGATCCGCATGAATACGGAAGTCTTTAGCTCAATTGATTGCATAAAGCAAGAATCGAGCCAATAATTCCGTCGGTAGCCAAGAATGTTATTCTTGCCAGAAATATGTGATAAAATTTCTTTCGATTTCCACAATTATTATGAATAAAATGTAAAATGAGCGATTTTACTTTTTTTATATGAAATAAAGAGTTAAACAACGAATTTTTCATCTAATTATGTAAAAAAAAAAGGAAAATGAAAACAATTTATAACGAACTCGATAATCATATGATAGTTTACTGAAAAATGATAATGAACGATAAAAATTCCGAATGACTTCACAATTATCAGTAAATTTCTCAATTATTTTACCTCACCTTTCAAGTACACTTTGCTGCTAAAAGTGTTCGTTGATAGTCACAATTAAATATTTACACCGTGTTCGACAAAAAATTTCCAATATTTTAATCATTTTCATTTGAAAAATATTCGACTAATTGAGTGATCATCAAATACGTTGGTTTAATTAATTTTTTAGAGTCTAGTGGCTCGAAATCTAATGAATTTATATAAAATAGAATTTTCTTTTTTTTTTATGACGTTGCTAAAAAAATTCTATCAAAAATATTGATTATGATGGTGATAAAATGATGATATATAGTGACGATGGTTGTAATGACAGTAATTTGGATTATAATGGTGATAGTGATATGAAATACGGTGATGACTATAGTGACTATAGTAATTCGGATTAATTATAACAATAATTATTTGGATTACGGTGATGGCAATGGTGATAATGATTTGGGTTGCAATGATGATTATGATAATAATAGTGATATTATCCATTTATTTTTGAATATTAATTCAATTTCATGCTGTTTTAAAAAACTTTTCGTCACCACTATTTTGCTTTTTTTCATTTGAAATTATTCATTTTTTATATTCGTTTATGATCCAAATTCCATCATTCATTTCCTTATGGAATTTTAAATGTTTTTTTAATAATCATTTGAATGTTATTTCAATTTTTAATTGTTAGCATAAATATTGAATGTATTGAATGAATGAATGAAATATTTTCTTTACTCAGTGCATTACCTTATCAATTGTTAAAATTTTGGAGAAATTTTATTTGTTCTTAATTTGATAAATTCGAAGTTTTGCTAATTTTTTATGTATAAATACAGAAATTAAATAAATACAGAAATTTATTTTTTTTTATTCATTCTTTCAGAACTAAACCAATATTCATAATTAGCAATAGATGTTATGCATAAATACGTCTTGATATTTCTATTGCATTGCATCGCAATATTTACGTTGCTTTCGAGGAATATTGAGGTAAAAAATTTGTCAAGCTATATCTATAAATTATCTATAGATGTAAAGCATTGATAAATATTTTTTTAATTAAGGCTGTTTTGCGAGATTATTTTTTCGACATCTTTCGATGAAATAACCGATAAAAAATAATTATTATCACTAAAAGGTGAAGCATGGTAGCTAAGTGACTTCCACGCCATGAGCCCAAATTATCGTACCCAGTGGCGGTGATTCTCACAGGATTAAGCCTTTTATAAAAAATCCAGATGTTGCTAGTATTTCCGCGGTAAAATTGTTTTCAATTTCTAATAGCCATCCTAACCAGAAAAGTTGAACATTAATCATTTATTTAAAAATTAAGAGAAATTAAAACATGAGAACATCCTAACTTTTTTTATCAATAATTTTATTAAAAAATTTCCGAGAACTATCGCAAAGAAATATAAGTGCCCAGGAATTCCTTATTTTTTAAAAATTTAGGCCGGTACGATGCGAGGTGCGCTTATTATGAATACCAACTTCAATCAAGGTTTTACTTTTAATGATTTTGCTGATGGTACCGAAAATGAAGAATCCAATTATGATATTATTGACAGAATAGATCTTCACAAGGAATCGATATTTGAACAAGGGTGCCATTTCTTAACAAACATAAAATAGTTCATTTGCGAAATTTTTCTATTTTCGGCTTTATTTGCTTAAAGCAAAAATAAAAATTCGCTGAAAAAGCATAGAAAACCATTGAAATTTTCAAAAAATTACGCCTCCACAAGTACCATTTATAAGTATCATTGGCATTTTAGGGAAACAAGAGATTTTCTGCAGTTTCTGCGTCGTATTAATTATGATCACCGGCAGTTGCCCGAAAATCCTGATAACGGTTTCTTATTTTGCCCGTAATGGCAATAATTAAAAAATTATCATAAAGACTACCAAAACCAAAGTTGTCTTTTTTAAATTGCTATGATTTTTTATTTTCTACATTGGTCTGAAAAGCAAATCACGCATTTTTTCTATAAAAAAAAGTTTTTTTTTTCTAACAGTTAATTCCGCGAGGACGAGGCGCTTCTGAAGTTTTGCCATGCATATGACAGAAGCTTCTCTTTTGTCCATACTTTAAGTCTATATATGTTTGAAGAGCTTTTCAAAATCTCTCTTATATTTTGTTAGCCTAAGGATTAATCGTTTTGACATTATTTAATATTAGTTTCTTATTTAATATTAGTTCATTAAACATTATTTAATGTTAAGTTTAAAAGTTCAAAGACTTATCATGGGGATATTAGAATAATGAAATATGATGAAATATTCTAAGACCAATTTCAAACGGTAAAATACAGATGGAGAAATATTTATGCATGAAAACTGTTATTATTATAGAAGCAGTTGAAATACATGTATCCATTGTGGTTAGTACGATTCGAGCTGTGTCGGAAGTCACCATGGTTAGCGTCTCTACTTTTGTATGACATCTGTTTGATATCTTTTTAATGCAATGATTTCTTATTTGTTAATCTAGGTGCTTGAAGAAGGCGATGCAAGTCTCTCGTTGTGCTTTGCTAACATTCAAACACTTCTTTCCATTTTGCACTTCAGCAGACCTCATGATGCAAAGCTCTGCACCATTTAAATTATTTATTGCCCGTGAAAAATGGGCCATCTTGGAGTTCAATCGTCCTTATAATCTACTTGTTGAAATCTTAAATATTTCTTTACATTTTCGGAACTTTTTAAAACTGCCTCAATCATTTAATGAAAACTTCTTCAAACTCCATTGCACTCTCCTTAACGCTTCCAAATCCTGTCGCTTCTCTTAAAATCGCGCTTCAACCAAATGCAATTTTAGCTTATTTTTTATCATTAAATGTTCAGAAAACTTTAAATTTAATTGTTATAACTTTTAAATTCTATTTATTTCAGTTTTTTTGAGCGATTATGATGTCTAAGAGAGAAGCAAAAAAACAGATTTCCCCCTAATTTTATTTCTCCTTTAGGCACATAAAATAATGGAATATAAATAAACTAGAATGATATAGTATAGTATAATTAGCTGTGAAAAGAAGCAGCCTTCTTTTTTCCACACTATTCACGTATTTTTAGGACTACAGTTTGGAGTTATTTTACCGTGAGTCGTGGACAGATAACCGACTTAGTTACGATAAGCGGAAATTCCAAAACAAAAGCGAAATAGCATTACATGAAAGTTATACGAATTTTCTTTGGCATCCAGATACGTTTATGCCAAATGCGATCGCGTCAAAGAATCCACAAAAACAGTCAATATCTCATCGATCATTATTGCGGTGATGATAAAATAGATTTGTGTTTATATGTTCGCTTAGATAAGGGAAGGTCTATGCAAATAAATATGCCTTAGTGTTTCAGGCTGCAAGAGAATGGTAATGTCTTGTATAGCAGACGCCTTTCTGTAATCGCCGAATGTCCCATGGATTTAACTTTATTTCCATTCGATTCGCAGATTTGCAAACTCGGAATAGAAAGTTGTTAGTTATTTTTTCTTATATTCCCAGTGAATACAATCCTTTCTTAGCCAATTTTTGAAATTTCAGATGGCTATACTGCTGACCAAGTTCGATATAAGTGGTCTAAAGGCATTAAACAAGCACTAAAGCTTCATAAAATTCGACTCCCAGATTTTCAAGTTAAGGAGGCTTATGTGACTTCTCAATTAGAAAGTTATGCAACAGGTAGGGAATTTTTCATTTTTTTATAGATCTTACAATATCTAAGGCACAATGCATCAGCCCCTTTGGCGAAGGTATAGCATTTGAAGTATACCACGAATTTTGTTTTGTAAATTGGCACCATTTTTATCTCGATTTGATTTTTAATGTCTTTTAAGCTTTTACTACACATTGCGTCGGTAACACTGTAGAGACTTTCAGGAAATTATAGCCGTCTCTATGTCTGTTTTATATTTTCTCGAGCAGCTGGGTTTTGCTTCTTGCAGCTTATCATTCCGTCCACAGCAGTAGTTATAACATCGTGGGTGTCATTATGGATGGAAAATGAAACCTCTTTTCAAGTATTATACATTATTATTAAATAATTATCCATAACTTTATTGTAAATCTCTAAAGTTCCATATGCCATTTCTATAGTTAGAAAATTAGAATGTATTGCAGGATATGATATCAATTATCTTAACAATAACCTTTTTATTATTTTCTTATAACGAAGTAATGCCTCGCGTAAGTTATATTAAAGCGATGGACGTTTATTTAGGTAACTCTGCTATCTTTGAAATAAATTATTCTTATTATTAAATTATTTTTAGAATAGAATTTAAAATATATCGTTGAAGTTCCTCAACTAATTTTTACCAATTTTTTTCAAATAGTATTATTAGCATAATTTTGTTTTTCTGAAGGGCGCTTACCATTTGTGGCTAGGTTTGCTCCACTATTTTGTCAGACCAGGCCAGAGAGCCGCAAGTATAGTGACTGTCAGCACCACCTAGATCTTCTAAAAGGCGGATTTATTTTTGCCTTATCAGAAGAATTCCATCAACTAGGCGCCTAAACCAAAGCAACAGCCACTACAGCACTTAGTATCAAAAAGATGATAAAATTTCGAATAACTTATAATTTGCATCTTTGTAAAATTATGCGATTCTTCATGTTTTCGCTTCACATCTGTTTTATGTCTTGAAAATATGCAATCATTTAAAATCGATTCAAATTTCAGGTGTTTGTTTTTGTATCGTTTTTTTCTCTTTAATCAAACTTGCACTGGTAAAATATATGAGGCAACGACTAAGAATGACACGGTCATTTTCAATTCGTATTCTTATCATTCTTATCAATGAAAATCTTGCAAAAAATTCGCAATATCTTTTGTTGAAATTTTTCAAAAGAAATTCCATGAAATGTCAATAATTGAGCGAAAATAAATCAAAAATCTCGAAATTTTATTAAACTAAATTTTTTAAGTTTATATAGAGAATTATTATTAATTTTAAGTGACACATCAATAGTGGCTGGCTTGAAAAGATCGAAGCGAATAACTAAACCAAGCAATCATTGGCAAGAAAAAGTCACAACAACATTTCCTCCTTTCATTTATGATTCGAGCATGACTGCACAAAGGTTTTTTCTGCACTTCTCTAAATCGTTCCAAATCTAATCGCCTTAATTTTCATTCAAATCAATTGTAAAAAGCAACAACAATGAGGGAATAAATAAAATAAAATGAGGGAAAATTAGTAGAAAAAATTATATGCAATGCATTCTTTTCACCTATTTTTGCGTGCTTTATACTTTTTTCAATAACTTTTTGCCGATTTGATACTTCCAATCTTTTCATATAAAATACAATTTCTTTTGAGCTTATTATTATTATTATTAAGGCTGAAAACGCCAATTAATCATTTTTATACGGCAATACCAATTGAAAATGACGCCACTGCAGCAAATTGTGCCAACGAAAAAGTGAACAAAAAAAAGAAACGAGTGTCTAATACAAGTAAATGAATTAAAATCCAATAATTTTAATATAAAATTTCCATTAACAAAAACCTTTCCAAATCTGTGGTACCAGGCAATGCCAAATCGTTTCGCCTGGACTCGTTCGAGTTGTATTTTCTTTACTGAAGATAACGAAACACTTAATTAAAATTATTAATACGTTTTGAAAGAAAAATAATCGCCTTATAGAAGATGAAGTGGTTAAATAGCTACTCGCAAGAAAAAACTAGCAAAATACCTTTGTAATCAACAGTTTCATTTTCGCGTCGTAAAAATGTAGAAATCGAATGAATTTCAATTATTCCATTAGATTGGGTTTTCCAGGGTACTTGTGGAAGTCTATTTCAGGAAAAATTTCATTCGTATTTTGAAAAAGGCAAAATATGGTGATGCAGAAAATAAAAATATTTTTTAGCATATTAATACTAAATATTATTAGTACTAAATATAATAATAAAAATAATATAATAATAATATTAATAATAATAAATTTTTTACCACATATCTAGAAGAATAGATTTATCAAAAGTAATTTTTATATATAATAAAAATAACTCTTATAAATTTGCTGATAGAAAATATTATTCATTTATTGTGCAACAATTTTACCAAATTTGGAAATTTTTTTTAGAAAAAGGAGGGTGTTTAACCGATATAATTTTCACACCGACTTTCATGCATCGATTTCATTGGATAACTCAGGTTTATTGTTTTTATTTTCGGATATTTTTAGACTTTATTCCTTTAAGACATTCGCAAGGAGTAACCTTGTCTTTGCATCGTAGAAAAGTCTCCATATAAGCGATAATAAAAATGGACTAATTAAATTATAGTTAAATCCCCACTTTCGTTTTTTGTGCAAATCATCTCAAATCCAAATCGTCTCCAAACTCACTTGCATCTATTGGCATTTCCCTCAAAAATCTTTGTTATCTATTTACAAATTGTACGGCAACATTTGCCTAATCTCCACTATTTTCCCTTATCATTTCCCTATTCCTTACCTCTCAATTCCTCTTTCTCAATATTTACAGGCATATTCTTTAGATATCTAAAAAGGTAAAGTTGGCCAAAACTTTTAAAATTTAAACTTTTAATACTTTAAAATTACGTTAATAATGAAGTATGCCCAACGACTACAATACATATTTAATAGAGTTTGGGAATGTTTTTCACAGATTTTATGATATATATTTCCTCAGCCTGGATGTCATGAACATGCAAATATCCTCATATTCTCTCTTAAATTACGCTATATATGAGTCGTCCATCTGACTCAGTCATTTGGGGCTTATTGAGCTGGGGGAATCGCATTAAATGAAGGGGAGAGTTTCCTTTAAAGTTATTGCATTTTTGCTTTTGCATCTCTTATAAAGATTTGCAGATGACTTTTTTTTTCGGTTTCATCGCATTTTGCCTTTTCTACTTTCTCATTTACCCAAACATTCACCATGATATTGCTGATCCTGCATGTGATCGAGAATTTGCCGAATGGTTTGCTGAACTTAAGTAATAATTTGGAAATTATAACTAATTAATTCTTGAAAAACGTGCCGCATATACTGTAACATCTAAGCTCAATTTACTTACTTCTTAGTTCATACGCTTTTACGCTTTTTTGAAATTGTGCATAAATCGTTTTTGTGTAAAATATAAACTTAAATATTTTTCAGTGCTGTATGGTTTTTTTGATTTCAGCTGGCTGTAAAGATATTTCATCAATAATAGGATTGAATAATTATATCCTCAATAAAATACCAAAAATACTTCTTTATTTATTTCACTAATTTGATATTAACAAAAAGAATAATAAGAAAGAAAACTAGAATTTTATATAAGAAAATTTTGAAATTTTTTCTTAATGCCTTGATAAAGATTTGAGAAGATATACAAAACTTTCAAAGATATTTTTATTAAAGCCGAATTTCTACAAAAAAGCAAAAAAAAATTGAGATATGAATTTCTACGATAGCCAGATTTCTTCTAGCAGCAATTTCTATTCGAGTGGTTCTATGGCTAATAGGGTAAGGAGCCACCCCGATGTTGTACCTGAAAATAATTGAAGGCATTCACTGAAGCCATTATCACCGACTCTAGAAAAGTCACAAACAAGTAATAAATATTTTGTTAAGACAAAAGTAATACAAAAGTAATACAAGTAAATTTTTCTACGCATCACGTGTCAAAAATCAATTTATTTTAGTGTTATACATGTATTAATATCATTCACATCATGCAAAAATGCAAAATAAATAAAAAATGTATTTTTGAGAAATTTATTAGAAAGAACGGTTGTTTTTTTTGAAATTTCTTCGCTAATTATTTTATAGAATTCACATAAATACAAATTCGTATGAAAAAGATATTGTTTAAATAAATAATTAATAAAAAATCACTAATCGCCTTTGATTTTTGATAAATGATAACTGATTTTAAAATTTAATCATATAAAAAGTTCATAAAAAGAAGTGAGCTACTTATATTTCATCAATTTCTATATATCCTTTTATCCGATTTTTTCATAATTTTGTATTTCTGATTTTTGATATAAACTCTAATCTTATGGCAATATCCTTCAGAAATATTGTTGCACTAGTGATACTCAAAATCCATTTAAAAATTACTTTAAAATATTATTATATAATATTAAATATCATTTAAAAATATGTTAAATATTATAAGAATTTTAAAAAATAATTTTCTTCGTCATACTACAAGTTCACAGTGGTTTCAGTTGTTTTAAAAAAAGTGAATTTTCTATAAATTTATAAAAAAATATTGCAAGATCGTATTTTCATTCATCCCATTCTTTGAATTTCAAATCTTATGACAAGCAAAATTTTCTTCCAATGTTTGTGTTTGTGTTATATTCGTTGAAGCACATAAGAACTGCGGAAGATATTCATCGGAATATGAATCGCTGATAACAATATAATCAACAACGATAGCTAAATCAATATTTTCGAAATCAAAAGTGATAGTAGCATAAAATATCAAATGTGCCAATCCATAAACGTATTCGCTTATCGCAATGTTTGGAGTTACTGAAACGAAATGACTAAGGATTAAAAGTATAAGGATTATTTATAGTAATTTTTAGAAAAAACAAAGAAATTCAAACAAATTTGATCTAATTTAGCCGTAAATTTTAAGTTTAAAATTGGAAAAACTACTAAAAAAATGTAATAAATTTGCAAAATTCCTTAACATTAAATTAAATTAAATTAAATTTCATTAACAGAGTTATTCATCTTCAACAATGTCATTTCTAATTTGAGTAGCATAAATGGTTATACCTTTTTGCGAATTTGGATTGCCATTTGACAGAGTTATTTTGGCTTATATTATAGTTAGAAGACGAGTCCTCAGCGGTCACTTGAATTTCATTAATCACAAACTTATTCCAGTCAAGAAATAGGATTCAAGCCACAGAATTTGCCAGACTGAGCCAAAGTAACTTACAACTAATTCATTCATTGTTACCTCGTTGTCATAAAACAGCTTGCTAATTCCATTGATACTTTTTTGATTTTTTCATATTTATTTGCTAACGAAACTTTTGGATTTTTCAAATTTAATCGGCTAAAAGGAAATAATCAAATTGTATTAAATCTCAGTCGCAACTTTCCTTTTTTTCCTTTTATAAATTATAAATTGGGCAATTCAATTTAATCGGTGGTTAATAATTTTTGCACCCATTTCTAATGAAAATACCTTCGTGATTAGTTAATGAAAGAAATAAAAATGTTAAATGTTAAATTAAACGCAATTAATTTTGAAATCTTCCTACTTTCACTTTCAAAATTAGGTCAATTTTATAACAATTTTATGATTTTTAGTGAGCAATTTTGAAATTTCGGTGTAAAATTATGATAAAACTAGTTATCAAAAAAGTGGTTCAATTAAGTTCGCAACTAGTAATCTCCTTAATTATCTACAAACCGAACTAGAAAAGAAAAATAAAATCTTATCATTTATGGAGCATAAATAAATAGAAATGTGGAAGTGATAAGGAAAATAGAATAAGAAATATTTTCCGATATGGAATAACTGTGGATTTATAAGTTCGTCACAAAGGAAATAAAACAAACTAAATAGAAAACGACTTTTTGGCGAAATTCGTGCGATTCATTTTGATATTTAGCAGAGTCAATGATACCGGAAATGCTATGTGTGTCGTTAAAAGAGAGAAGATTGATCTATAACTATGGTTAGATTATCTAATTAACATTAATAAATTATACCAAAAGGGTGGCACAGCATTTCGTCGATAAATAATTCGTGATTTCGGAAAACTGTTAGGAAAAGTGAAGAATTCGTAATAGTGCACAATAGTCGAATATAGAACCTTTTCTAAAATAAGCGTATATAAACTTTTAATTAAAGATGAGTGGTCCGTTTGCAGACCTTTCTTAAGATGGATGAAATCTTCAATGGGTTCAAATTTTAAAAAAATCCCAGATAGAATAGAAAAGTGAAGTTGAATCAAAGCTGAACGAAATTATAGATAAAGCTAATTTTACATATGGAAATGAAAAGTGATTAAAGCAAACACAATAAATTATCGAAGGAAATGTGATATAAGAACATGGAATGGAGAAATATCGTCAATATTCTTCCATTCTTCGTTGTGATCCATTCAATAAAACAAGATTCTCCATGGCTTATTCTGCTGGTTATTATCAATAAAATCCTTCAAGGAAACTTGAAGATGGAAGCGCAGATGTATGCCTAAGGGATTGTTAAAAGGCCTTTGCTCGAAGCATTAATAAAATAAGTTAGTTAAAATAGGTATTACCGTCTGCGCCAAATTTACGCCTGTATCAGAGATGCAATAAATTGTCATATTAAGAATGCTCAGCACACCGGAAATAAATAATATATACCTGAGATTCACTGAAATCATAAGAATTAGAATTTTTCATTATTAATTATTTAGTTTAATTTGTTTATTCTCAAGGAACTACAGATTTTCTGTAGTGGATTCCACCGCTATGAAAATTACACATACACATGGTTTGGTGAGAAAAAAAATGAAGGTAATAATTCTAGGGAACATTCACTGCTAAATTTCGTTCTATTTTGTTTTACGAAATATTTTCAATTTTTACAGCTTTATTCGAATTTCAATATTCGAGTTTAGATTTTAAAAAACCAAGCAAAAATAAAATTTTAAGAAAATTAAGGAATAAAAAAAATGAAAATATCAAGTAATGCTGGAAAATTTCGTTAAATTATAAAGAAATTTAGCTTTTTATTTGCCCTTAAAATAAAATAAAAGTGAAAAGCTGCGAATAAAAACATTCAAATGAAATTAACGATTGCTAGAGGTAATAATCAGATTTTCCGAGTTAATTCAATTTTTTTTGTTTTTTTTTTCTCTGACAACTATTTTTGCTTAACTAGGATTTGCTGGACCGAGAAATTTTAATGGAGAGTCACTTGGCAATAGAACTACAAGTTAATCGCCAGTTAGTTTTTGAAAGGCAAGTTGACCGGGAATAGAACTCCAGCCTTTGAACCTCAAAACAACAGCAGCAATCCTTTGAGTCATCTCTTCCAATTTGAAAAGTTTGAAAATGCACTATTAATAGTACATTATCAATGTGCATTAAAAAAATAAAAAACAACGGTCAAACGGAAAATCAAATTCTCACATTGCTTATCAAACGAAATTGATTATGACAAATTAGAATCAAGAATAAATGATTCTTTGGTGAATACTTAAGTGGCAAAGAATGGCTTGCATTCTAACGGTCGATACATAATCGTCGAACGCCTGTGTCGTCAAAATCAAAATAGAATAGAATGCTCAGTTTGGAGAGAGTAATTATTTTCAAAAATCCTGGTGATATTGGTGAATCACTAGTACTTTTCTAACTAACTAAGTAAAATTTATGATAAGCCAGCGTAGTGAGCAATAGAAGTTTTTAGAGAAATGAAGAGCTCTTTGATTACTTAAATGAACTCGAACTTTGACAATCATTTTAAATATATTTATTATTTTAATTAATCAATTGCCTTAATAAACTGTTTTGCTTTCTTATTATTTAGTATGCAAGGCGAAAATATCGCCATGTCAAATTGTTATGTAGTATTATCTTGCATATCTTATCATATCATATCATCAATGCATATATATAATAAACGTGCGAAGAATGTGCCGCGATAAAAATAATAAATTTTAAGTAAATAATAAGTAATTGTAAATTGTAAGTAATTGTAAATAATAAGTTATAAAAATATAAGGTACTTAAAGTTTGTCGCTTTTAGATTTATAAATTGTGGTGACCCATTTCATACATAATACGCATAAGTAGTTTATATCAAACCTAATCTTATCTAAATAAAATAAAAATTTACTTACATTGTCGATCTATATAGTTATGTACCATAACAACCATTGTTAATGAAACGAAATGTGCGAGCAGAATAAGAGGATTAATTTTTATAATCGCTGCGATAAATGGTTCATACGGCTCGCAGTCTTTCCTCTTAGAAAAGAATGTCGACGCTTTGCAGCAACATGCAAAAAATAAAACAAACATGCTAGACAAAAGAGCGATTCGAACTAAAATAGCAAATTCGGAACGTAGCTGAAGAAGACGAAATATTGATACATAATTTGCCATAGTCTTCTCTTCCTTTAATAAGTTAGAGGTTAATTAATCTTTTAACTTGTAAAATCATTCTTACTATTTAGGAAATATCAAAGGTGCACTTCTTGACTATTTTCCCCAGGCTTGACTAAATATTTCTTGCCAGCGATTATTTCTTGGTGATGAAATACAAGTGGGCCGCTATCAGTATTCGGATTTTCTTTTGCGAGAAGGGAATCCCAGTGCTACTTCTCCGAAATGACAGCAAAAACCGACTGAGCCATTCTAATTCTAAGCAGTGCAATTACTTCAAATTGATTTATCACAATAGCCAAAAGCCAAAAGGACAACCTTGCATAAGAAAGGATCTCCTCCAAAAACTGCAACATCATACGTGTTTGGCTTTCTATCAGCAGTTTGTTTATGCATTGCACAGCCAATAGCGACGATAAAGGTGAGAATAACGAATATTTGAATTATATTCATAACGGATGGAAGAGGAAATCGATAGAGATCAGTGTTTTCTTCGACAATCTTTCCAGTGATTTTCATCATAATTAAGACGTTTTGTCCAAATATTAAAATTCTTAAAAGGATTCTCATATTAGATTATAAATTAAAAAGTAATTCATTTAGATAAAAATATTGGGAAAAAAAGCAATATTTATATTTATTAATATTTGCTCAAATTTCACAATGAAAAAATAAAACTAAATTGAACGAAAATGGTAAATGCAAAATAAAATTCCAAACGCTATATTTTAAAATTTTTGTAAAATGGAAGTTGCCAATTATTTCTTTTTTTTCTAATGGCTTTTGCCATTTCTGGCTTCCTTATTTCCTTATGACTTCCTTAGTCAGCTCGTTGTACATGACAAACTTTGCCAAGGAGCCACATGACGATAAAATTATGAGTTCTACTTGATTATTAGAACAATTAGAACGACAGGCTTATTCCTTTCAAGGGTAGAATCTCAGCATTAGCTCCCCAAAATTATAGCAACAACTCACTAAGCCATTCTATCCCTCATTTATTATTATTCATATATGTAACAGAATATTCATATATCTAAAAAAATATTTAAGCATTTTGATAACAATTTTGTAGCTAAGAAAAGAATTGCAGATTTGCTTTTACACAGCAAAATTTTTATTTTAATATTTAGATTGAAATGCCCTGAAATTTCATGGTTAGAACAATTATTGGATGGCAAAAGCAACGATTTTTCATGCGATTCAAGAGGCATGGAAACTAGGAAAAATCCAATTCCATTTTTTTTGTTCATCAACTTTATTTTAACATAAAATAAGAGACAAAATAAATAGGTAAATTCAAGGCAATAGGGAAAAATGATTTGAATGATAAAATATATCCAAAAATCAAAAATATTAAATCGGTGAAAGTGAATGGAATAGAAAAAACGAGTAAATATATTATCATTAACGCAAAGGAAGCAAAATGATTAAATACTGGATGTCAAAAACTATATGGAAATATTATCAGGAATTTCGGTAAACTGGTTTTAATCCCGTTTTCATCCCGCCTTTCCGCAATTTGCCTTCTCATCTAATAGAGAATAGAATCTAAGTGCTATTTAAGATTTGTCATTTATTTTCGGTTAAAATTTCTCTTAAATTGAATATTGAACCTTCCGAGTGCATCTATTTCTTCATCTTCTAAATCCATTGACTAATTGCAAAATGCGAGAACTAAAATAGAACTTGGGGATAGAATTTTAGAAGCTATACTTATTCATTCAGATATTTACAGTTTTATGTCTGTTATTTGCAGTTATGCATATCATTAAAATTGCATTATCAAAATTCCCGCTCTGAAAATAATTTCTTGAAATTTTTCGACTTTATTCGGAATCAGTTGGAGATTCGCTTATTAGCGATGTGATAACCTTTGTCTTTTTGACGAACTCTTATTCGATGAAAATTAACCATTTTATAACTATTAACAAATGAAAGAAAGTGGAAAATTTATAAATTCTAAAACTGAATAAGCTGAATCAAAAAATCTACAATAAATCAAACTATCAATAACCCAAATTACATGCATTTCTTTTTTGTTCCTTTTGTATAAATCAGAACAATTAATTTAAAATTTTGAATGTAAGTTTTCGATCCTCAAAATTCCATGGTCTCATAATTCCATCATTAATTCCATCATTCAGCAGGAATTTTTTTTCTTCTGAACATTGGATATGGACAATTAGCCGCATATCGCTAGCTTATTGGTCAGAGCAAATTTGATTTCCTTAAAAAGGCAGTATGAGTAGAATTAACATAAGTTCTGCGAAACGAGGATGATAACCCACTCCTTTCAAATAAAATATTATAAACCATTCAACAAAGATTGTAGTCTTTTGGAATTTTTATCTTTATATGAATTAATTTTTACTTGTTTATTCATAGCATAGCAGCAAAATAAGATGATAAAATAATAGCAAATCTAAAATAATTAGGTAATTCTTCGTTCATTCGTTATTAGACTTTCTTGGATGGAGCGAAGCCTATTCGTTGTTCAGTAGCATCATATATATGACAATAGTTTCTGATAAATGGAGCACCAAGAGGTCAACTAGGACCCCATCCTATTCCACTTGTTCCAGATAATGCGACCATACAAAAACCTCACTTTACCTATAAAAATATAAAAAAAACACTAAAATTATTAGTTAATTAAAGATAGGAATTTTGATGATTGAAGGAACTGCAATATTTTATCCAGCAGTTTAGTTAATGAATAGATTAAATAAATATGCATTTCAGCATTATAGGACCAACTAAAGGCCTACCGGATTTCTGGCTTAAATAAGCAATTTCGCATAAATCGCGTAGATAGTGAAGTAGATTGGCTCAATGTAGTTGCTGTCGGCAAATATGAGTCTCTTTGGGAAATCCGCCTGATAGTGGCCACTCACATGTTCTTCTATCGCAAAGTCTCTCTGGCAACTCTCTAGCACGCCCGATAAGCCAGTGAAAGGAGTCAAACCAGAAATGGTGAGCTTTTATGAAAAAACGCATACAGCGGATATTAGTTGAATAAACTGATAAATAATCTATTTCGTCGCTAAATTTTTTTTCAAGTTGGTTGAACAATTTTTATTCAATAACTAATTGTATTTCAATTATATAGTTTGCTGCTTCTATTTCATAAATAACTGAAATGTTTGATAGGAAAATATTTTTAGGCTTAGCGTCACAGCTAATTTCATAAAGATCATTATAATAATCATATTGAAATAATTTCATTAGTTTGGAGAATTTGACATCAGTGAGGCTATTCTATCCACTGCTTTAAGCATAAACATGCTTATAAGAAAAATAAAGTTTGATTGTTTCGGATTTTTGTGAGCCCCAGTAGTGATAAAATTGTGTAGGCTGGATTCGGTTGATTAATTTTCCTAGGAAATAGATCACATTTTTGTTGATTTGTAAAATCAGCTCTTATTAAATTAATTTATTTTCAACAGTTATTGGCAAAAACAAGTCGTACGTCAGTAATATTGCTACTCCTATAAAGATATAAAATTGGTTTATAATCTCCGAAGAATCATTATGCTTGCCATTCCTGTATCAGATGAAATTTCCACTCGATTTTCATACGTTGTTTGCTCCAACCGCACACGTAATTTTGCAGCAAATTGCCAATAACCAATGGTTGAGAGATATAAAAATTCAATATTCTCGGTACAATGTTCGAGATCATAAGCCCCATATGTAATTTGCACACCAGCTCCATTGTCTATCACCTACATAAGAGAAAAAATTTAAATTCATACAGGAGAAATAAAATTCTATAAAATTCTCTGAATCTTTTCAACAATGAGAATCCTCATGTATATAGTCGCTTTGGTGCTGCACGTAAGTCTTTATTACTCTCACATCTTCGGCGACAAGTTTAATGCCTTCCAGAGAACAGAGTTGAAACCGAAGTGCTTCGCCTTCACATCTCAAAAGAAGAGGAAATATATAATTTAACAACCATCAAAGTCTACAATTTCAAAAGCTTCAAACCAAAAAAAACTTAAAATTTGAGTGGGAACCACAGAAAACAGGCCATTCGTTTCCAGCAACTGTAGTCATACAATGAGTCGTAACATTCTGATTCTCATGAAATTTCACTGAGAAATCTGAGAAATACCGCATCTATTCATCAGCATCTTGCAAAAATATCCTCAGTTATTGAAAGAAGAGTTGTGGCAGAATCGCCTTCAAGCTATATCATCGCTTAATCTTTATATATTCCTTAACTTCCCTTAAAGCCTCGTTATTATCCATTAAGATCTCGTCGATCTTCTTATTATGCTCCTTAATGTCCTTCATATGCTCCTACATCCCATAATCTCCGCCATATTTTGACCAATTTATTCATATATTATTATAAGAAATGTTATAAAATATTAAATATTATGTAAAAGGTTTCAAGGGATACCAGATAGTAATAATTTATTATAGTAAGCATTTCTAGGCTACCACATTTTTTTCGTATACACATGGATTATGTATTCAAATATACCAATATAGAGATGCTAACATAGACAAACCCAATAATTAACCCGCATCAGATAACTTCTAACATAGAGAGAGGAATAGAAAGACAGGCGGATAGTGCATAGTGACTTAGATTATCGCACTGAGAATCAAGCGGATCCCACCCTCGATAGGAGTAAGCCTGTCATTACAAAATCCGTGTGGCCCTGGCGACGTAATTGTGTTTCTATCACTAAATAGCTTCCGGGTCAAAATAACCAGCCTGTGAAGCTGACCATAAATTTTGAGCGCCTATTTTTTTTATCCTCCACATTAAACTGTTGCATATTGGCCTCTAATAATTATGAATACCTGTTGTATCCAAATAGTGGAGTATGATTATACAAGCAATTCTTGGTCACTAATATTGATAAGCAGCGGTGAATTTCTTCGATCACTTAATACCGCATAGCCTAAACCTAATACCCCATCAATTTGGCATTTCCAAAACCATCAATCGCTGTTGCTTGTCCAAAAATCTGTTCTTTAACAATTATACCACCGAGCTAAAACTTTTATGCTTTGAAAAAATAATTCAGTGATACAACTTGTTACCTTTTATCCGCTTTTTACACGGCTTATTTTTTTGGCTCACTTGATTCAATGCTGAAATAAATAAATAGAAATTTTGTTAATTTATGCAATAAGCATTCTATAAATTATGACTTCTACAGTGTCCTTTCCAGAAATTCCATTGATATTCGTGGCATTATCATATTGTAAGCTGAAATTTCGATCAACTTTTGCATAGGATAATGATTTCAAATGAGAATAGCGATGTCGCAGTAAGCATTCGTCATTTAAGCAGTTCATCTGGTACCCAGAGATCCGAAGATCCAGGGTTAAATATTAGTCTAACACTTGTATCGGTGGTTCTCCAATTGTAATATTGCCAACTATTGACATACCATCATAATCAACTAGCTATAACATATTTAATGAGGAAAGCGAGATTCACCACTCTCTTCCGTAAATATGGAATATGAAATTATTTATAAAAAGAGATCAAATACTAAAATTATAACACTAATTCAGTTATCCAGCAATGATATTACTTTTATCACTGCAATATAGCACTTTTTAATAAATAAAGTTTTTTAGGTCAAATAGAATTATTTAACTGTTGGCGATTTTGATTTTAAAAAAATTTCGCTTATTCCGTAAATATTCTGGCCATAGTCCAGATTTTAAAAGTCTACTACGATGGCTCTCGATAGTTATTAATTTAGTTCGATGAACTGCACTCGAACAGAAAATTAAAAAAATTGAAAAGAGAAAAAACTTTCATGTTTAAAGAGATGGAAGAGTTAGCATTAATTTTCTATCATTTGTCACTTATCAGGCTTTTTTATCTCATTATCGCAAATTTAATTTGATAGCATTTTAAATAGCAAAAGAAGGAAGAAGCAGAAAATAATTTTTTTCGAATTTCCCGCAATTATCAGCACTGAATCGTCAAGCGGATGAATAATAATTTGACATCGGGTAATTCTTCAAAACCAACTGGGAACACTCGGCGAATTTTATCAATTTGCCCCAGATGAAGGTATCTTTTCGAGACTGGTTTCGCTGCGATCTCATCGCTCATCAATTTGATTCTTCTTATGACACTTTATCAAAGCTTTCGCTTTGTCTTGTTGCATTCTGTTTTGAACAGATCGATCAGCCTTTTAGCATAAATAGTCATAGACGGCTAGTAATTCCTCTTCTTCTAACAACTCTCACCATTATTGGTTATGCTGGCTCCACTGGCTGCAAGGGTAAGGCATTTCCATGTGACGTGGTCTGATGCCATCATCCACTAATTAATTATCCTTTAATATCAATTAGTATTGCTGGCATTATCCATTGCACATTGCAACTGATTCTTAAATTCCGGATTTATTACTATAGAATAATTTCAATACTATAATCTTCGACTTTGGCAGTTTTGTTTGTATCACAAATCCCTCGGTTTTAATTAATTTCTAACAAACGGTTATTCTAATATAGATGTTGATGATGATTAGTACCGCGATTAGATTTAATAATACGAATGGTGTGAGGATGACCTTCTCACCATTTTATGTACGCCAATAAAAGCTACTTCTGCTCACTTGCTCTCTTACATATTGTCGATTTGTTATTCGTATTTGTTTGTTTATTCTCATCAGAATTGTGTCAAAAATTTGTGCTGTTCGATTCAGTAGATCGATATTTCGTATAATATTTCTTCGCCATTAAAAACCTATTCCATTACCAAATATTAATGAGTAATCCTGATTGCCATTCGGATCTAAGATTTTGGTTTAAGTAAGAGTAATTCACTTAATAATCTTCATAGTATATATTTTTTGCAAAGATTAGTTGAGAACTTTTTTATTTTTGGAGTTTATAAAAATATATGCCGCATGAATGCCTATTAGGTAAACGCCAATCGCAGGGATCAACCGAAAGTCAATCTGAAAGTGACTTTTCAGGAGAATTGATTTGTTGATGACACCTAATGGCTGCATAATTTTATATTGTTTTCCAGCAATCACCACATGAAACACGAAATCATTTCGTAGCGAAAATTCTTTCCACCATTAAAACGAAAATTATTCAACATCTGTCAAGAAAAGATTGGTGTCAGAAAAATCGCTATAAGCTTTTCTTCGTATTATGACCAGTGGAACAGTCGATTTTTGTGGGTAGGGCCTTAGCATAAGCGAATAAAACCAGCCAAATCAAAACTATTGCATATAGTAAAAGGGCTGAATCAAGACAAGAGAAGACGACAAAAGAGCGAGGATTTGTGGTTATTTTTCGATGTTAATCATTTAAAGTGGCTAATTATTGAAATTAATTTTATTGCTAATGAAATGAATTTAATTACTATCCAATTTTAGGTTAATAATGATGCGTATGATACGATAAAAATATCGCTAAATATTTATGATTACAGTATCGATTTGTCCTTGAAAGCTAAATTCGATTGGTCATATGGCAGGTTTAATTCTATTGAGAACAATTTGTTTGATTGTGCCGATTTCTTTTCATTACTGGTAAACGATCTCGTATATAATTGAAAAATATTCATTGAAAAATTACAGTTTTCAAATTTTTACATTCTTTAGAATGAATGAATGCGAAAAAAGGTGAAAAAATATTAACGATTCATCATGAATTTATTAGCGCAATTTCTTATATTTCTTCGGTATACTGTTTATTCTTTTAATTCCGCTATAAATTTGTAATAAAAACGATTTTGTTCACTATTTCAGTACTTTTTGAAAAAATAGAAAGCATCGATGAATTTTAATGCTTTCCAATATGAGAGTTTTTAATTTATCATATCACACTTTTATCATATTTCGCAAGTTTTGTGAATAAGATTAATAAGATTGGGTTCACCATTATTATGATGGCTTAGTGGATTGTTGTTTCCATTCTCCCACTTCAGATATGTCGATGCTGGGGCTCCATTCTCGATAGGAATAAGCCTGTTTTATTAAGGATGGAGCTTACGACTAATTTTTATTTCTACCATAAAATTTGTTCAACTAAAGAAGCCAGCGGACTGAGCCTAACTACAAATGGTGATTAGGCAAAAAAGTGAGATTAATTTATTAGTTAGGATTCTTTATAATGTGATTATGCGCTTTTTCTTAAAATTAATAGATGATTAGATGATGAAGTGTGTTATTAACTTAATCACTTTCGCTAATAATTTCTATTTTTGGCCAAAATAAATACCCAAAAAGCAATTCCGTAATTGCGATAATTATAATATCGAATAATTCAATTATATTTTTATATACTATAACAGTTTTACAACGAATTTTTTGATAATACAAGTTGGCTGCCTAGCATATTTACATAAAATATTAAAAATACCCAGGTTGAAAAAAAACCGGAATGAACAAGTGGGAAATAGAGATTGCATCAAACGGAATTCATTTTATTGCTTGGAAGAGTTTTTTATGGCCATAAATCGGTCATTCTCTACACTGTTTCGTCGATCACACGTTCGTGATAATGGTGAAGCTGTGGGCGCTGGTATACTAAGGAATGGTATTCTAGGACTGAACATTTGTGTAAGCATTCGCGGCTGAAAAGTTAATCGCGGTTGCATTTTTCCTATCCAATCTAAAAAAACAAAATTTATTGCTAAATAATATGATTTTTTTGCTGTAGTTATTAGAATTTTTTCGCAAAAAAAAATTTAATTTCTAATGGTTTCGATAAAATATGCTGAACTTAGAAAGTTATTTGCAATTATTTGATGTAAGCCATACATCTCTATGGAGAGATAAGCAAAGCTAATATTATGCAACGGTCAAGCGTTATCAATAAATTTACGAATCATTTAGCCATACATGAAATGAACGTTGATGCAACTAATTAAGCTAACTCTTCGTTGAAAATTTATTCATATAATTTTACAATATTATTCTAATGAAAATATTCCGGAAGATTGGCGATTTTTTTTATTGGAGCCATGTTTTATAGAATAACGGAGTGAAAAAAATCTCGTGCCATCAAAATGTAAATGTAATTCTTAAAGCTATTCCGCCTGAAAACCAAAAAGTCTCGAATTTTATCGGAATTCTAGTGAAAAAGAAGAAACTAACACTGACTGAAAAGAGTTTGTTGGGCCAATGTAGGTGAATATAACGATGGTAATAAAACTGGAAGATCAGATCGTGTTTCTCTGCAACAGCCATTTTCAATAGATGCTGATTTTACCAATTTTTTTTTCCATGAAAATTTTAGCATTCGAAGAAGCTATATTATTTTTCTAGTTCATCGAAAAAATGAACAAGCTAATATATAGAAAAATTTACATATCATATTCAGGTGAACGTCCACTTGGATCGCGGAAACCTTTGGCGAAAGGATTTTTTTCAATTTTTAACTTAGTTATCAATTGATTCTGATAAGCCGTCACTGCCATAAATTGTGTTTCCATGAATTGGAAGGTCTTGTATTGCTCATTATGGAGATCAATTGTTATAGACTGAAAAGGAAAAAGTTTTTATCACCACTTCTCGATTTAGACATTGGAAAAATAAGAAAATTAACGGATCTGATAGGTGCGATCGCGAACTTACCGTTTTTGCCAGAATTTAACGCAGATAAATATATGTTTCTATCTCCAAATGACTTCTTGGCAAACTATCTTATCTTAGTAACAACTAACCAGAAATGATGAGTGCTAAGTACCATTTAACAGATAGAAAAAGGAATCAGTTTACTTCTCGATATTTGTTGTTTCCCCTTGGAAAATTTAGAAAAAGTTAGTGAAGTTTGGATAAATGCGGTGATTTCAATAATGATATTCAATAGTTATATGAATAAATTTTCTCATATTAGAAAAAAATATATTTGAGACCTACATGAAAAAGTAAAATTTTATTGCACAAGTCATAAAGAAGAAAGATTTTGTCAGTGCGACAAGCCATTTTAAAACCTTCTACATTCTTTTATTTCCCTATAACATAGATTCTAAATCAATTTACTTGTTCGATAGGGCACTCCTTTGGCCTTCTAACGATATGAATTCTGGGTTGGTATTTATGCATCGAGTTCAAGATCAACTGAAATTTATTGCTCTGATCTCGTCATTTAATATTTCAAAAATATTTTTCTTTTTCAATTTTTCATTAGTAATTATTCGCTACATGCGAAAATCTATGGAAATATCTGTATGGAGAAAAGCATAAAAATTTTTTAGCTTTTCATCCATTCGAACGAATTCCGAAAAATGGAAAAAATTTTTGCACTGATTTGATGCTAGAAATAAAATTTTGACACTGATTTGACTGATACTAGAAATTAAAATTTCAAGGAACCCATTTTTAAATCACTGATAATCATCGGTAAATTTATAGAGAAAAATTTTTTCGCACCATTTTTCCTTCAAATCTTTCGTAAAATCAAATTTTTTTGCTGGGCCCTTGGATAAAAATGATTTCGCTACACTGATTTTAAAATCACATTAGTGCCATTATGTTTTTGGATGTCTCATGATATTAAAGATACAAATGCTAAATAAAATCCATAAATTTCTAACATGCATTTTTAAAAATCTGAGACTAACATGGCCCGTTTTATCTATTTCATTATTTGTTAGCTTAGCTTTTTCGAATGAAACCACTTGTTTCGATAACTGAAAATGAATATAAAATTAGCGAACATGTAGGTTTTTACGTGAATTTTAAGGAAAATGCAAATTTTCTGGATGCACATCTAATATAATTGAATATCACAATTAGAAATGAAATTGCTATTGATTAACAAAATAAGAACGTTTCCGTAGAACCATTTTGAGAATAAATTATAACCAGCAACCATCTGTATGTCAGCCGAATAATTACACAACTTAACCCATGGCATAATTTAAAGATTTATTTCTCGATGCATTGACTAAGCTTATTACGTGCATTATTGCATATAGAACAAGTGAAGAGCCATATTGAATCACTAAGCAATTTCTAGAAAACTTTTGCAATGAATCTTAATATATATATATTATTCCTCACAGGAATAAACTTATTTTCTAAAAATCTCAGTGATACTGGCAACTTCTCCGAGTGGTAAGAAATTTGCCTAACCCTAGGCCAGGAGAGCGAGCCTAATTGGAGATGACCTTTCTCTTAGAAAAAAATCATAAGCGATATTTTTGTGAAAAAATGCAAAATTTTAAGGAAAAAAAATGAGCAGTACAGTTTGAATTAATTCTTTAAAAAATTGAAAAACTAAATATTTATGATTCATTTATCTAATGAATTTAGCAAATGACTTATTTATTTAAAATCTATCAGTAAATATCTATAATCTATTTATTTATTACTATTCGAAGAAATGGAATCATGGAGCGATAAAATGGAACCATGCCTGGCGTCCGAAAATTAGTTGTCGATTTAATATTTGAAAAATAATAAAATGGGGCCAGGTTCAATATTCAAAAATCATTATTAAGCCAAATTTCGATATTTCTAATTCCTTTTCTCTATTCTATTTTTAATTCCCTATTAATTTTAAAATATTTGCACAGTAATCGATTATTTAAAACGACCTGTTCACCAATAAAAGGCGAATCTGGATGCATATAAAGTCGATTTCTAGGAGCTGGCTCAGCTTTTCCAGCAGTTAACCATGAAGATTTATTGTAGATATACCGGTATCGCCTATTGTCGACTGGCACAACATCAAGAAATACATAGTAGAGGGCATCGCACTCACAACCACTTACGCTAATTTTCATTGTTGGAAACATACGCCTGAAAATCATTGCATAGTACTAAATCAAATGCAGGAAATTAAAAAATAGAGTAAATGTTTATACAATAATAATATAGTTTTAATATACCTTTCGGTCGTCAAACTTGAGTAATAATGATGAAAAATTAGAAAAATTTTGAAGAGATTAACGAGTGAGTCTTCTGCTGCAACAACAACGCCGTTTCGCTGAACAGCCATATGAAATCACAGCGTTCCATATTTTTCCAAAGTATGGTAGTCGTAAAAAACGAGTAAAAAACGAGTAAACGAGAATGAGTTGATTTATTATAGGATGAAAGATTAATAAAAGAAAGGTTCGCTATTTATTGATAGTGGTCTCTGTTATTTTTTACCGTCTTAATTTTTACATAGTTTAGCATGGATGGATTACACATATTAGAAGAGATTTAGTGTTAAACGATATTGAAATATTGATAAATTAAAACATAAAAAAAATTGCGAGAACCCACGAAGAGTATTTAAAAATAAATTTTATCCTAATGGACGAACTCAAAACAAAATCATCAATCACAAAAATATGACGATTAATACTAAAAAAAATAATGCGATGCAAAAAAACGTGAATGTATTTTACAAGATGGGAACTTTGCTGTGTTGGCTCAAAAACCAGTGGAACTAGCCTAAACAGAAATTGTGAGTACTTCTAGAAACGGGAAAAACTTTTTTAAAACATTTTGATATTTTTTCTATATTGTTCAATGAATGAATAGAATAATAGAATTTGCAGTGGGTGCGTATGAAAATAAAAAATGTAAAGTTTAAAAATTTAAAGTTAAATTTTAAAAAAATTTAAAAAATATATCTTCTCAAGGTTTTTTTTAAAGAATCCTCATTATTGCTGGTAAAACTCGCTCTGCTGACTTGTCGCATTGGACAAATATGCCTTTGCAAAAGGGAGTCACTTGACCATAGAAATATCGCCAGCATGACCCGGATTCTTGGACAGGTTCACTCCTGCTGGGATTAAAACCTCAGCATCAACGCTCCGAATTTAGCAATAACTCACTGAGCAATTCTACCCTTTTCTTCTTAAATTTACTTCAGTTTACTCTATGGACACTATAGTCTGGTCGGTGCGAAAGACATTAAAACGTTTTTGCTTTTTTTGCTCTTTTTTGCTTGGTCATAGCAGTGCTACATGGCATCGCTGTTTCAATAAGCTAATTCGGTTTTTCTTGCACGACTCATACAACAAAAAATTGAAATGATACTCAAGTTTTTCATTTTTCCACAATTTTCATAATAAAATTTTTTTAAAGCATTCTTTGATAATTGTTGAACTGATCTCAGTTTTTCAAAAAAAATCCATAAGAAATTTCTAATAAATTTTTATACTTCTGAATAATTTAATAGTGCAATTATCGGTATTGTTGGCAAGAATTAAGAGAATTTCGCAAACTATAATACTTTTAGAGATAATTTAGTCTGATTTCGACTCAATAAAATTGTCCCCTATGCTTGTCCCTTATTGCCAATAAATCTTCGACAAACCATCCAATCCAACATTTGCATTCTTTCTGCTTCCTCTAATCACCAAAAAGGAACTTTTTTACCCGAGGACCACTTGGGAGATAGAAGTACGGTAAATCCTCGCATTTCATCTTCAATGAAACCTTTACTCACATCAAAAGACATTGTCGAGATTACGATTTTTCAATTTCAGTAGAAAGATGCCACTTAGCAGTGCCGATAAGTAAGTCAAAATTGTTCAACAATTTAATCAAATTCGATAATTATTTCTCGTGCTATAAAACAAAAAAAAACAATAAATGAGATGGATAAAAAAGTATAATTTAAGTGACTTTCATGCTAATTTTCTTTAAAAATTCTTAGTTCTTTTCGTCCCACTAATTATTATTAATGAGATTCTTTCGCTAGAGAATCAACCAAGAGCAAAACCACAGGTGGCATCGCTCGGTGTCAAGAAATTATCAAGAAATTTCCGCCAAACTGTGGTGCTTAAACTGATGGCCTGAGCAATGCACCATTTAGCCGTACTAAGCCTAATTTTTTTAAATGTCTTTTGTAAATCATGAAACAATTTCACTTCACCAATAATATCATATTTTCCCAGCAAAAATTGTCATCATTCATTAATTTGAATGGCTCATATTCAGATTATAAAAAAATAGCGCGCAAACGATGCTATATGAGCGACAATTGCTCGCAAAGGTGATAATATGATAATATAAAATTGAGACCGCTATTGTGGAAGAAAAATCGGTCGAAATTTGCAATTAAACATTTCAATACATTACAGTCAAATCATTCATTCATTTAATACAAAGGAAAAATAAAAATTTATTGCGCACAAATTCAATCTAATCGATGAAAAAGAATTACAGTAAATTTGAATCGAATTTAAAAAAAAAATACTGTGATTCTTGATAAATTTGCAATAAAAATAGAAGAGAAAAGAAATTTTGGTGTTTCCCTGGTAATTTTTCAAAGTTCGCTAATATTTATTTAACAAATCATCGGGTCTCGCTATGCTGCCTGATCCCTATAATTCTCCTCAACTATCCCAATCCGCATTATATAATAGGAGTTCAGTATGAAAAAGGAAGTACAAATGGGTCTCAATGCATCAAATCGGATGAAATAGCTATAAAAGATTATTAATATGTTGTTTACTATGTTGGCAAATGTTGGCATGCCAAAAGAGTACCATGGAGCCATGAAGTGTTATGGAGATATTTAAGAGGTATAAAAATATGTGGAAGGTACTCACATCAGGTTTCTAGTAATACCGAAAAGTTTCAATATGACGAATTAAAGTTTTACAATTAAATGATCCGTTCATTCGAAATATGAGCAGTATATTTCTTGAATTATATTTCTGTACTATAACTGGAGTTAACGGAATTAATGAAAGGAAATTTTATTATCATAAATCTTTCATTACTGGAGATGATTAAGAAGACTCTGGGCAAACGATGTGGGAATGAAAGACTGCAAGAATTTATGAGGAATATGATGGTATCTGGTTGATTAAAATCATATAAGGAAGTTAATGGTAATGCTATTGGTAGATTGTAAAAGAGTACAGAGAGTCTTCATGGAGCATTAAAGAAATATAACCAAGCTCCAAGGAATATAAGCGATTATAGTAGGTCATGAGGAAATTACTACCAGAGGCAAGATGGGTTTTGAACGATTTGAAGGTGACATTTGGATCGAAAAAAGTATTTTCAATGAATAAAAGTATTTTGAGGGCAAAAGAATGAGAAAGAATAGATTAACTGTATATTTAGGAAGTGAGGAGAAATATTTGGGAAGAGCTTTAACAGGATTAGGCAAACTGTGGAGGAAATATATGAGTTTTTTTCTGGAAAGAAAATCATCGCTTCGATAGACTAAACTAAAAATTTAAGTGGTCGAAACGAAAGAGAAAAGAGAAAGAACGTGTTTTATTTGTAGCGAAGTTATAATTTTTATCTTCTTCCCCTAATAACGTTCGCCAAAAACCGTTTAGTTGAGAAAAAATGGCGAATTTGCTGACCAGTGCATTTCCATGGACGAACAAGAATTGAGCTCAGAATTAAAATGGAAGTTCGAATGAACAATCTGTTAGCCTCATTGAAATCTTGACCTCAGCCAAAAAAATATGTCTTTTTTTTCCCTCTCTTTTTTTTCAATTATTCTTGTATTTTCTAAGAGTATTTCTGGCTAAAAATGCTCTTTTGATTTATCGGAGCCGACAATTTTTGCTAGTTATTTAGTGGAACTACATGTGAGTTACCAGAATAACCCGAAATTTTAAAAGACAAAAATTTATTTCTATTGGGAAATCATTACTATGTAATTCTTTAATTATTTTTTAATATGAAAATTATGACCGCGAAGATATAGATTTATCAATGAAATGAACTATTCAATTTAATCAATTAAAATTTATCAATTTTCGCTGGATTTTGGAAATGAGCGCATCTTGTAGTACATCTAATTTAATTACGTCTCTTAAAAAATTTACAATTAATAATTTTATAATTTATATTTGATTTTAAACTGGTGAAATTTAACGGTCTTTTACTCGCCTATTTTTTGAGATGATGAATTTCCAGTGATGATATTTTTATAACAATGTATTTTTTATTATATATTAATCATATTAATTATTTTATTATTAATTAATCATATCTCCAAAGTGCTACTAAATTCTGCCATTTATCTTTATGTTGATGATTGCTATTTAAAATTTATTATTCGCATAGTAGATCGGATAACTTATCTGTACAAGATGACCTCAGTAGAATTGCCAACAGGCTATATGACATACAAAATACCTTTTCTTTTCAAAAGTGTAGCGTTTTCTATATAAATTCGAAAGGATTCGATCATTCTAATCTTTTTATCAATGGTACCACAATCAGACGAATCTCACATATTTCCGATCTTGGCATAATCATGGATGAAAATCTTGACTTCGCTGCAGAACCACAGTAAAGAAATCCTCAAAAATAATAAATTTGATTTTTTGTTCGTTTAAGAACGAAATTTCTTATTAAAAGCGTTCGTTCGGCCTTTTCTTGATTACAATAATACTTGTTGCTCTCCGAGATACGTCAAGTCCAAATCAAGTAAAATAACTGAAGGACTCCAGAAATATTTTATACATCGCCTCTCTCTTAACAGCAATTTTAATTATATAAAACAACTTCAATAATACAATCTGGATTCCCTCTCAGTTCGAATCAAAAAAAATTTAATTTTATTTTAAAATTCTATATGGTTAAGCTAAATTAGATTGTTCAAAGTATTATAATTTTGGGTTAAATTTGAACCCACCAAGATCTTAGAATACTAAAGCCTTTATGCAAAAAATAACTAAACTAAAACTCATGGTTTCTCTAATCTTCTTGTTAATTACTGGAATAAACAACCTAACTAACGATGTAGTCTGTGCATTATCCTAAGTATTTTCAAAAAAGGGTTCGTTAATTTCATTTCTAATATTGAAAGCTCATACCATGCAGGATGTTTGAAATCTTAATTTTTACCATTCGATTATATATGAATAATGCATTCATTAATCGAATTATACTATTTTGTTTTGTTAATTTTTGATATATTTTCTTTTTTTTTTATAATGTTATATTTTATTTCACCTATATTTAATATGTAATATATTTCTTATAATAATATATTTCTTATAATAATATATTTCTTATAATATATAATACTACCTATAATATTCTTACTTAAGTTACTTGCGTTCAAGCAGTGAAATGTTTAAAAAGCTTAATTTTTTAACCATCATGCTACAGTTGCAGTCAAATCGCGAGTTCAAATCCATGAGAGTCAATATATTAATTAACATAAATGCATTAAAATTTAAAATTTGTTTGCAACTTGATATCTTATATACAACAAGAAGAAAACGTTTCTAGTATAGCTTTTTTCCATGTTTATGGAGAATTCCCGTTGGTGATTTTTTTAGAATAAATTGCGACTGTGATTTAGTCCTACAAAACGAAAGAGAGGAAAGAAGCTAAGAAAGGAATTCATTATAAGCTGAACAACCGCTTGTAAAACTGGGGTTGAAACGATGTATTTTTGTAGTTCCTCAATGAATTTATGATATTAAGGCGAATAACAGACATGTTATTATTGCATGCTTACATAAGAGAAATAAAGAAAAATTATAAAAAAAATTATAAAAATTATAAATTTCCTATAATATTCGGTGGGATATTAATTAATATTAAAGTATATAAGTAAATTTTTTTTTACGCTATTTTCCTTTATAATTTTTCATTATTTTGAAAAATATTATTAAAATATTATTAAATATTATAAATATTATTAAAATAAAACATTACAATTATTATTAAAATAAAAATATTGCACTGTTTTAACTTACATTAATTCTTGCAAAGCAGATGTCAAGATGTCAATCATTTGTCAAAAATGATAAAATTTCGGTGAAATACATCTTTACATGTACCTTGTTCTTCCACTCTTCTCATCTTGGAATATACATGGTAAATCTTACTGGATCTTTTAAAATCGCGATTCGGTAATTCTCCTTCTCTTCTAGCGGCTCTTATCATTACTGGCCAACTCGCTTCACTGGCTATAAGAGTAAGACAAGAACAAACGTTTCCAAGCTATCTGATGCCATCATTGATAGTAATAGAAATCAGATTAGGTGATTTGCTTAACGCTAATTTATAAAGCATAATTTAAGCAATCTGATGGTCTTAAACTACGACGATTTATTGCAGATAGTTTTATTAGCTATTGATTCAATAATTCGATTAAAATTATGACATAAATTAGAATAACGAAAATTTCAAATAGCTTTTTGTTAATGAGATTTCGTCAAGAATCAATAGTCGAGATTCGTTTAAATAGTTAATAGCTTTATGACTAGAAAAGAAAACATTTAGAAGATTGCCTCAAATACGGTAATTAACACATTCCCAAGTGAATGAAAAATGCACATTTGAACAACTCGAAGGTAATATAGTAAATGGTTTAAAAGAAATTGAAAATAAATTTAAAAGATGCACTCACCGTCCGCTCTTCGTGATAATCATTTCCGTACTTAATTCATAGAATTTGCACCAAAGTTCTCGACCTTCCAAGCGACAATCCAAATCTCGTAAATTTGGTGAATTACCCGCTAATGGAGAAGTTTTTGGTATGATACCGATTTTGGCTTCCAATTCTTTACCATCATCATCTTCATCATCAGCTTTATCAACATTCACCAAATTCATATCATTATCTTTGATAATAGTTTTAGTTTTATTGATACTATTATTGCATCTATCACTAGTACCACTATTATTGCTACCTTCATTAATATTTCCTATTTGATAATGTTCATCGCCATTTTCTTCATCTAATAGACGATCAATCATAAATCTAGAACGTTTTGCAGATGCTAAATTAAGGGGCGACTCTAATGGTGAAGATCCACGCTTGTCACCGGTTTTTACCATTAAGGACCACCAAGAAGTTGTTGTCAGAGGAAATAATTCGCCAAGTTAGGGGTGGGGAGGCAGGAATTCTTCATTGGATAAGTTGCTAAAAATAGGCGTAACTGATGATCATTGAGCCGCCAATTATATAAATGTTTAGGCGTGGTTATAATCTTTACGACTCAACGCCACTTTATGACTTTTGAAAGGATTAAAATCTACATGAAAATACGAAAATTTGTTATTTTTCAATAAATTTCCTATTTTTAATGGCATTTCAATAGAAAATAATCTATTGGATTAGGGTTTTGTCTCGAATCTGTTACGAATTTCGATCTTAAACGGATTAACTTATATCAGTGAATTGCTGAGATACGGTAATGATAGCAATCACTTTTGAAATTTGAGAAATTTCTCGCAAAATTTTTTCAATAAAATAAAATACACGAAAATTTTATTTAATCAAATGATCAAATTTATAAATTTAGTAGATTATCAAAAGAATTAAATTTTTTCATTTGAAGAATAAACCATAATTTCACGCATTTCGTCTCGGGTTTCTACGATTTTTGGTGAAAGGCCTTTTGAGACTTTTTCTTAGCTCATTGATTCACTTAATTGAGATAGGTGCATTTGAATGGCAATTTCGAAGTCGCTAGAAGATGGGGATTGCTTTGCATCCCTACAAATACTCAGTCAAAGCGACATAATTTCATCGCACTTTTTTTGCTACAATCGTTTTTTATCAGTGTGTGCAGTTTTAAGAATGAATTCGAAAAATGCTAAATTGTTTGCTATATCTTTCTCGCTGATCAATTATACATTTTGATAAATATTTTTTTTTTTGCCACCTCATGCGTGCGTTAGAATTTGAAATTAAAATCGTCTATTTTAGTACAGCTGGCGCATTAATCAAAGTACCGCAGTTTATTTTTTTTCCCCTTCACTATTTCTACAATTAATCTAGATGTGACTACAAGTAGAATGGCTCAGCAGGTTATTGCACTTAGAGTACATATCGAAGCGCAGATGCTGCTTGCGAATAGAACCGTCCTGCAAAGACTACTGATAAATTATCAAATAGTTCTCCGGTCCAACAAGCTAGTGAAGTAAACCAGAAATAATAAGCATTCTTAGATGTAGTACGTGAAATGAAATATTATTAAACAAGACTTTTAAAAATTTTTGCTTATTTTTGCCATTTATTACAATTATTTCATTCATTTGTAATCTATATTTATTTCCACCAAAATGAATAGAATAATTGGTTATCACAAATAAATTTTGCATAAATGTATGATATTCCTGCAATATTTCTGCAAGTTTTTTTAAGTTACCTTTTTTTTCTCAGCTATATTTATAAAATTTATTAGAAAAACTTTTTTTTTATTTCAATTCTAATTCTATCTAAAAAGTGAGAAATCAAAAGTAAAAGCAAATAAAAATGATAATATTAATAATAAAAATATCGGAGAAGTCTATCGGAGAAAAATTCAAAAAATTCCCTTCAAATAGAATAGGAAATATTATTCGAAAGTTTATACATGAATCAATAATTCGTTACTTGCCACTTTACTAGAATCTTATCTTATTTTTTTATTTTTCAGTAGAATATTATATTTTAATTTGGCTACAAATTCAAATATTTTATTAAATAGAAATTATAGAAATATGTAGCGAAAAAAGAAAAATGATTTTGTAGTGCTTGCAGAGCGATTCGAAATCTTTAATTCGTAATTCGACCCAAATAATTTCTAAAAGATTCATTATAAGATTTGGAAAAAACTTGTTCGATATATATTAGTAGAATAGCTAAAGAATTTTTTATTATTTCTAATTTTCTTCAATGAAACTATTCACTTAAGCAAATTAATCCATTCCATTTAATCCCTTTATCAATCGTTCCGGAAAACATTATAGCCGTAGGACAGCGTGAAGATAATAATTTGGATTCTCGGGCTGAGAGATTCAAAAGCCATTCAATTGGAGTATTACCCAAAAAACTTGGCTGATGTTTGCAATCGCCAAGTGCCTTCATGCCAAAACATGCCAAGTGCCTTCATGCCAAAAATAATCAAACATTAACAACAACCAGCGGAACGAGTCTAACTAAATATAATAAACGCTAATTCGTTTACTGGCTCAGTGAACAAACTTTCTACACAAAAATAATTAAAACTGAATTCTGCTCATATTTTTATAGCCGTAGCTTAGAAAATTTTAGATACCAGGAACTTAAATTATTTTTTATCATTCTTTCCATTTTATTACTGAAATTTTCACTACTGTTTCAGTATTAAAAGCAATAATATTACTAGATGAAAAGAAATGAGACAACCATTTTACGAGAACAATTTGCAATAAAATTTATAAATACGGATCAGCCAGTTTGTGTACAGATAATTTGGCCCTAAGAAGCTAAGAAACTTAGCAGGTATTGTTCTAATAAAATTGAGCAACTGCGGAAATGCTTGTGAATGATCCCATGAGACTATTCATTTTATTGTTTTTCAACAAAATTTTGACTTTACGCGCCATAAATTGGTTAGTATTGCCTTAAAACTTGGAAGAAGTACTTAAATTTATTTCATTTATTTATAATAATTAAGATCTGCCGTTATATTTGCAATTGGTGAAAGAAGGACTTAAATTAGCCTCGGGCGCCAACACAGATTCTTGAACGATAGGTTTTTACCTGCCGGATATAGCACTCCAGCATTGGAGCCCTGAAACGACAGCAACAATCTATTGAGCCTTTCTATATCAACAAATTTTCACGTTCGATTTTGCATATTTCCAAACCAAAGGTCTTTTGGCCGATAGAAGCACAGGTAAGTCGGTAGCATCACTCGGCGAATTTCAGCAACCGCCCCTTAAGCCATTTTACACTCCTGCAATTTTCTACCGTTAGGCGACTTTTTTTCCTGATTAAGAGCAATGCTTCGACAGATTTGAAGCCAGGCTTCAATTCTCGGTGGCAATTACCTTATCACTGAGCCACCGATATATCAAACCTTACTAAAGCTCCAGCACCAGCTAGGCGTTTGCACTGATATTCCGAAATTAAATGTTAAAATTAACTTATCCATGTTCAAAATTTACTGGAATTTGCTATCATCGATTAATTTCAAAGCTAATCCGAATATTATTAAGGAGAAGCGAGCAGTTATAATTGATTGAATAACAATATGACATAATGGAAAATCAGTTGAGATAAGGGTTTGAAGAAGATAATTTAGGCAAAATGCCCAAATCTGCGATATAAATCTTTATGGTAGAAGGATACTGATAAGCTTGTTATGCTTTTTATTCAAGGACCGAAGAGAGAGACACATTAATATAGTGTCGTATGAAAACGAGTTGAGATTTATCGAAAGATATGTGTCATATGAATGTTTAAATGGACGACTCTTCAATGATAAATTAATCACTTTAATCTTTATGTGTGACAGATCGATTGCTAACAATTCTGCAAACTATCCCTCTTCAAAGAGCTATAATCCATGAGATGACTAATTCCTTTTAAAATCCTTTTTAAATATTTTCATGAGCATGTTGGGATTAATTTTTTCTATATAAGCAGTTCTCAAATTCTCAAATTCATTTCAATAGATCTCTCTACTTTGCTGCATTTTAATATAGCCATTTTTCTTGTTGATGAAATTAATCGTGGAACTTAAAAAATTTTCACAGGATGAATGGTGTTTTTTTTGCAACTTAGATATTGAATAAAAAAATAAAATCAAAAAAACATGGGCATGCAAAATTCTCCTTCCTTTGAGCAGAAAGCTCAGAAATCTCTTATCGGATGGGTTTCTGGATTTTTATCACTGTCATTCCTATCATTATAGATTATCGTCATTGTATTTTCATTAAAATTTCTAAATCATAAACTGACGGATTACCAGTATGTTTCCGTTCTTTTTTTGTTATTTTCTAAGAAACTAGAAAAATTCGACAGAATATCCAGCCGAACATTCAATCAACTCCCACAAAAATAATTGGCGACAAATGGTAAGTAAAAATACAAATAAGGCAAAATTTATAATTTCAAGCCATATATGGGCGATAAAATTGATAAATAATAACGTATAAGGAATGAAAGGATTCATCTCGAATTGTAGATAATATATCAGAAAATTCTGGCGACAACTTTGTAAACGATAGGCGAAGCGCGCTCAAGGGACCAATTCGTCAATATGCCAGCCAAATTCGCCAATCTTAAAGATTATTGCACTATAGAATCACATTCTTTCTTTCTTTCAACACTCGTATTACGGTTGATTATGAATTCGAGATTTGCTCCCCACTTTAATGAATATTTTGCATAGAACTGAAAGAATCGCATTATTACCAAATTACAACTGCATTATAATTTGTTAAAATCTCATAAATTCACATCCATTGGCTGCAATCATCCACGCAAATAATTTGCAGATTTTCAAAAAAATTATAAACTAAAACATGTGTCAAAAAGTGAACAGATGGAACGAATCAATCAAACAGCGAAAAATACAGCGAAATAGCAAAAATGGAAGAAATTCAATGCAAACCGAAGAGAGATACTAATCCTCACAAAAGTGATTGCAAATAGTAGAAACAGATTTGGGCCCAAGCCAATTAGCAAATATAGCCAAATATATCTAAGCCTAAATTGTTTAAATAAAAAATAAAAAATAATTCTATTCGGTCATTTTCTCAAAATCTGTTTAGAATAATTTGTCATCTCTCCAAACTTCCAACGACATTTAAGGTATAATATGATGAATATGGAAAATTGAAAAGCAGAAAAAGCATGATTCTCAAAAAAAATTTTTCATTGATCAAATCAGTCAAAATAAAAGCTATTTCTTTGGACAAATTATTATATTATATATTTATAAAACTAAATTACGTAAATTCACGATAAGATTATTCAATTATCAATAATTATCAGTAAAATAATTTAGTATACTTTTTTTTAACGAAAACAAATAAGACTTTAAAAAAATCCCATCTTTGTAGCCATTCGATTAAATTAAATCAGAAATATTATTCAGAGAGGAAGTTTACATAAAAGTGTTGATTTTTGTAACTTCTAATCGCGACCTGAAGAATGAATTATATTGAAGTAGCACCACTGCTGTAAACTGAGCTGTTATTTATTTTAATTTAACCATAAAAATACACGTACAGAAATTATTATTGTATTTATATTATATTATTATTATTATATTTATTATATATGTGAAATAAATATATTTGTAAATATGCAGAGTTTAAAATTTTATGTATATATAATAAACGATGCAATAAATGATAAATTAATTGCTGAAATTTGAAAAGAAAATCGTTTACAGAGAGAATACACCATTTCGAGTTTAACTCGCTCCGCTGGCATGTCGGATCAAAAAAATTTTGCTAAAGACATACAGGTAAAACCATACAGCATAACGCGATTTTCTTTGAGATAGATTTTTTTTTCCTGCCGCAGATTCAAAAAATTTCAGCGTTGTCCTTTTGAAATGAGAACAATATTCCACTAAGCCAGTTTTCCCCACCTCCCTTCCCCTATAATTTACTAAAAATACGAATATATTACTGGAAAAAAAACTTATGAACGAAGAAAGATGAAAGCAAGAAATGGCGAACGATTAAAATTAATCAAATCGAGATATGTCTCATGAATTTATCGAGATTTTCGAAGATATGGAAAATCGTATGCGATTCTTCTTTCGTTTGCTTCCACTTCATTTTAAACGAGGATAACGTTAATTGATAAAGCAATGGGCTTGATAAATGACAACTCTGTGCCCACGGGACTATTTCTTAACCAGTTTTGAACAGAGATTTGCCAAAAACCTTTAGTATACTATTATTTAAAAATTTGGACAAATTTGGACGTTATAAAAATAAAACTATGGTAGAAAAAAATCGTAATTTTTAATTTTCATATTGCCCACCGTAGAAGTAATTTTAATATTGTTAAATTCATTTTGTCATTACCTTCTAACTGCATAATTTCTGGTTTTAGCTGACTTTATTGGCCAAAACTGCAAACTTTTTCGTTCAAATGAAATAAATATACTTGAAAATCTGCTATACTGGACGCTCATACAAAAATTTGCTGATATTTGATAATTGATAACTTAAATGAATAAATTTTTCCTTATCACAATACAATTTAGTGGTACTTGTGACTCATTTATATTTCCAAGCTCTGGCTCTCTGGAAAAATTTATTCGACAAGCCAGCGGAGCTGAGATTTGTTCGAAATAGTGAAAGGACTTGAAGAAAAAAAATGCAACATAGAAAAACAAATTGATTTTCAACACTTACATTCATTTTGTTTCTAAAAAAAATAAAATTCGTTTTAAACTATGAATATGAAAAGGTTCCGAAAATTGCTTTCTCCGTTGATGGTCTTACAATGGTCATGAAAAATTCAAGTTTTGTCAAAAACTTAAACCCGAATACCCATATGTTTGCTCAGGCAATATGTTTGCAATACCCTACATGTTTGGCTTTGATCCGATGAAATATTCAGAGAGGACTTCACGAGGACGCATTGTTACCACTTATCCACAATTCAACTCCCGAGAACCTTGAACTTATCCTAAGCCTAAGCCTAAGCCTAAGCCTTATTTTGACTGCATTACGACTGCACTATGTTACAAAATATTTTGGAATATTAATTATTCTTCAAAATCTTGAAAATGATCATTAACTAAAGGAAGAAATGTTTGGGCCGATTTTTTAAATTGTCCTCAAATAGAGGACATTTTGAAAATTTTAAATTCCGCTCTCTGTCATGGATCTTCTGGAGACCAAGAAAATTAAGGAAATACAAGTTGGCATTGAAGAAATTTTGCTCAAGGCTCGATTTGCAACGGAAAAGGAAGGTGCACGCTGGCAATCCTGACTATTATCATTTTATATTTACACAATAGTTGGAGCGAATCTCCAGAATCCAGTAAAAAAATCCAATTCGAAATTTAACAGGACTGGGAGGCGGCGTTACGAGCAGAGCTATCGAAATTTTTACCTGCGCAGAACTAGAATTGGCAATCCGCCAAATTGTTGAAATTCAATTTCGTAATTGTCTCTACTATTGTGACTGTGGTCAATTTTGGAAAAATGGTGTGGGGAAGGGGGTTTGGCTACTTCAATGCTTGGTTTCTATTTTAAAGCCAAGAGCGAAGTTGTCTTTGAACTCGGGTGGTGCTACTGATTCGCCTGTACTTCTGTCGCTTGTAATTCCCTGCCAAAATTTCGCCAGCGTCATTTCCTGATATTTGTTTAATTCAGGACGGCTGAGAGGGTCCTAAGAAATATTTAACTTTCGTAGAAGAAGAAAAAGAACTAATTAAAGGACCAAAACTTTCTTAAATTTAAACTTTTTAGTTTAATCTATTTGTGAACTTTATTGATATTTTAATTTTAAATCATTTTCAATTTTTATTTATTTAAATTTTTAATATTTTTTATTTATTTAATATTTTATTTATTTGTTTAAATTTTTATTTTATTTAATATTTAAATTTAAATTGAATTTCATGAAAAGTTTTCATTTTTTTGGTTTTAGTTTTCATTTAATGTTGTGTTTTTATGTTTTCAATTATTCTTTGAAATCCATCCACTGCATTTTTATTTTTAGGTGATTTAATATATTAAAATTGTGGGCTTGAATGGCTTTTTTGAATTGAACCATTAAGTAAGTTCAGGTGTTTATTTCTTTTTTTGGTGTTAATTATGCATGAACATTTTATGATATTTTCAATAATATAGTGAATATTTTTTGAATTAAATGAAAATTTGCTAGTTTAAGTTAAATTGGCCAATTCGAATAAATTTTTTGGTTTTCCCGACTGTGATTTGACTGGCAAAAAAATTTTTAGGGCGAATAGCATGAGTTTCCCTCCCTTAACAAATGTAAATCTTTCATCAATTAGAGAGAAGTTTAATCTAACAAAAAGTGGTGAAAAAATTATTATTAGAGAGAAAAAAAAATTCATTGAGTTATTTTTGATGCATGCCTTATTCAATTTTTTTCTTTATTTTCATATTTTCTTTATTTTCATATTTATCACCTCAACTTTAGATTATCATCGGCGATTTCCGAATTGATTGTGTTAAACACTTAAAGCATTTGGTTCTTTTAATGATTATTCCGGTACAATGGTTTTAATGTCATGCCATCATTATCCGCACCAGTCACACCAAGCGAAATTTCTGGGGTTGGTTTTTCTCGTTTGGTCGTAATTTTTATTCAAAAATAAGAAAGGAAGAATGGGCAGAAAAAAACTGGAAATTAGAAAATAAGCATTTCAGTAATCTCAAATCAGAAATTATCAAATAATTTTATAGAAACTTGATTTTGAATCAAATATCAGTCCACTTACTAGAGCATTAGATCGAACTTTGCAAGTCAAATGCATGCGAATGCAATCGTTCATTGATAATCATCGTCATGAACTGCATTTGCATGTTAACACCCTTCGGCAATTTGCTTCTTCATCTGGCGGTTAATTTTCATTTCATTTGATAATCGTTGTTTATTCATTGATTGTTCATTTTGTTTTTTCTTCTCGAGAGCACATATACTGGATATATTTTTCACTTTTCCAGTCTTGAAAAATTATAGGTCCACTTTTTTTTATTGGGAAAGTTTTGTATTTTTTTAATTCTCTTTATTTTTGTACTGGTATAACTTTATATAATTTTATTTCCGAGTTTTTCTCTTTGAGGTCTGGTTTTGGATGAGATACGATCTGTTGTCTGGCCTATATTAGCCTCTTCATTGATTGCTGATTTTGCGAGTGATCATGGTTCAAGTTCTGAGTCTGGATTTGAGTCTGCTGTTTCACAGTTTTCTGATGAAGAAGATACCCCAAGTAGTTCAAAAACCGTCGTAAGATTTATTTCGATTTATTTCTTTCGGAATGCATTTTCTGTTTGAAAAAACTTCGAAACAATCGCTTTTTTTACTATATTGTTATTGTCATTTATCCATGGTCCACTTTTAGATTTTTACACCTTCTTTGAATGACCTGATGCGTCATGGGGAATGGAATCAGGTAGAGCTGGATGTAAAACGAACTCTTTCACGTTTTCCACCAAATATTTCAGACAGTGATCGCGTTCATTTGCAAAAAGAATTGACTCCCTTGATTATTCGAATACTTTGGACTTGTCCTCATTTCCACTATTACCAAGGTTTTTTTATTCTTCAGTTCAGTGTGAAAAAATTTGTGATAAATTTGTGCTCAATGGATGTGCCCAAAAATTTCATCATTTCGCATCTAATTCATTTTCATACCTTTCATCATATTTTTCACTTATGTTTGGCGCTAATCGGAGCAATTGTTACATATAATAGAGTTAAACTTAGGTTTTTTTTTTAAGATGCTTAACATATAATTGTATATTTATTTTGCTTCGTTTAGGATTTCATGATGTCTGTTTAACACTTTTACTTGTTTTGGGTGTACAAGCAGCTGAAAGCGTTGGTGTTAATCTTGCGAAAAATGGCATATTTAACGAGTTAGCATTTCCTTTTTGATTTTAAAAGATGGTTTGATATTTTATATTTAAATTCTTAATATAAGAATTTCATCTCACATTCTGTAATATATGTTATGTTTTTTGTTTTATGTTATTAATTATATTATTAAATCATTATTTATGTTATTACTGATAAATTCGTGGACGTGGACCTTGCTTGCACAATTCATTTTGTATTTTTCATTTTAGGTACTTATTACGTACCCTTGAAGATACTGTGCTTCGAGATCTCGATCTTATGTACATAATATTATGGAAAGTAGATTCAGAAATTGAAAGAATAATGCGTTCTGTGCAGTTGGGTTCACTTTTTGCTTTAAGTTGGCCTCTAACCTGGTTTTCTCATGCCTTTCATCATTATCGACAGGTGATTTTGAAATTACTCTAAATTTGCTTTCAATGTAGTTGTTGTATGGATAGTATTGTTTGTTGCAAAATTTTTTGATATTTCTAGTTTCTTTGCGGTGATATTTTACTTTTGGAAATTTGGAAAAATTGATAATTTCAGGTCGTTCTATGTTTCGATTTATTTCTGGCATCCCACCCATTGATGCCCATTTATTTTTCATCAGCAGTTGTACTTTGGCGTTCTTCTTCAATTTTGAGCTCTTCTTATGAAATGCCCATTCTTCATCATTTGCTCAATATTATGCCTGATGAGGTGCCAGTTCGAGCATTAGCTGCTGATGCTCAGGATCTTTTTAGGTTAAAATATTTATTAATAAAATTTATTAATATTTATTTATTAAAATTTATTTTTCATAAAAAAAACATTTTTACAAAAATTTTCAGTTTTTGAAACAATAAGATAATTTTTTGAAAGATCTTTAATCAAAAAATGCTGTCGTTGTTGTAAAAACAGCTTCTTCGTTTTTATAGAATGCTGCCACCATCGCTATTACGTGGTCGCCTGAGTAAAGATTATTGCAAGCTTTTAAAGGAAACCCATATGAGAAAACCATCATTGCCAACTACATCGTTGAAGGCTTGGCTTGTTGCGGGGACTGCCACGGCTGCTGTATATATGTTATCTCGTTATTTATTCATTACATCATAAAGTGATAGTCATTTTGATCATTTAACCATTTCCTAGGATTTTCTTTACTTTCTTTGCATTGATTCAAATCTTTTGCCTTGAAAGTTCCTGGGATTCCTGGGCAAAGGGAAATAAATCATTTTTCATGTATAAAGTTTATTTGGCTTCTGATTTCATAAGAAAAAATATATACGAATGGTTTAATTATCAAAAATATTTGCTCATTTTTCTCAAACTATTTGTTTTTTTAATGTTTACCATTTCTCAATTCTTCGTTTTCTTTCATTTTATTTTTTTCTTATCGAAATTTTTTCAAGTTTTTAATTTGACATTCCACCGATAATCTGAATTTCGCAGCCACTGTTACAAATTAAAGGGAAATTTTCTTGAAAATTGGTGCAATTTTTCTCCATGTAATTTTATTATTTTTTATTGTAATTTTTTATTGTATTATTTTTATTTAATTTTACTATTTTTATTTAATTATTTTTACTATTGATTCCAGTGCTCTTTTTTTTATACAAAAGTATAGGATGGTATAATTATGTTTTTATGATTTAAGTATTGAAATTAAATGTTTTAAGGTTTATCAAAAAAGTTTTAAGTTTTTTTAAGTTTTTAAATATTCCATTTCGGTTTGTATCAAAAAAATGTATCCGGTTTTATGATTACGTTTGGAATCATGGAAATAGACCATTCTTTTTTAAGTCCAAAATTAGTAAGAAACGTTCATTTTGTGCATTTTTTATATAGTTAAAAAAATTTAACATAACTGGATTGCTTTCGTATCATAATTCATATGTTTTTTCCTTGCCTACTTTTTCATTTTTTTATTCCGGTTAATTTTAGTTATAAAGCATCCATGTCAACTTCACTTAGTTTTTAGGGATTGTTTGCAAATCTTTTGATTTAATATTTATTCGACGATTAGTATCTTGCGAATTTGTGATTTGTTGATTTATAGATTTCTTCCTCATTTTGTTCAGATTATTGGCTATTTATATTTTTATTTTCAATTATGCAAAAAATTCTGCTCTGATTTTATTTTTTATAAAAAATTGTCGATGATAGAATGAGGCATTTAAGATAATAAAAATAAATTATTGGTGCAGTTGGACTTTTGCAAAATTCGTTACATATAATTGCTTCAGTAAACAACTTATGAAACTCTGCGAAACATAGCTTAGTTTAGTCTGAAAATGATTATTAAAAGAATGCGCGGGGTGGTAATAATTGGTGATGTTATCCATTTTTTCCTTTTTTTTTGATCGATTAACACTATTCTTAGAGATAATAGGGTTGGCTCTCGAATGGTTGTGGATGGTCTCATTTGGGGGCAAATAAACTGGTGGATTTTCGGTGGTCATTCTAATTTCTTGATTTCGAATAAGAAAGGAGAAAATCAGCTTCTTGTGTTCGATTATTAAAGAATTTTTTTCAAATAGCGCTTACCATTTCCGATTACGAGCGGTTTATCGGACCAAGCAAATTTTCTCAGAATGTATTAAAACCAAACAAGTCACCAGCGTCATCCGAGTTTTCAAAAATTGGAGTTAATTTTGCCATAGGCAATGGAGCCTCAGCACGGGCGCTCCAAAATAGGAGCGGCAACCCACTGAGCCATTCAGCCCATAAGCGCTATCCAATTAAATATATAATTTGAAAAAATATTCGTATTAAAAAAATGGACAATTTAATGGGCAATATTGGGCCAACAGGTTGTTTAAATTTGTTATTTCTGACTTTTTCCTCGTCAATCAATCGCGACTCATTTATTTATAATTAGTTTAAATGGCACTGGTATTTTTAATATAAAATTTTATTGATGAACATTCATTCCATTCAATTCATTCCATTCACGGTGAGCAGCACAGCACAACTGTGACAAGGCAAGAATGTATGAATTGTATAAAAAGACAGTGTGACAAAACAAGAATCGGGCGTAGGTTAGTTAACCCATACGAGGGCCGAACGAAGACCAAATAAATGAACCAACGATGCATCTTTTCGATGAAGAAATTTTTATTGTGCACATTGTTTTGTGTTATCGTGTGATGTGTTGTTTTTGTGGAGGACCTTTTTATGCGACAATGATAAATATAATTTTTTGATTTACTATTTGATAAAATTGATAAAAATGTTCTCTATTTAAAATATAAATTTTTCAATTAAATATTAAAATTCGGTTTAAAAAATTTTTCAAAAATTTTAAAATAAAATAAAATAATAAATATATATAATAATATTATATAATAAAATAATAATATGTATTTTAAAATAAAATATAATTATAAAATAAAATATAATAAAATATAATAAATAAAATATAATTATAAAAACGATTATCGAAATATGCCTCGTCGAATTGAATTAAAAGCAAAAAATTTTTGGGATTTATTTATTTATTTTTTCAGAAGAAGAAGAAAATTATTATTATTGTTGAGTTAGTTACTAATTGGTATCGAAGACAAAAAAAAGTGGTCAAAATTTATTTGGCCATCTTCCTTGGCAGCCAATATTCATTAGCCTGTTCTCAACAATATTGTACTCATAATTCGAGCTCATTTTGTAATTCCTAAGTGAAAGAACCGAGAAAGAAGAAAATGGAACGCATAAAACGAATCTCTTATGCGCTAATATTCATTGGTACTTTAAATATTCTAAATGGATTTATAGCAAGTTGTATTCAAGCAGAAAAATCTTATCATACAAAATATTTTGTTAACACGCATTGGATCACATCGATCATCGTATTTGCTGGTATTTCGGCGACGTTATGCAAATCATTTAATTCCATAACAAATCTTCTAATATTTGCGATTTTATGCAATTCTATAGCATTTTTAATCGCTTCCGTCGCTGTTATTGCTGATTTTCTAAATATCGTTATTCTAATACGCGATTTTGATTCACTTAAAGCCAATAAACTTTTCACTATCATTCAGGTTGATTTGATTAATTTTTTATTTTTTTTGTCCATTTTTGCATAAATAATAATCTGCATTTTTTTTCTGATATGATAATACATTAATCAAATCTAATAGTTGATAATTGATGATGGTTTCGCTAATTTCGCTAAAGTACAACCATTTTGCCAGCGGTTGACTTGTAGAGAGACTGGCCATATGGATTATATTTTTGTGAAAGATTTAATCCTATAAAAAATCGAACTCATTTTGCTTATTGAATTCTCTACAGTATAATTGCTATTTCATAACAAATTATGGCAATAAACCATCGATATGAATGAGCGAATTGCTCCTTAAATTTGCCATTTCTGTTAATATATGAATAATTTAAAATCGGTTTAACTCTCTTTTTTGTTTCCTCGTCTCCGATAGAATTTAGTGAATAAAATTTGGAAACTCTCTTTGCGTGTAAATATTTATTCTAAAATATTATTGAATTATCTTCGTTAATTTTATTAACTTTCTGAAATATTTATGATTTTTATTATTCTTTTCCTATACTAAATATTTTTATGAATAAAAGTGTGAAAAATAGTGAAAATTAGCCGAAAAATGCAGTGAATAATATAATCTCTCAGGTTTTCGGATTTTTAATCTCTTTAAAAATATTGTATCACAATAATAATTCTATGTATGTTTATTTATTTATATCATCAATGAATTATAACTGTAAAATTTAATTTTTGTTTTCTAACATCTTTTTCTTGAAAAACACCATTCCTGGTTGGCCTCGCTGCATTGGCTTATACAGGGAGCACATAGGTGAATCACAAGCAATGGATTTCTGAAAGGCAAATTTATTCCCGCTAGCATAGGAACTCCTAAATGAAAGCTACAGTCCAGTGAGCCATTCCAATCCGCAGTATTTAAGTGAAAATATTTTACAATTTTATTAAAAAAAATTATTTATCTAAATGGCTAGCCGAATAGCTTCAATATTTCGAAAAAGGAATATTGAGTTGTTACTCAGCAAGGAAAAAAATAACTATATTAGGGTGGTGCTATAATATGGGGGTCCATTGGACGGCAATTAGTCTAATCTAACAGTAGATTTATTAAATAACGCGAAATTCAGTTAAGGGCCTTTTGAAGGTTTTCTTATTAAGTGGCAAGATTGCTGCGCTCAAAAACGATGCGGAAATAAATTATATAGTATAGTAGAAATATGGTAAGAAATCGTTTTGTAGCGACTAATATTTAACAGCAAATCACTTTATATAGCAAAAAAACGAGGGCATTCAGTATATAGATGGGTGTTAGATGTTGGCATTACAGTAAAATTTCATGAAAATTTATTAAATGGATTCATGCTTGATATAAGGTTTTCAGGTTTATGCAATGATAAGCTACAGTCTTGTAGACCTGTTACTTTGTATTCTGGCTGTAATGTTAATGGTACCAATTTTGACATTAGCAGTTCAAAGGATTGTTGAATATCAGCTGGAAAAAAATTCAAAGTTTGCTTTATGTATCGGTATCAGTCTTTTTGTTACCAGCATTTTTAAACTGATTGTTTGGCTGTTTGAATTGTTCCTGGTGAGATCGCTGGGGTCTTCGTTGAGATTCAGTTTTATGAACTACACGATCGACGAGCCTTTCTGGATTGTCTTTAATATCGCAGTAGGTACACTCTTAAAATATTTTACCCATTAAAATGTAATTTATTTAATTTGTCTTTTTATCATATCCTTACTTGAAATCGAGTCTATATGAATAAATAAGTTCCAATATTTCAGGTATCGTCTGTATGTTATCATCGCAAAGGGGAGCTATCCTAAGGACAATAACCATTTGTTTTAGCGCGATAAGTCTACACCCTACAATTATAATCTTATGGATAGATTATCGATGGTTTTCAAGTACTATTGTGAGGAAAACCAGAATTCTATTCCATATTTATTAAATTTTGTTTAGCCAATTGCGAATTTAGGAAACAAGAAACTTGACTAAAAAATTTTGATAGATATGGCAAAAGATAAAATTGTGATATAAATTTCAGATGCCTACTTCTGAATCAGTTGCACCATTATATAAATGGCTGCTTGTAACAAACGTAATGCTCGGTTCTATTAATGTCATACTTCTTATATGTTGTGCAATATATCTGATGTTTATTACTTCAGTTCCAACTGAACTTAAGATTTCTTCGAGGATTCGACTAATTTTACAATTTTCAGGTCTTTTTTTTTCTACTCATAATAATACAATATAAATTATAAAGTGATTCTAACAGAGTATTTTCAATATTCTTTCAACTTCATGAAATTTATCGAATATATTCAAGGATTATTCGCAATGCTAGTATCCATATTGCTTTTATCATTCGATATCATATCAGCAAAGCTTGGTGCATTTTATAAGATTTTCCAAGGCACGGAACAAAAAACGCCATTTTTGTTAGCAATAATTTCTGCATTACTTATTTTATTGACAATGACAGAAACCAGTTCTTCAATTATTCCTGCCGCGTAAGTTTTTTTTAATTTTTTCAGAACAATATTTTATATATTCCGAGTAGTCTTCTGTTGGACTTTTTTCCAACAATGATTTCAATAATAGATTGGTGAAAAAAAAACATGAATTTCTTTCATCGAAGTTAATAAATTTTTCGTAAATTTCGTAATTTTTCAAAAACTTTTCCATGGATTATAAGACTCCAAGGACCATGGACTCCTAAGGACCCTTGAAGTGCAATTGGCATTAATAGCTGAGTGCTTGAAAATAAAAAAGAGCAAACAATAATGAAAGCAGAATGGAAATAAGATCGAATTTTGACGTAGGAAAATTATACAAGCCATAAAAATGAATATGGCGATTGTTGATCGGATTATCGTTAAGGTTCGTTCTCTGCACGCGATAACAGTAAATCTTTCATAAAAAATCCATTTGGTGCTGGAGATCTTGAAGAACCTTTATTTCTGCTCCCACATGATTCTCTGAATAAAAATTTCTCAGTAAGAGTCAGTAGAGTGAGCTTAACCGGAAATGGTGAACATTAACCATTTCCTAACATTGGAGAATATCGTTCCAAAGTCAGGCTTTACATATCATAAGTATATGATGCATCTAAAATTTCATATTGCTGTATTTCATCTGAGGTCAAAAGGTCACGAAACTGACTGGTAAATTCTTATTTATTGAACAAACTTTTAACGATTTATCTTAATTGATAATACATTTTATGTTACACTTTTCCAGAAAAAAGTTGTAAATAAATAATGTTAATGATTAATTAGCAATTTAGAATTAATAGGCACAGATGATAATTTATTTCATCCTCGAAGTTTAAAGTTATTTTTTGATTTCTTTTTTTAAATCTCTCAATTATCTCGAATTTAGCATCAGTCGGAATATATTTGAATATTTACGAAATTTTCCCACGTTTCCTAGGTTTTCCCCACCCATTTGCCTAGGTTTCCTTATAAAGTACCCCAGGAATCAATGTTTTTTCCGGGGTAGAAAACTTCCTCATGTAAAGAAAATTTTCTTAATTTTAATGAGAAATTTTCCTCCGCATGGAAATTTTTTTCTGCTTTTTCAACGACTGTCCGTAAATTCGCTGGCGAAAATCCTCGGTTCTCGTAAATCAGTGGGGCCAATCTATTTTTTTTTTCAACTTTTCGCTTATAATGGTCGCATTTCGCAATTTTTTATTATAATTTTAGATTGGTATTTCTTTTGTTTTGTATACAGTCGACTTCTTTCAATATCATCTCGTATGCATATTTATCGTGGAACGGATATTTCGCAGCAAATCTTTGCGAATTATTCTATCAAAATTCGATTGGTTGTACAAAATTAGTCACGAAGATCGGTTCATTCGCACATTTTTTTGAAAATCTTATGCATCTATTGGTATTAACTGGTTCTATAATTCTTGTGCTTCTCCTATGGCAATTAATGCAAATTAATAAAACTCGATCGCATTGGCTTCGAAATTCACAAAAACAATTGGTTCATAAATATGAAATAATTATTAAGGTTAATTTTTTTTGTCTCATAAAATCAGCAAATATTTTAGGCAAATTAAAACCCCTTTAGGGATTCATTTAATGGGATTCCATTTGCCAAAGGCAATTATAACATTTCAACTTAAATTAAATTAAATTAAAGAAAACCGAATTTCGCCGTTATAGTTTGTCATAATAATTATCATCTTAAATCGTAATTATCCATAATATCCATTTGTGGATGGAATAAATCAACTATTAAAGGCGAAATCCGATTGATTGCGGAGATTTTCTTCACAATCTTCACAAATGACTCTCTGGCAAGAGAATCTTAGATTAATGGTCATTCAACCAAACCAGAAACACTGCATAGCATTAGAGGAAGATTGTCCATAAATTACAACAATTCTTATTCTAAAGGAGGAAAAAAACAAAATGACCAAACTTAATAGGTCTTAGTAAATGGGTTTATTTTACTTTGGGCATTCATGCTTTACAATAGGCCCTGATATTTCCTCAAAATCCACTATGCTCCCTTGAAAACTTTTTAGACACACGAGCACCGTTTTCTATAATTTCTTCCTCACCCAGCTCTTTCTATTTTTCACCAATATACTTCTCCACCACCCCATTCTTTCTATGATTTTATATGTAACTGTTTTTCAAATCCTATAATATATCCATAACTAATTCTTGGAGCCTTACCCTATTAGCCATCCTGCCAAAATGCCTCTGTGGAACATTGCTGTATTATATTTCCATTCACCATCAGTAACACCTTAAGTCTCCTTATTTCACCTATAATTCTTTCATCTATTCCTCAGAGCTGCTGTTTTTCATGGCCCAAAAGTCTCATTATTCTTCTTTTCAATGCTCACCCAATTCTTATAAAACCAGGTGCTATCATCTTTCTTGCTTGCATAATTCGTTGCCACTTTGCAGTACCCTAATATATTGCTACTATGTCCTTTCATTAAATTTTGATGTATAACGTATGTAACTATTCTAGTGGCTCTATGCTGAAATAAAATAAAAAGCGCAAACTTTCATATTTTTCAGGATATTATATTCTCTAAGCACTTCTCCATAGGCTTATTATTCTTCCTTAAAATGCTTTGGTTCATACCACATTTCTTCCATTCATCATAATACTTCTTCTTGCATCTTCGTAATTGGCACCTGTGGTCTTAATGAATGTGGTTTAGCAGTTCAGGTTTTCAGTAGTTTTCTTTTTGCAAAAAATTACTTTGCTTTCGCAGTCTTGCACACTCACCACTGGAAGCGCTTTGAGCAGGGTGGATTCAAACCCACTGGTTGATGCTGAACATTACTGTTGCTGATTTTTTATCCTGGATGCATGAAAACTGCGAAAAAAAATTCCACTTCATTTATTCTTGTTTAATCGGTACGAATTCATTTTCCATTTGTAAGAGGCCAAGCCTTTTGCTTGCTTTCGCGACGGGTTTTACGAAATATCAACAGATGTTGAATTTTGAAGAAAATCCTATGAGAAAAATGGAATGGGCCTTTTTAATAATTATTATATGTAATTTATGTATAGAGGGGTCTCACTATTTCCGATTAAGACTTGCTCCACTAGTTATCAGTATGATCAAAAATTTTTTACTACGGAATCTATTAGCAAGAAAAAAAAGTAAGGGAAAATAAGTTCATTTCTGTTGGGAGCTTTTTCCTTTTGACGGTATAATCAAAAATTTTACTACAAAAGAGGGAGTGATCGATTGGCAGTTCGCTTCAGCTAAGGTCAGGCTACCAGATGTTCGATTTATATCTAGATAAAACCTGTCACTATTGCTGAAATGCAGGGTGATGAGGACTTAATTTTTTATTTCGATTGCTTAGCGAAGAGGTCTCATCGTAGCACCAGTTTAAGAAGCCAAACTAAAAATAATATGGAAGAGGTACAAATTAAATACCATAAAAGGAGGTTGAAAAAAATTGGCTTTTTATAACTGATTGGATCAACCACCTATAATAATATCATTCATAAATTCGCTGGCTGGCTAACTAACTATTGAAATATTTCAGACTATTGGTTTAATTGGCTTATTGTGTGGTACCATTACATTATTATTCACCGTACACGACTTTATCAACAATAGAATAAGACATCCATTACTCGTAATTTTATCACATTTATATCATATTTCGCTCGCTATAACACTAATCATTTTTCCACTTTATCAGGTCTTTTTTTCAAATTTTACTTCGCGTTTAAAATATCAAATTAATTTGCAGAATTAATATTAACTTTTTTTATAAATAAAAGAATTTATAAAACGATAAACGATTTTAAAAATCTTAATAAAGCAATTCAATAATTTAATAATGGGTGGAAATAATGCGTGGAACTGCAATAAATAAAAAAATAAGTAAGCGATGAGACGATTTTACAAAGTGGTTATAGTAGCTGTAGTTATTCATTACTTCGCGGTAGAAGTACGTGGTCGCAGGATCCATGAATTCTTATTGGCAGATTTACTTTTGTCGTAGGCCGGATCGGAATCCCAAGACGCTTGAGGCGATAGTCCAAACAACCACTTATTCTCATCAGGCATATATGAAGTCTTTACTGAATAAAGTAAAAGATTTTATTCTATCTTTTTAAATTATAATTTATAAAATTTTATAGTTTTTTATTTATTTATCATTGAAAATTTTTCTAGGTTATCGTTAGCAAAACTTTGTTCAAGAATAGGCTTTCGTATTTATCACTAATCATGGTAAATGCACTTCGATTTGTCGAAATTCTTACCCAACTTGATTATCGTAACATTGGTATGTTATTGATAAAAAAAACGAAGATCAGTTTTAATTTCAATATTTTTAAAAAATTTGATAAAATCGACAAATTTGATAATTAAATAAAATTCAAAATTGAAATTCTTAGGTGAATCAGCAAGCTGGCCATGGAAAATACATACTACGGTAGAGACAATTAGCCTTGCAGCTTGCTTCGTCACTATTGTTTTATGTTTAAGAATTATCGATATATTATCAGGGAATATTACTGCTGTCGATCTGCCACAATCGTTTACTGAATTTAGCAATCCTTTAAGTGCAGTTCGAAATTCAGACGGTTATACTCAGATGTTATCAGACGATTTCTGATTCTTTTGAATTCTTTTGATTTTTTTTTGTAAATTTTTTTTTGTAAATTTTTTTGAATAAATTTTTATATATAAGAAATTTATAAGTCTTTATAAATTGCAACTACGATTGTAGCAAAAGTGGAATGCGAAATTTGTGAAGGGAAAAAATGGATTTGGGTTCGGCAAAGATATTTCTGAATTTGGCACAATGATAGGAAGAGATTTAAAATAATACCAATAATAAATGGCTAGAAAATTGGTCAGGCAAATGGGTTTTGGGAATATTAGAATGAAATTTTATGAACTTGGGAACGCTTTCCATAAAAAGACATGAGGGAAAATTTTAGAGGATATTAAGGTGCCTGAACGCATCGATCAAGGTTCCGAAGGCTCTCCACCGGATTTTTAACGAAATTAATGGGCCGAAGAAAAAGGGTATCTGCTTTTGTACTACAATAAGACAGTATATATATTAAGATACCATAGCAAAGACACTAGGTAAACATAGAATTGATCTACAATGGGATTTAAGGAAATCTTATTACCTGCTTCCAAAAAAGAACATGGTAGTTGATTTGGATTTGAATTAAAGTGATTTTGGAACAGCGCAGGATTATAAAAAGATCTGAGGAAGCTATCAAGGGATTATAATAATGCCTAAGCGCTTAAGACAGTAGTTTGAGCTAGTTTTACTGAAAATAGTGCAATGAATAGTGATGAGTGAAATTTAGCCAGGCATTAAGGAATGAAATATAATATTCATGCATCCCGAGGCATTTATTAGGGAAATCATTCAAAAGCTATAATCTAAAAGGATATTTTAGGGTTAAGATGAAGGGCTATTCTACGAATGAAGAAAATTTTAAAGAGAGGATGGACCGAATTTAGGGCACAGAGAGCATTTTATTTAACAAAAATCCGAAGAAATTCTGCAAAATTGGGAAGATTTTGGCGAAAATTTCAAAAATCAGCGACAAATCATCCCTTATCAACCAAATTATCAGTCAAGTTATCAGTGAAACTTCATTTTATCGCATAAATTTGTCATTACTTATTTTCTTATTTTATTGAAATGATGATCGATTCTCTCACATTAACCTATAATTATAACTGAGAACCGCAGCGCTGACTTTATTTTTACTTTATTTCATATGGAAGACATTGTTCGCACTTTTATGGTAAAAGACATTAAAATGAGATATTTCATCAGATAATCAGATTCCGAAATCCTCGAGTAATGATCGTTCCACTAAAAAATCTTTTGAGGGTTTATTTGAGTAGTGTTTCGCCTAAAGTGATATATTTTGTAGGAGATCAGAGGTGATATTCTTACAATGCATATTTGATTTTACAAAAAATAGTCGACGTCGAATCAGAAAAAAACATCTTATGTAAAAAAAGTTATTTAATGTGTCAACCGAATTTTATTTTAGTTTTTTATGTGTCATGTTTGAATCATTAGAATCATTAGAATGACTCATTTTCGGTTTCATGAATCATTTATATAATTTTTCTGAAGACCATCAACACCATAGAAAATTGTTATGAGAGGAATTGGCTGTCCTAGGTTCATTTTTCAGTTAACTTACTTATAAATATATCTCATTTAGTTCAAAAACCACTTTTAGTTTTTTCAATTTCATTGACTGCTTTCCTTTGATTACGAGATATAGATAGGTCTGCAACAACCATTCGGATTTTACTTTTTAAATTTTACTTTTGTTTTCGTCTAGAGGCAAGAGTGAACCCAACATACTTAACCTCCCAATATTATAGACTGTTTACATTAGAAACAAAAAATAAATTACTGATTAAAAAAACAAATTTATTTCAATAAATTATCATGAAATAATTTATCAATTATAATTCGTTCACCACTTGTTTCCCTTCTTCTTTTTCTTTTTGGCTTGTTGAGCTGCAGGTCGTTGCTGTCGAGGCCCTTCGGCTGAACCCATGATTGGTGTTGGTTTCGGTGAATTATTGGATTTCACTGTAGCCGTAATTTCTCTAAAATTAGGCATCCTTGTAAGGAATATCATTTTACCTATCAAGGGATATTACCAGCCATTAGTACAAGTTCATTTACGAAGTAATATCAAAATGAAAACAAAAAATTAGTGAAAAGTCTTGTGTTATTTCTAAAAAACACTTTCAACGACAAATTTTTTTAATTTTCTTATGATCATTTATGCGATTTATAGGATTTTTAAAATGCACTGGAGCTCACATAAAATGATTATTCTTAAAATATATCATAACCAACTACGATACATTCAAACGGATATTTAAACAAAAAAACAAAAAAATTATATTAAATATTAAACATTAAAATTATTAAATATTAAAATTATTAAACATTACATCATTTGCGAAGAAATTGCTCCTTGGGTACCCCTACCAATATCTCGATCTCTATGTTTTTTTCCCAGACGTTTCTTATAAGCAGTTCTTTCCTGGCGTGGCAACCATCGCTCAGGATCTGGTGGAACTTTTGGATCATAATTTTTTGGTAATCTTATCTTTCGTTTTCGTTTTCGTTTCCTCAATTTGCCAGTAATTATTTCCTACAAGAACATAACATATATTTATTAGAAATAGGAAATGAAGATATTAGTAATGATTGATTGATTGTTTCGAAATATGTTTAAAAAAATTTTTTCGCAATCTAAGGACCATTAAAAAAATTGAAAACTATATTTCCATATTACAAAAATTACTAAAATGAAGACTGAAAAATAATTGCGCAATTTCATTCTAACCGTGTCTGTGAATTCCGGCTTCATTTCTTTCTTCTGTTTATAACGCTCACCATAAAGAATCCATTCCGCTCTTTCTAATGCAGCCACATCCATGTTTGAAGAATTTTTCTCAGGAAATGCATTCGTCAAAAGTTCTTCAGCACGGCATGGATCAAATGAAGAATAAGCTTTTATGAGTTGACTGAGGACACGAACATCGTTTGGTCGTAGTTTATTTAGACGCTGAAGAAATTCAACTGCGGCGCGATTATTGCCAATCTCGATATTAAGTGATGCTGCCTGCTCCAGAATGATACTTAACGAGTCATCATTGGGCGCATTCTCTACAGCTGTAGTTAAAAGATCTATTGCTGCCTAAAAAAAAGAATTTAAGCAAAAGAAAAAACAATTGATCCAAAAAGCAATTGCAAGTGGTAACATACATTTTGATCATTCGTAGCAAGCAACAAAGCAATTCTAAGCTGCAAAACTGCTGGCCTGTTGGCAAGTTGCGCAGGAAATTCATTTAATTTTTCAATTGCTTCCTTCAGTTTTCCTTTGAAACAAAATTCGAAGCTAAGTGAATTAACTTAAAATTTGCTATTATTCATCATGAAAAGATAAACAGAACGCATTTGATATTAATAATTTTATCTATTTTGTATTTTTAAATGTACCTTCATCGAGAAGAATCTGAATACGAGTGAGAAGTGTTTCGTCAGTTACAGCAGCAGCATTTAAAACTGCTAAAGCTTTCTGAGAATCTTTGGATTTTAAATGTAAAGCTGCTTCAATAAAAAATGACTCCTGTACGGGACCATATTTTGAACGAATGTCTTCTAAACATCGTCGACACGGCTCGCGTTGATTCGAATGTAAATGAATCAATGCCTTAAGTATATGTTATTAGAAGAAATGCAACCAATTTTCAAAATAATTTTTTTTTTTGAGGAGGAAATATTAATGCAATAAAGTGCCAGGAGTTCACCTGATTAAGCAAAAGTGTGCGGCGTTGCCGAGATGTCAGCTTTGATCCATCGATCTGTAAGGCCGATTTTAATTTCTTCCTGGCTTCAAACAGATTACTCTCTTGTATTACTGATGGAATATTATTTAAAAGAGTTGCAAGAACACTTTTATCTGAAGGGCTGAAAAAATAGGACAAATTTACTGGATTCCCATTTAAAAACAATATTGCAGAAAAAAGATAAGCTTTATGGCGAAGTAAGAAGCAACTTGATTTCTTGGATACGAAGGTATAATTTCAGTGCTTCTTCATTACGCCCTAGTTTTTGACAAACAAATCCTTTTTGTATCCGAATCATTGACAGTTCATCTTCGATTTCCTCTTCGGTTAAGCCTTCCTCGACTAACGTTTGATTGCATAAAACTAAAAAGTTAAAAAATTAAAAACTCTTGAATTACTTATAAAAATATATCAGCTCATAATATTTTATTTACAAATAACCAATTATAACAAAAGTTCGCACAAACAGATATAAAAAAAAATATTTGGCATCTACATAACCTTCTGCTTTATTAAGTAATGATAATGCTTCAGTGAAATTATTGTCTTCTATTGCGCAGCATGCACCATTGTAATATTGTTCATATGTATCGAAATGTGTAATTCGTTGCTGGAAAATTGCAAAAACTGAGACTGAAATAAATAAATAAATTCACTGGAAATCTACTCTTAATTTCAATTTATGATTTATGAATTTATGAAGAAAAAATGTTAATCAAACCTCCCAAATTCAGTGGCAAATTTCTATGATTTGAAAATTTCACATCAATTGAAGCAATTTAAGGAAGAAAAAATAAGAAAACCTGAATTTTCCCATTAGAACGAAGCTGCGCGATAACTGCCAACAAATTTGCTTGACGTTCATCATCAAAATCATCAGAATAATCCTTGAGCAATTTTCTAAAAACTATGTTTATATAAAGAAATTTTGATCAAAAATTAGTATACGAAATAAAGAACAGAAGAAATAAAGAATGAGAAGAAAGGACGGAACCAAGAAAATTTCTAAGAATTTCAAGTAAAAACAATTGAAAATTAAGAAATTTATCGAATGAAAAATACCTAAATATCAATTCGGCTTCTTCAAATTGTTCTGTACGATACAATAACTGGGCTTTTAATTCAAGACAACGAACGTCATTCTTCGCAAGTTTATTTAATGTTTCCAAAGCACTTTCGTTATCATTTAAGCGGTAATGCAAATAAGCTTTTTCAAATGAGCATTCTCTAAAAATAGACAACAAACATCACTACAGTAATATTGGGATCGTTGTTTTCTTTTTTCTTTTTCGCTTTATTTTTTATTATTTTGTTTTTTATTATTTATTACATTTCTCTTTATTCTGACCTGACTAGTCATTAATTTCGGAAATAGGCCTTATATCCTGCTCGATCCCTATTTATATTTAAATAAACAAATACCAATTAAACAAAGCAATATTAGGCTTAGGAAGATCAAAAAAAAAAAAAAATTGCGAAAGGAAAATTCACCCCATATGAGCAGGCGGTGTTTTTTTGATTAATGTTAAAGCTTCTTCGAAATGGCTTAAGCGTATTAGGGCGATTAATTTACACTTAAAAGCCAATGTTTCACCGGGGAAATTGCGCAATACTGAAAAATTAATTTCAACATTTAATTATGTAAATAATAATCATACCAATGTTTTAAAAAGTTTTATTAATTATTTTAAAAAATATAAAAAATACCTAAAATGTTTGTTATTTAAACGAAAAATATAATATTGGATTCCACTTTAAAAACTTATATAGAAATATATACGTATGTATAAAAACACATATAAAAATCTTTCAAATAAGATAAAATAAGTTAGTTGCAAAAAAAAAGAAACTGAAATAAATAAATTTCACAAAACAGACGAAAAGACGAAAATAAGAATAAAAATACTAAAAAACCACACTAAAACCATTAAACATACTAAAAGTAAAAGGTAGCAAAATATAAATATAAAAGAGGGACAGATAGTTACAACGGTTCAATAATATCTTGATTTATTTCGAAGTGTCGATTCCGCGATTCTATTCCCGGCAGAATTGTTATTTTGTTATTTACATTTAAATATTTTTATCGTCAAGTGCCTCCTAAGCAAAATTTGTCTAACCCGACAAATCAGAGGAGCAAATCTAATTAAAATGATGAACAATCTCATAAAAACCAGAAAACAGAAAAAAGGACCAACTTTTATTGGCAGTTTTCAGTGCTTTATCGTAATCACCACTTGTTTCAGCTTTTACTAAATCAGAAAAACATTGTTTAATCGCAGATACGTTACTCGGCGTTACAACCATTTGACACGAGGAACCTAAAATGAAATTTAAAAACTGATCAAAATGTTTTAAATTAATAGTTTGAATTTCACTCCTAATGCTAACTTTTGATATTTAATGTTTATTCCATTCTGTGATAATGAATCTATATGTGACCTTAACCTTCAGCCCTAACCAAAGTAATATATCATCCGACATCCAACACAAATTCTAATCTATGATCATCCAAAATTTTAATTCGTTTATTCATTTATCTAAAATTTACCTAATTATGAGATATAAATAACAGCTCTTTCATTTAATTTGCAGTTAAAGCATTAGTACGTCTGTCTCAAGAAAAACTTATCTATCAACCCAATTATTTCCTCTCTGTAACTTCTCCACCTCTTTGCCATCTCCGAAATACCATTTTACCTTAACCCAGAGTGATCTTTTATCTCTTATAGGCTCTTCGCGTTTATTTCTAACATCTTCCTTGCAATCTACTGCAATGAAATAACTGAATTAAGCCACAAACATTCTAATTTTAATTCCTTAGGCACCATTACAAGTCCTTAAAAAGTTTCTCGAAATTTATTATTAATTATTATTCTCCACAATTTCCTTAATTCTTTTTATTTTATAAGGTTCCGACAACATTTGACAATGTTCGGCAAGTTCCGTGTCTTGCGATTGCAACAAGAATCTATGCAATTTCACAGGATCACTGTATTGTTGTAAGCCAGCTGTATCCTATAAACATCCCAACATCCCATAAAGGCAGTTTAGTGCTCAAGAAATCTTGACTCGTTCAGTTCCAACTCGATCCCCCAAAACCTATCAGCTTTTGTGAAAAATGCAAACTGCACCAAAACCAATGAATATTTTTTTGCAATATTCATATTATCCTTTTGCTCACTATTGGCTCACCCTAAACTCCGCACTATCTCCCATATATTTAGCTTTGAACCCCCAGACCTGTTTACAGACACTTGAAACCAACCATTCTCTCTCTTTCCAAGACGCTATGCGCTTTTGCCACTGCAGTAATTTACAAATTATAAAATGCGCCATGACCCTCACGGTAGTTTTTTCTTAACAGACCACTAATGATTTTTAAAAATCAGTTATACTGCCTAAAATTCTTATAAACCCAAGCGTATTACATAAACGTGCTCCTCAAACTTCAGTACAAGTTTCTTATAATCTGGGTCCCACTTCAAATTCCGCTGTGCTCCCTAATGGGACTCTTAGTCCTCATCTATTGCCCACATTAGCCCGCTCTTAGCTAGGCCGCACTCCTCGATCACCGCCTTCAATCTATATTCCATTTTCCTAGAATTCACCACACGGTGAGAGGAAGTATCGGAAAAGTAAGGAATGGAAAGAAAACGATAAGACCAGCGGTTGGAGACAAAGTCAGCCGCCACCCTATCACCTCCATGTTCATTTAGCACTTAAATAATAATATGCAAAACCCGACATCCGAAAAATCCGAAAAAAAAATCCGTGATTGCAGTATCCTCTTTATCTGACAAATACGAAAAAGCCGCAGCCGCTACTGTGGAGCCAACAAAATCAGCCATATTGCGCTGCAGTTATATGCTCTGGCTTTGTGCCAAAAATTAAATTTGGTTGGTCAGGTGTAAGAAATGGGCAGTGCAGGGATTAAAGGGTGGGAATTGGGGCTACAGGGAAGGGTATTCGGTGCGAGGGTGACTGAGGGACAGTCAGGGATTTAATGACGAAATGACAATGATAATGATAAAATTTCTGTGATATTTACTAAGTGTTGTGATTGGAGGTAAATGTTTTCACCCAATAGATTTTCATATTTTTCACTATTTTTATTCTACACCATTACTGGACAAGATGACTGCATTAATTGTAAAATAACTGTCGAGTTGTATCTCTGGACCGCCTGTCTATATTTTATTAGATTCGTTTTTACTTTCTAAAATTTGGTGATTCTTTTATTGAGCGAAACTTATATTTCAGAAAATGCGTATACCTAGCGGTGCACCGGTACCATTTTGGTTCAATTTATTGAATCGTTTTAAATTCACGAAATATTTTCGTAAACCACCACTCGGTAGCACTGCGGTTATTGGAACAGTTCTTTTGACATTTTTGTCCATTGCTGCTGTTACTGTTTATCCAAAGTCTAATGCAGATTCCTATCGAAAATTACAAAAGGAGAACTGGCAGTTATTGAATATGAATCGTGAAGATGTTGCGCAAGGAATGCGCCCATGGTCTGATCCATTCGATCGAAAATAAATATTTTTTTTAAACTGCAGCTTCATTTCAAATCATTACCACCGCAGATGGGTCTGATTAATTTTCCGGTCATAAAATTATTAAACGATTAGGTTGAAATTTGTATGGAATCTTTGAAAATCCAGCGCCATAAACTTATGAACTACTCGAAAGTCGACAGCTTTTGTCATTTATAGAAATTTTATCTTGGTAATCTTTCGGTTCGAGCTGAAAGACTAGCATGAATTAGCTTTTTATGATTGTGAAATTATTTCAACTCAAGCTTATTCAATGCTAGGTTGAGCTGGCGTGGTATAACATTTTCTAAATTTTATTTTATCAATTTTAATTCACTAATCATTATCACCGCAAATGGGTCTGATTATATTTGCATACGTGTTTTACAAACTTTTGATTTGTTTCTGAAGTTTTTGAGATCATTTGGTGCCTGTTTTTCCCTTTTTTGCAGCGGCTCTTACCATTATTATTATTAGGCCATATTCATATCAAAAAACTGGTGATAGAGATTTCGAAAAAAATTTCTCGAAAAATGGAGATCTTCAATAAGAAAGAAGCCGGATCATCTTTTATACGATATGAATTTTAATTTTATTACTAAAAATATTTTATCATATTTTAATTCTTTTAACAATGCAGATTTAAAATGCATCAGTGGTCTTCCAACTCTTTAGAGGTCCTTAAGGCCCTCTCAGAATTCTTAAAAATAATAAGAGATCACATTAGAGTTTTATTATGTGAATTGTATTTTCGATATTTGTCATTTTCATTCATATTACATTATTTTATTTATGTTTATTAGGTATTTATTAGGAATAATATATATTATCACTGTTAAATAAGTAAGTGATCAGCACCCATCATTTCAAGTTTCATTTGCTATCAATAGGGTGTGATAATTTTTGCCAGAGAATCGCTGAATAGGAATATAGATGTCTTCAATACCTCTTAGATTTTTAGATTTTGGGGTCTACTCTAATCTAATAAGAATAAATATCGATACTGGAATTGTTAATCAGTATGCATATTTTATCAGAGATTTTATTATACATTATTATGTGAAATATACAATATTGCTATAGTACTATACTATACAAATCGTTTGTCTAAGAAAAAAAAAAGGATTGAGCGCTTGGTCACTAAGACTTTTAAAATACATTAGTACATTATACAAAAATACATTAGTATAAGATTTGCCTCCTTTGTTTCTTGCAGATTTTTTTCATTTTTATCTATATTTTCGTGTATTTATTGTGTTTTTCTGTTGATTCACATTTTTCACATTTCACCATAATTATTATCGACTGTCGTGCGGTATTTGTGCAATTTATTTTTTATTGAAAATATGGAAATAAATAAATTAAGGGTAAAACGATTGTAGTATACAATGAATGCAGACGAAGCGCTCGATGCGTCAAAAAATGAAGAATCTAGCTCAACAATTCTATTCGATCAATTAAATGAGCGTCATTCGAATTCACCTGTGGAGAAGAATCAGTACGATTTAACAGAGTACGAAGATGATACTGACGTAGGTTGATATTTAGTTTTTCATTCCTCTTTCCTTGGAGTTCTTTCCTTGAAGAAGTTAGACTTATTGTAATAACAAATTTTGTGTAACTTTGAATATATTTTTTTAATTATGTGAAATATCTGAATTAAATGAGGAGATGAAATTCTTTAACATTATTCAAGTATTATTTTGCAATTGTTTTTGATTATTTGAATTTTTAAATATTTTTTTGGAATTTTAGTGTATTGAATTAATTCACTGTCGTATTGATGAAATTCCAGATTTTTCACGATTCAAAAATTTGATGGTTTGTTTATTTCATATCTTCAAAAATTTTTTAATCTTTTATATGTCATATAAAAATCAATTTATATTTTTGGTGAGAATTTGTGAAATATATAGAGTTCTTTAAATTAATATTATCAAATATTTTAAATTATACTAATATTATTTAAAGGAAGGCAAGTATTTATTTAATATATTTAATTTTTTTTAAATTGCTGCTGAATAAGAAAATTATCTATAATTAAAATAATTTAATAATCTATAATTAATAATTAAAATTACCACTGATGCTAAGATTATGAGGTAGTATGATTGATTTTTTTAAATTTTATTTCCTAAGAAATTGGTCAAATTTTTTTGTTATATTTTAAAATTTATAAAAAGAGGTTTTACGGAGGAGCTTTCTTTTTTTTTCAGGATCTTAGTCTTCGTCAGAATTTATTAAGTTCCATCAATCAAAATATGGCGATTACGACTTTGACAAAACTTGAACTATACGATAATCAGATTGAGGTATTATTAAATTGCTTTTGCGTTTCAGAAATAGTTTAATCGATCGTATTCATCGGCAAAATTATTTTTTTAATCTTTTTATACCTTATACAATTTTTCATTTGCCAAGCGTCGATTGCAGCAAATTGAAAATTTGGATGCATTGGTTAATCTTACTTCACTTGATCTCAGCTATAATCGCCTCCACTCTATTCAAGGTTTATCAAAGTTGATCAACCTCAGATCGTTATACTTCGTTCATAATAAAATTACTGCAATTACTGGATTAGATTCTTTGCGATCGCTTGAACTTCTTGAGCTTGGTGATAATCGCATAAAGGTTAATTCTTATTATTCAGCGATAAGTTCATTTTTTTTTTAAATTTTATTTATTATTGTTTTATCATTCGATCTTTTTTTCAATGAGTTTTTTTTCGCTTTAAATCATTCGGATTGTCGGATTGGCTGAATAGCTGAATATTTTCACTATTTGTTGTTTCAAAGTTTCACTTTTCACTCTATTTTAGAAAATTGAAAATTTGGATAATTTAACCAATCTTCGTCAGCTTTATTTGGGAAAGAACAAAATTCGTTGTATTGAAAACACAGAGAAGCTCATAAATTTGGAAGTTTTTAGCATTCCGGTTGCTTTTTCAGAAAATTTCTTTTGCAACTTTTTTGAAACAAATTATTGAAAAAATATTTATTACATAATAAATATTTTTGATTTCAATCTCGGTGGTTGATTTCGACATTTTTACGCCATTAAATAATAATAGTAGCAATTGCCTAAGGAAATTTTTTTGTTGAACTCAGAATAGTCTTTATTTTGTTTTGATACATACAAAATGACGAATTATATTATATTTTTGCTGGACAAAAGGGAAAAAATTTTGAATGTTTTTGAACTGGATAATACGTTTCCAATTATTATTATTTTAAATAAATTTTCTTTTCTATTCAAAAGAAAGATTTTTTTCCATTCATAAAATTTTTTAAAGAAATGGCAGCGAATTTTTCAGGGGAATCGTTTAATCAACTTGGATGGCATTTCCATCCATTCAGATTTGCGAGAAATTTATGTCAGTGATCAGAGGATTACAAGCTTACTTCCAGTGAAAGATTTGGTATGTCTCGAACTTTTTGCAAACATTTTAGGAATGCAAAAAGATTAAAATTTGCTTTAATTACTTCGCCAGGCCCATTGGAATAGTTGGATTTTCTCGAATTTTCTAGCTCAAATAGTATGAATTACATGAATTTTGAGCTCAAACAATATTTGTTTTCTTAAAGCCATTAAACTAAGCCATTCAAAAATAAAATTGAAATGGCTGAGTGGTCCCATCAATAGCCTATTCTCTAACGAGTGGGTAGTTAGTAAAGTTGGCCAATTTCGTTTATTTTAAGTTTAAATAATATTTGCAAATAAATTTTCTATTGGTTACGTTGAATCGTTCATCGTTTGCAGAAGAATTTAACGCTAATTGATGCAAGTAATAACGAAATTGAGAAGGTGGATGGCGTTTGTGATTTGCCATTGCTTGAAGATCTTTGGGTTTGTTAATTTTAATAATTTTTAACAATTTTCAAAAATGGCAGATTCGAAAATTCAAAAATTTTAAAGCCATCTTTATTTATTGTTTACTTTTTGTTTTTTTTAGTTAAACGATAATAAAATAGACGATTGGAATGAAGTGGAAAAATTAAGTGGCATAGGGAATTTGCGAACTATATATCTGGAAAGAAATCCCATATATCATAAGGATAGAACAAGTTATCGGCGGAAAATTATGTTTACTTTGCCACAAGTTACCCAAATTGATGCTGCAGCTTGTCGATGAATGAGAATTGCAAGTTAAATATTTTGTATGTGTGTGAAATTTTTTGAAAAATAACATTGATAATAGAGGTATTGATAATATTGATAACAGTTTATAATTTTCTTATATTAAATATTGTAACTTTTGAAATGTTTTGAAATAATAACGGGGTTTATTTATTTTTATATATATATTTTTTTTATACAATAACTAAGATAATTGTATATATTTTTCGTTTTTTGATTTTTTTCCTCGGAGAATAGTGTTGAAAATATATATTTTATCTCTATAGATAAGATGGCTAGATGAAATATCGCAATGAATGAGGGAAGAGATATCTTTCAATATTTTCTGGTTTCAAATGGAAAATTAAAAACTATTCTCTTGTTTGGCTGTAAATACAATTCTCACTACAACTATAGCTACAAAACATAATACATTGGACAAAACAAGACTGGTTGTGGTTTTTCTTTTTCTTGGTTTTTAATATTATGGGAATATGTTGGTCAAATCGAATACTGATTGATAAGGGTAAGGGTAATAATAATTCGATTTTCTTCTCTAAAATAAATCCTTCATTATAAGCGAGTATCTCTATCTTTAATTGACTGGATCTGGCCAGAAGATTTTACATTCATTAGTAATTAATGAAACCAAGCAAAGAATCCTAACCAGAATTTATATGTTTAATAGAAAAAGCGATATTAACGATTCTTTTGTAAAAATAAATTGCTTCTTCTTGTTTTGTATTTATTAAAGAAAAATAAAACGTTAATCGTAATTGGACCATTCAGTGAATTGAAAAGGAAAATAGCAATTAAAATTCTATTTTGCCTTTATAGAACTTTTAATTACTGTGTTCTAAAGATAGATTGAAAATATTTAAACCACGAGTGGAGAGGAATGCTAACACTTCGGTCGTGAATAGCTATATCTGATCCAAAAATGCTGTTACCATCTGTATTCACAAGTCGGATATCACCATTTGACCACTCGATACCTGAAATATTAAGTTTCTTAGCATTTATTGGTTTCTTTTGAAATTTCAAATAGAAAAACTACTTATCATGAAAACCTTGAACTTATCATGAAAGTAACCTGAAAAATGCACAGATAATAATAAAAATAAACTATTATTATCAGCATTGGATTGATCTTCGGCTGGCTTGTCGAACTACACAAAGCTAGTGGATCATTTAGTAATAGAAGTACAAGTGGATCTCTAGCACCACTCGCATTTTCGAAAAATAGATTTATTCCTGTGTGGAATAAACTCTTGCACCGGTTCCAGGAACTAAGAGCAACAACTCAGTGAGTGAATCATTCTTTCTCGTTTTTTTCAATGGAGACTATAAAAATTGTATGCTTTGAACCAATTTTTATAAAGATTTGCTGATATTAGATAAGAGACTTTAGAGAGCGATGAAATCTATTAATATAAATACCGAAAAGCAAGCAAGAAATAATTCGACTGACTTTAGTTAACATTCCCTAGGAGTCAGTTTTACTGCTTTAGCACAGCAATAGTTTCGATCCTTATCAACATTTTCGAAATATCATTAAAGTGGATGCCTCAAAATGAACAAATGTCTTTTCGGCTTGAATAATTTAGTCAGTCAGTGGAACCAAAAGTGTGGGTTTACGATGTTTTTATTAAATGATTTGATTTACCTCTCCGTCGAAAATTACTAAAGAGCGATTTGTCGATGAAACTGATTGGTGTTTCATTTTCCGATATTATTAATCTGTCAAATTTCTCACCGACGTCCAATGCTGTAGTTCGTTTTTCTTTTATACTGTTAATGAATGGCTTGAAATAATGATTCAACCAATGTAAAACTGGTTCGGTTATGCGTTCCACATTAATTCTCCCATTAATTCTTTGAAATTGCTCTGACGATTTGGTACTGAATTTGTATAAATATAAATGAAGAACTGCATAATGTCACATAAGTGTCCTCCTTATCCATTTAATCTGGTGTTGGCTACTAAGAACCACTCGTACTTCTATCACCAAGTGACTTTCGGCAAACGGGGGCGTCTATATGCCTCAATACTTGCTAATCTGGCTAGCCAAAGCAGAAAAATATTTAGTACATATTATTGTTGCTGAAGAAGAAGAGTTATAAAGCAGGAAAAAAGATATTAATGAAAATGACTGGTCACCTGACCGGTACTTCTATCCTTGGCGATCGGTGCTTTGGTGTGACAAAAAATGAAACAATCTGTTGTAAAATTTCTTCTGTTGATCGTTTTGTGGCTGAAAAATTTAAACATTAGACCTGACTAAAAATAATTATCGAATTTAGGATTTTACCACTGTTGATACGTTCTGTGCAGAAGACCGTACGCTGCTTTGCCAAATAGTAAGTACCCTTGAATACGGTCCTTTTGCAGGAGCAGACCTGTCATTGTAAGAGAAATTCGACCGGTTGCCGAGGATCGATCTGCATTTCTGTCGTCCAAACGATTTTATTTAAAAAAAAATGAAAACCCTTATCAAGCATAGAAAGACGAACTATTTTCGTAAGCATGAGCAGTTATAATCAACCAAAATAATAAAGTCGAATACATTCCGTTGAATTCATGTAAGAACGCATAGACAGTCTCGTTGAACTCAGATCAAATATCTGTTTTAACAAAAATTTATGTCAAATATTGAACTTCAAACAATGATATCCTCGAATTTGGGTCATTGTTCATACGTGTATCTATTGATTATCAAATTATTAGTTCGGTTTAATCATCGTTTACATAAAAACTGCCCCCAGGCATCTCGCATTTCAACATAAAACTCTCAATCCCCCTAGTTTTTACTGAAAATTAATACTTCGATTCAAATTTTGAATTATCGACACACATCTCCATACTAGTTAATTGCTCTTATGTCCTTATCGAGGATATCGAAAATTTAGTCTATTCTTTTCCAAGATTTGTAAGTCAATTAAATTAACTGAAGGATTGCAAGAGCCACTTGAATTTTTCTTACCATTTTAATTCAGACTCTAAAATCACAATTTCAACATAAACATGCCCTTAGCCCCTGATGACCAGTGATTAGATTTTTTTTGCAGTTTTTCCTTTTGAATTTTTTCTTTTTTAAATAAATGCTTAACTTCCAGTGGTGCACACAGAATATTTCTTATTTTAAATATCTATTCTCATATTTTAAATCTTTACCACAACAAATTAAACAGAAAATTTATTAAGTAACAACAAAATTGATTTTCCATAAAGTTGTATAATCTCTATTATCTCTATTATAATCTCTATTTATTATTTATAAAAATTCATTAGAAAGATTATTTTTGAATTTACGAAAAATCTTAGAAACAGACATATTATTATTGTAAATTATAAATTACAGAGTAAAATACAGAATGGAAGAAAAGAAAAATATACAAAATATCAGTGATATTTCCATTATAGAATATTTTCATTTATCCTCAAAAACGAAACAACTCGTTAAAACAATAAGAGTAAAAACTATAAACAAGATTAATCGCTTTGAGGAAAAAAATCGAATTTCTATTCAAAATTTACTCTATTGAAAACCCTAAGAAGAAAAGATATCCTATCAATGATGAGCATCCCAACTTGTTTTGCCGTATTTCATATAGGAATAACCTTCTTCAATAGCAATTAAAACTGTAGCAGAAATAGCACCAAACTTCCAACCAGCCATTACTATACTTCGTAAATGTGGGAAAAATCCTATGATGTGTGGATGATTTTTGTCGAATAAATGGACGTAATTCCTGAAATGTTTATATATAAGTTTATATAAAGTTTTTTTTTTAAAGTGTAATTTTAAAAATTCATTTCATCTTAAAAAATAATTTTCTTACAGCTTTTATTTATGAATTCTCATTTTTTTGATTTCCCATAAAAAAGTATTTTTTCCTCACTTCCGAAGATTTTGCAATTATTAAAGATTTCCGAAACTTTCATCTGATAAAAATTAAATATTTAAGTAAGAAAAATTTTTTGACTGCTTACCTGCTTAAATTTTATCTAATTACCTAGTTTTATTTAATTTTCATCAAAAATATTTAAAAAATACAATATCAGAATATCAGAATAAAATACAATGTCAGAAAAAAAATCAAAAGTATAAAAATATAAAAAACACAAAAAGCAAATTATAGTGACTTTAAAATAGATATAACAATAATTATATGTAACTATTAGTAAAATAGCTTTACCTAATATATAATTTATTAGTAATATTTCTTAAATCTGGTATAAAACTACTCAATACTATGCTTAGATCATCAAAATCTGATATATTTCATAATAACTATTATATAATAAAAATGATTTTTGCAACTGAAACCCTTTCTGATAAAAGCTAAAAAAAATAAAATCTAAAAATATGGAATAAAAAAAATCATAATTTTAGGAATTTTTGAGAATTTAACGACTGATTTCTTTGCAATTCCAAAATTTGCACCATTTGTTTGGGACTTAGATTGCAAAACTCTTTCTTCTTTTAATTCAATAAATTTTTCTTGTGAGGAAAAGTGGACTACAGCTTAATCAAACTTTATTTCATGAGAATTTACAAAATTTACGCGCTACTTCATTTCATTTCGTTAATACTATTTCATAAATATCATAAAAAATTTTTACCATTCTTTAAATTACTGGTAATTTAAAAAAAACCTGTAATTTTTACTATTTTTGCTAATATTAATTTTTAATTTTTGATACTTATAAATGCTCAGCCTAACGTGTTATCCATATTATAACATTATCATAATTTTACTATAAATTAGATTAAAATATGCAGTAAGTATAGCATTATAGCATCCTAAATTTACTTTTTAAACACGTTTACAAGAGAATTTAAACGAGAAATTTTGAAATATGCAAAAATAACTTTAAAAAATTTAACCTTATCCAAGGATCTTTAAGGCCGATTCGTTTGAGACGTTCTTCATGTTCGAGAAGTTGCGGGAACTGTCGATAATTACTGTAAATTGTATAATGTGGAATTTTAAACGGTACTTCGCCATGTCCCATACTGGCAGTTCTGCTAAATATTACAGAATTAAACGAAATACACACGCTATAAGACATTCAATTCCACTTCGGCACGCAACCATCATTCGGATAAAACCTAACACAAAACCTATTGTATTTTAATTCGCAAATGATCCACCAGCAAGCAAAAATCACACGAATGGCCAGTGAAATAAAAATTAAGTAAGTGGTTAGCGCTCATCCCAGGTGCGGCCAGCACTGCCAACTGCTTGAAACTGATGGAATTTCATATAGAACTATTCAAAAGAGCAATTAATTATTGCGTTTATTTACTATTCCAGAACGCTTATGTTAAGTCTTCCATTTTGAGCAAATCCATACCATCCTTTAAATCCTCAAGTAGGCCAAAGCCAAAATGATAACAAATCCTCTAAGTTTCTCTTCACTGATAAGCAGCAGATTGAAAAAAATCCAAGAAACCGAACCGTAAAATAGTAGTTCAGACAAGTTGTAAATAAAAATATAATAGCGGCCACAGTCCACGGTGTACATATTTACGGCCGAGCATCTAAAATTTGGAAATCTGAATGAGAGAAAAGCTAAAATAATTCGCTCTACCGAAGTATTTTGGAATTTGGGAGGAGCTGGGGTCATGGAGCGCTTTCCGGTTATCTGGGCAGCAGATCCTATTTAGTGGGTAAATAAAGAAAGGATAAGGAGAAGGAGGAGGAGTAAGAAAAGCTTATGTTCCAAAAAAAGTGGATAATTAAACTTTTATAAATTACTGGTGAATAGTTGGTATGATTAGTAAATAAAAAAGGCTAGAACACATAAGGTCTGACTTATAGCTATGCTGTCAAGTTTGATGATAACTGATAACTGAAAGATGATAACTTTGGAATTTTTCCGTGTGGTGGATAGAAACAACATTTTGGGTTCAGTGATATCTTAGTTTAACAGTTGTGCCTAAGACCTAAGATTAATTCGAAAATATTTTTTATGATAACGGTGTTTCTAGTCCAATGATTCCTTCTTATGCTCAGTGAGTTCTCAAGTGATAATTTAGGATTAATAGAAGAAAGTGCCAGAAATATTGGAATGCCATAAATATTCGAAGGAGAATTTAATGGAAGTCCTAGCGAAGAAAAATGCAACGTATGTAGGAGAGCGACCTTCTGAAAAACCAAAGTCATAAGTGAAATGCAAATTTATTAAAAATTTTTTGTTGGAGAGAATTTTGTGAACGAAAAATTTAAAATTGATTCAAAATTAATAAAATTTAAATAAAATTTAAAATTAAAATTTAAAATTCATTCAATATTTTTATTAATCGCTATTTTAACTTTTTTTTTAAAATAAAACGATAAATAAAAATATAAAATAAAATTTTATGATTGAATTTATTGCTTACAATAATACTGAAATAAAAAATTTTATCAGTCAAATTTTTTCAAAAAAAATTTTTGTAAAATTTTAAAAAAGAAAGATTTGTTTTTGAATAAATTCTTTTAATTCTTTCGAATAAGAAAATTTCCTCGTTTATTAAAGAATAAAACATTTTAACGTATTTAAAAAAAAATTTTAGTTTTAATTATATTTAATTTTAGAAAATAAAGAAAAAAATTAGATTAATTCCTACGAAAAAATTTAGAGATTTACATTATTGTAAAGAATCACATTACCTTATAAATTTTTTATATTTATATTTAATTTTTGCTAAAATTCTCGAAATATTAATTCAATTGCCAAACATCTGAGGTGAAATCAAAAATGAACATTTACTAGTGAAGTTGGTTGGGGTTCGTCGTTTCTCACCAAAAATTGGTCACCTTTGGTGCATTTCAACGAGATGTTTTAGCCGAGGAGAAGAATGATTCGATTCATAAACTCATCGTTCATTTCAATATTTATTCCTCAAACCTTTTCATGCGACTCTTTGCAGAATGGAGCCAATACATATAGAAATAATGTTGTTTGATAATAAAACCGAGCACATTTCTCTTCTTAGCCTCATTTTCTCTTTTACGAGCACTTATCATTGCTGGCACGTCAGCGCAGGTCTGTGTATATAGGGAGCTGACAGATTCCTTCGAAATAAGAACAGGTGTCCGTCAGGGCTGTGTCCTTTCCCCCACAAAATTCAACTATGCGATAGACTGGATAATGGACACTGCTTGTCAGCAAGAGTTCCGAATTAGTCCAGAGCATTGTATCACAGATCTTGAATACGCTGATGATGTAGTCCTTTTTGCTGACAGTTATAACGAAATGCAAGTAATACTAAATAACGTGTCAGAAACTGCAAAAATTGGACTCAGGATCAATGTAAATAAAATAAAACGAAAGACTTTTCCTCTTATGTGCAAGAAGCTGATAAAATGCCTCTTTTTGTAAATTCATTGCCAGTTGAGGAAGTGCCGATTTTAAATACCTTGGGTCCACTCTAATACCAAATGGACAGGCAAAAGATGATATTACAACTCGGATCAAGTCAGCTAGAAATGCATTCTTCCGGTTGACGAAACCTTTATGGAGTGTGAAATCACCATAAAAACGAAAGTCCGCATCTATATAGCCGTGATCCGTTCGATCTGCTATATGGTTCTCAGACATAGCCAGTGAGAGTGGAGGATATTAAGAAACTATCTACCTTTGACCACTCTTATCTAAGGTACGGGTTCGTTGAGCGGATAAATATCACATGATCGCATCCACCTTCGTTTA